CTGACTACATTGATTGATGTGACGGAGCTCCCCACCGTGATTAATCTCAATGATGAGATAAATGGAGTCAGAGAAGAGGGAGAGAAGGGGGTGGGGGAGGAGGAAGTATGGCTACATTGGAATTACAGATGTGTGGATTTATGGTCATAATCGGGGTGGTGCTGGATGATGTGCACTAGCTGGCCCATCTGGCTGATGGTAACCCATCAAAAGTGCTCACAATGCATGACGGAACAGCTCGAACAAGAAATTTCTGGGGAAAATCCCAGAAAACGGATTCTGGTTGAGAAAGCAACAAAGTATATCACAAAAATATCACTTACATGTATGCCAAATGCAATGTAGCTGATGGTAACCCATTAAAAGTGCTCACAATGCATAAAGGAACACCTCAAACAAGAAATTTCTGGGGAAAACCCCAGAAAACATAAAGATTCTGGTTGAGAAATCAACAAAGTATATCACAAAAATATCACTTACATGTATGCCAAATTATGCAATGTAAATCAGCTTTACATTGTCACATACTCAAGTTTAAAATAGAGTCAATTGTAGAGCATTCTGAGTGGTAATTCAGAGTCCCTTGTGGCAAAAGTAGGATGTGGGAAAACATAACTGACAAGTGTCTATAACTACGGACTTAATTGCCTTAATCACAATCAAAACAATGCACACTGAATTAGTGATCAGATTCACGTTATATTTGCTTGCCATCCCCAGCAGGCATCATTTCATCAAATAACAAAAGGCTTTCTGTATGCAACTAAGAGATTGCACAAAGTAACATAAAATCCAAAATGTAGGCCTAAAAAAATGGCACATTCTCATCCCTTTTGGTTTATTGCAGCAATATGCAATTCCACGTGAAAAAAACAACAAACGTTTTTTTTTTATTAAATAGTAAAACGGTGTGATTTTACCTAATAATTTAACCATTATCTCTCAAGTACAGTATCCTTTCAAGGTACAAAATGTATGCCTCAGAAAGGTGACATAAAAAATTTCAGGACAACTTAGAATTCACAAGGGAAACTGAATATAGAAACCCGGCCCCTTTAATATTGCCATCACCAAAAGGATAACATTACGGTTGTGATGAGTTGCGAAGCATGTCATCACAAACAAATGAGGCAACGGTGATGACACACCAACAGATTATATATGCTGTCTTCATTGTTCCTCTTCAGTGGGATTCCTGCTGGAAATGAGGTGGTGATGACACTATTCTGGGGCTGATAAACACTATACTTGGTGTGCATATATATACAATGCACATTGTGACTTTAATTTGCGGTGGGGATTTCATTGTTGTGCATTTAATATAACAAGACTGTCAAGTGGTACATGTGTACCGGTATTAGAGATTTGTTGATGCTATGGTGTTACATTTACAAGTGTGAGACACAGAACCATAAGTTGGTACAAATCAAATAAAAGGCATTTAAATGTTTAAGCTACAGTATTTCTGCTTGTTTTTTTGAAATACTTTTGAGTCACACATTACATGACCGATGGTAAAAATGTACCGTGAATTTAAATATGAAATGGTGCCAGGTTAAAGAACCTACTCTGTACATTGTAAATGTTTTCATTAAACAAATGACTCCTGGAAACATGAATTGAATTAATTTTCAAAGGCTTTAGTCACTACAAATATTATGATGTGGGGCAAAGTTGGTGCATTTCCATTTCTCTTTTTTAACCGTCAGTTTCACAAAAGAAAATCACTCTTTTGGATAAGTTCAGTATTTGTGCTTGCTTTGGCTGTTGTTATTAATTGGTGTAGCTTAAAAGGATTCATACACAGGCCCATGAAGATTGGCCATTGAAGACTAGACCTCGGACTACATTTGCTTCATGTTTCATTTTGAAAGGATGTGGCACTATTCAGTACATAGGAGACAAAAAAAAATTGATTTGTAATTTATTCATTGCAGTGAACCAGTGGGTGATTGGCATCTCTGTCAGTGAATGGACTGGCTCATAAAAATTTGATAAAAATGACAGCACAATGCACTTTACTCTGCCACTTGAGGCTTCATAAGCCATGTATGATTCATGCCTGGGTATGGCCCGATGGAAATTGAATGATGCATGGCTGCCAAGATGCATGGCTGCCTGAATGTAGTCGCTGCAAACAAAATTTCTCGGGTGATGTACAGTGTACCTGCACATCTCCAACCAGTATAACCTGTTCAATAACATGGCATGTACCATACACTACATAATGTTGAATTTTGCGAATTTGACTAGAATAGGAGGCCAACTTTAAACAACAGATTGAGAAAAAAACACCTGGATTTGAGATAAGCATTTCTGTCCCAAACCCCATGTTTGTTAACATCATGAGTAAAACAAAAAAAGATTGGCAGCGTGCTTATGTGACAAGTCTCAAACTGAAAACACCTCCAAAACGTATTTTCACTATTCATGTGTAGTGACAATTGGCAGTGCAACACATAGATACAAATGCCATGTAGCTGAAAACACAAGCAGTAAAAACATTTAGGCTGCATAATAGTTAGCATCAATTTCAAATATGCCTACCGTAAGGGTATCAAGTAGTTTGTCATTATGTTATCAAACAAATTTATGGTTTTCTTCAAATAACAAAATTCACTTGAGACTTGATTTTAAAATAGTTCATTGCTAAGATCGGAAAAAGAAATGTCCCACTTTTTTTATTATCATAAAGATACATGTATTATATACTGTTGGATTCATCAGCGATGAAATTATGCACAAATTATTTAGACCACCATGCCAGGCCCTTCGGGGGGGGGGGGGGGGGGGGGGGGGGGCCTCCCGGCAGGCATTCCCCCCTCCCCCTATCGACAAACACCATGCCTAGTATGTATTTATGTGGTTTTTTTTAATGTACATGTAATGTCCCCCCCCCCTAGTTGGTACTACCCCCCCCCCCACAATGCCCGGAGCTGGCGACTCGCTGTAGACCACATTGATGTATACTACCATTAACATTTTATGAATGTGCATGCTCTCAATTTACTTCTTTTTTTTAGCTGAAGCACAGTGACAATCAAGTCCAGGGCTACATGATGATGGCATAACATGTTCTGCCTTTTTCTCCATTCCTTTATATTTCCATCGGGAAGTGTTTTGAACCAACCTCTGCCTCATCTTGCTTGATGCACATCCTGGGTCTCCAAGGACACAGAGCAGGCCACTGGGGAAGCTCTAAAAGGCCCGAGCCAAGCTAGGCATTAAGTTGTCATGAAGTGGAGACTGCGTTATCCATCTTCCTCCAAGACACAAAAAGCTCTATACATTCTGAGGTTTTTGTGCATATAGCATGACTGATTGCCAAACTCTAGTTGCCATGGTTTAACTTTGCATACTATGTGTGTAAGCCTGCTAACAAGTACAAGCACCTCAGATGAAATGAGGCAGTGACTTTTGCAAAAGGGCATTCCATTTTATAATTGAGCAATTGACCAAAACATGGCACTGGTGTGCACGGGACAGATTCTTTACAAACGTCTCATTGTGGGGAAATAATTTGTGCACACTCCCCATAAACATGACAGCAAACATTTATTGCATCTTGTATTATTTTAGTATATTCGTGCAACACATGTTTTATACTTTTTGTGACTTAATTGCTCTTAGTAAAATTTGCTGCTGGCCAGGCAGGAGACCACAGGTAGCTGCCACTGTCAGCCGCACCACTTTTATTCCCCAAATTTAACAAGAAAATTTTTGGTCAAAATTTTGAATGTACTCTTCAAAGGACTCTGTGACATACATTCAACTCATATTTGTCATATTTGTAGTGTGTTTTGTCGAAACTATAAGCGCTTTGGAGCAGAGCTTATATAGCTTATAATATAGGTCTAGGTGTGATTTTTTTTCAGCTATTTGCAAATTTGTCAAACTAACTATGTATACCTAAATGCTATTCTTAAAGTTCAGACCATATTTTTGCCTCTAAAGATGATTTCTTGGATGATTTCAACTGCAGCATCAAGAAATGCACAATTTACCTAAACTTTTAACAGGTAAATTTTCTGTTTTTACATCTGTGATACAGTGACATCAAAACTTCAAATGGGCATAATTTTGCCTTGAAGGAAAAACTGCACCATTTTTAAAATTTAACTGTTATTGCAAAGGTGAGGATCACAATTCTCTAAAGGAATGCAGAATATAATGCTTCAAACATAAAGCAACCGATAATGAGATGTGCATGAATGAAAAAGGCGAATTGCTAAACAATCCTGGGGGAGTCAGGTTGGCTTAGCAGTACTTTCCTCGCCTTCCAATGCTGTGACCCGGGTTCAAATCCTGCCCTGGACAATATATGGATTGGGTTTTCAGTCCCTACCTGATTCCGTGGGTTTTCCTCAGAAGATCCTCTGGGGTTTTCCTCCCACCTCTAAAAATGTAATTTCTCTCTACAGGTTTCTCCAGGCTTTCGAGCCAGAGGCAGAGCACCTAGGGCACTTTCAAGGAATTAATCCTTGGTGTCACTACCAGAACGAAATTAAAAATAATAATAAAATAACAAACCGGAGCCCCTCATGTCATATAATCTGAAAATCGGGCTCAGACTCAATTGTATAAAATTTCATTTATGGAAGCTTCTGCAGTTATACATATAAAGGCCTAACCATAGTCCCTAATATTAATAACACAGGCACAGCAGAGAATTTTGCAAAAAAGAAGAAATACTAGAGACATGGTGACAGTTGTTAAATCTGTATTTTATTTAATAACCATGTGAATCACCTGCATTCTCAAAACACATCTCGTAAAGAGGCCTACACTGGGAAAATATTTTACAAAATTATCATAAAAACACCATGCGTGCGAAGCTGGGATGCTGCGTCTAGAGCTAGCTATGGCGTATTATTAAGAGACGAGCATGCAAGAATTACAGCAGGTTCAGTGTGCAACACTGAAAATCGCATGGCGACATCGTTATGTTCAAATGTGGAACACCGTATTCCGTAAACCTAGTAAAATCAAATTTTTCTTACCATTTAAAACTGCCTTCAGACGTTCAGTCCACTTCTGTTAATTACAGGATTGAAACCGAGTGGTCGTGGTCGTTAAGAACTTCAGTCCACGCAATCTCATTGTAAACGTGCAACTCTCGCCGCCTTGCAGAACTTGCACGTATCCAGAGATAATTCTTCGTTTTGGCGGCAACTCAAAATTTGTCGACTACGACGAGTAGTTTGTCTCCCAGGCGTCTTGTACAGCAAGACACGCGTGTGTCGTCAGGGTATCGGACACAAGATTTTAAAGGGCTATCGTCTGCCACAAAAGTCAAACTCAACACGTGGCAAGCTTAATATTTTTAGGCCTAGGCTACGTGGACCATGTACCAGTGCTGCCTGAACTTGTCCACAAATTTCAGCACATATATTCATTCGGACAGGCTGTTGACAAAATTGCATGTTCCGGGCCGGAATCCTGAATGATCAGCGTCACAAGCTTCCATTTGTTTTGCACCAAAACTTTCGCGGCAAGTTTTTTTTCCGCGTAGCCTAGGGCCTACCTTAAGGTAGGCCTACCAAAATGGTGTGATTTCGCAAACTTCCACTCTTTTGTCTGTTCTATATTTTATAGGAATCCAAAAACTAGCTTTGACAAATTGACATTGACTGAGCATCAATTTGGCGTGACGTCATCCCATTGGAAACCATGCTTGCGGAATTTAGAAAGAAATTATCTCGATAGGCCTAATATCATTTATGTATGTACCGAGAGTTCTTCTCGGATTTGGGGAGACATGTTACAATTGTTTTAAGATATTTCTGAAGTACATGTATCGTCGTGGTATATGGTCGGAAAAAAACAACGCCGCAATGGCGACGGTTTAGAGAGATGGTCACCAGTTTGTCCACACTTACGCAAGTCTATGAGATATGGTCAACACTGCCTGCACAAAGAACATAGGCACATACATTAGGTCTATGACTGCCATAGAGTTATTTGAGGACAAACTATTTTATGACAATTTTTCTGTAAATGGCAACTATTTTTTTAAACTCCAACTTTATTATCAACGCCGTTTTCACCATGCATATACCACCAATGATCTTGTAGTTTAGGAATATCCTGAAGCAATTTCAACGTGTTTCCCCAATTTCGAAAAATCTGCCTCTGAAAAGGAGTGAACTGGTTTTTTTGTACCACTCTGTAGAACAATTGTCTTATGTAAGCAGTAAAAGGGAAGCGCCATTTTGGAAATGTTATATAAGCATACTGTACATTTGGGAGAGATCTCAAACTCATAACATTCTCACACCACCAAGATCTCCACCTATTTTGATGCAGTTCACAAATCGGATTGGCCGCACATCACTAGTGTTCATCCGTTCATTGTTGCATTAGGGCGTACATGGAATGGTACATAACACCTCGTTTTGGGGTTCTCAACTTTTATTGATTAACTTCAAATTCAATCATATAAACAACTTAAAGTCAACTGATGTTACGTAACAATAAATAAAAATACCTTTTTTTTTACTTTTTAATGTTCAAAACTATGCCAGATATATAGCTAACAAAAATGTGCAACATAAAAGCTGTTCAACATTCAATAAAAAATATTTCCAGATAAACTAGAGTCCACATTACTCAAGCTGTAGTCAGGAATATCAACAGAAATTTACATCCATCCGAAGAATGAGAAGTACAGATAGTTTAGCAGCAGCTTTGACAAATATTTCTATATAAATAGATACAAGATTTTATCTTTATCGTAAATCCTTTCATGCACGACTTTAAAGATCCAATTCACCCCTATTAATGTCGTAAGGCTTAAACATGAAAAGAAAATTAAACCGGCAGAAATTTACAACAAAGCGCAGATTAGGGGGAAAAAAATAAGACATTTTGTGAACTTTTGTTAAACCAAATTTTCCTATTTTTTTTCCTGAAATTTTCCAACGTGACACATCTTCGCTATATTTTCAATTTTTAATGAATTCAGACAACTGAAATTTAAAACAAATAAAAGTTTCTGAAAACCAGGTTCTCAAACATGTTCAAAGTTCAAACTCGTTAGTACCTCCAATAGTTTCAGTCCAGAACCATTCCCTTTACAAATTGCTGTCAATTACGTTCCCGTTCATGAACCTGATAATTGTGCACAATACGTACCTTCCTGAGGTTTTTCACCGACTATTTGGGTTTCTTATCAAAATAATGAGGTCCACTATTGTAGCCAACAATAAGACATAATTATTTAATAATATGTTCAATAATGATTTTTCACAACAGTTACAGCAATTTTCCAACAATTTTCCTGAATAGTTTACACAGAAACACATTTTTCAGTCGGGGAAAGAACAGTTCTTATAAATATTTTAGAGTGAGCAAGTTTAAATTTACACCTATTGTGCTTCAAGGTTATGGACACCATTTGTAAACATTCAAAAATGAAACTGTCAAAATATCATGAAATATCTTACTTTATTGTGAGTAAATGATAGAATCAAGCATCATGTGAAATCGTTGTCATTTTCATGACAGCGTGCCATCATTTCCTCACGATGGTAAAGACCAAACCATCGAGCTTTCAATGGAAATCCATGCTGTGTGTCAAGAAAGATAAAGATGCATTTTCTCATAAAGTACAAGGTGAGTAAAAAAAAAAACGAAACCCAAATGTCGGGACCACTGTTTTAGTAAAGTTCTGCATGTAGCACTTTCAAAATCTAGGATATGAAAGCCCAATTCATAAACTTTCTTTTAGTACAAGAATCATTAAAATCACTTATGCACTTTTCAAGTTACGGAGTTTTAATCACAACCACCGTTTTAAAGTTCTGTCCACGGATCACAAAAAAGGTGTGGGTTCTTTCAGCAAAACGACAACAATTCACATACATCCTTATGTTATTTGTTTTCGTTTTGCTGAAAGAACACTGAACTTTTTGTTATCCGTGGACAGAACCTTAAAACGGCGGTTGTGTTTAAAATTCTGTAACTTGAAAAGTACAGGAGTGATTCGAATGATTCTTGTATCAAAAGAAAGCTTATAAATTGGGCTTTGATATCCTAGATTTTGAAAGTGCTACATGCAGAACTTCACTAAAACAATGGTCCCGACATTTGGGTTTCGTTTTTTTTTTACTCACCCTGTATATCTACCGAGCTGAAATTTTGACAGGTTAGTTTTCATTAATTATACAACACCTGTATACATCCCCGTCCTGTGATTGGTAGGTCTTTGATGAATTGAATTAATCATCCCAACCCACGGCCCAGCCGCATGGTAAAATAAGAAGTTTGCCATTCCACGGTACATAGAAGTTCCAATGCATAGTCACACGATTGGTGGCTCTGACCAATCAGATGCCGAGGATTTATTCATTGTTGTATAAAACAAATATTGCATGTTTCACATTCGTGCAATGGAAAGAATAATGTAATTCGGTGACAGATGGAACGTTCCATTCCACTCGGCTTCACCTTGTGGAATGGAACATTCCATCTGTCACCTCATGAAATTATTCTTACCATTGCACTTGTAAACTTTCATTATTTGTATAATAACCTGCTTCAGATTTATTGTATTGTTGTTCCTTGATTCGGCAAAAAGTTTTACAAATGGTGTCTATTAGCTTTACATTCAGCAGCTTCTTAGTGTCGGCTTCTAACATTTTACAATACATGATGTGTAACCGATAACTCAAAATCTGTCCGGGCAGAAGATTTAATATAACACACTATATTCACACTGTAACAAATACCCAACAAAATGGGGAATGTGGTTCAAGTTACCTGATTAGAAGGCAATAAATCTGGTTCTGAGGAGAACCTTTAGACAAAGGGGTGCCGCAAGTAGCAAGTGCTCAAGCCATCAACCTGCACGTTTCTCATGATTTGTGATGCTAACTTAATGTTTTCAAATTTTTACGCTAACAATTATAGAGGATCATCATATTGTGGGTATCGACAAATCTGATCGAGTGTTTGCTTGAGAAAAATGTCCTTGTGTAATTTCTAGGGGTAAATCTGTGATTTCATTGACATTCTGAAGAAAAAAAATGAAAAAACAAAACAAAACAAGAAAATCCCTCAAGTCAAAGTGAGAAACCTCTTGAGGTGAGAATTTTTTCCCCTAAATGCTAACAGTCTCCTCCTTCTTTGCCATAAGTAATGTATCTTGCTACAGTGCTGGGTCAGTCCAGAAATGTGGGGTCCAAAGGTGACATGTTTGTGTTACTGTTACACCTGACCTGTGTAATTTGCCATACAAGTATCGTTAAAAGTGACTTCCAACTATTTCTTATTTGTTTGACAGGTACTTTGCTGTACATAATCACTCTGGGAGATAGAAGGCATTAAAGAATGTGTCCTGAATTCACAAAATCTGACATCAGATGTAACAGGGACACAAACAAAATTGGACCCCAAATGTATGGACTGGCCCATTATGTGTATCTCATTACAAGACAACTCCATTTTCTATCGACAATGCCCTGAAAATGTCCTCTGAATTTTCTGATTTGACTAACAAAAATACGAAGTGCATGACTGCAGACCAATTGAAATTATTTCACAATGCAGGGATGTAGGTGGGCACGATTAGTTTTACAAGGAATTTGAGGAATATATCAAGTATACAGACATGCATGGCACCAATATGTTATTTGCAATTCTTTTAAAAAGCTTGAAATCCTGCAGTTGCAGGGCTAGCATCTGTGGCAATGACATCATGTAGTATCTGGCAACCTTAACAAATCACCTATTATGAACACTGCTTCATCAAATACTTACATGTTTGTAAGTTATACATATGCGTGGAGTTGAAACATTAATCTTGCTTAGTCGTGCCTCTCATCAATCTCATCTCATCATGGGTCATTCTATACATCTAGGTCGAGTTCGGGCGGTCTGTTCTTGACATGGGTATATTGCTCCTGCGAAACCCTGACGGATAGGTGGTGTGTGATCCTGCTCCGAGTGCAGTGTTAGTGGGTCGTGTTCCCACCGTTGAGCGCGAGAACAATTATACCCGTGTCAAGTACAACCACCCGAACTCGGCCCTGGGGTCCAAAGTGTGACATTTTCCCCGTCCCTGTCAGCTCTGAACTTGTAATGTGCCTTTCAAGTATCATTAATAATGACTCCAAAGGATTTTCATTTGTTGGGTAGGTAGTTTGCTATTTTGTAATCACTCTTGGAGGAGGTTGCATTAAGAAGAGCGTGTATCAGAATTCTGCAATCACAGATGTCAGATGTAACAGGGACAGGAAAAAAGTGGACCCTAAGTTTATAGAATGACCCATATGCATTATAATGATGGAATCTAAGAGATATAAGTATGCAACTAAATATATTGAGATAACTACTGTCCACTTTTTCATAGCAGTGTTCAAAACGAGACTTGGTGCATAAGGGCATGTCTCTTTCACATCCCGGACAAGTTGCGGGTAGAATCATTCACTTTGTCTGGAAGAAGCTCTGCATTTGTCCCAGATGTGTTCCGGTAAAATGCTCATTAGCAACTGCTTGACTCACCGATATTGATAACTTCATTGCGGGAAGATTGCAGGGTAGTTGTTCAGAATCCTGCCACTTTACCCGATGCAATGTCCGTAACTTGTCCCAAACTCATCCCGGATATGAATTGAGACGGGCCCAAAAGTAAAGTCGTGGAAAGCTGTTGCATCTTCATGCATGTCGTTGCTTGCAACAAATCAATAATTCCATAATGAGAATGGTTCTTCTTTTAAACAGCGAAGAGATGTCATTCTGCCGCTGACACCAGGGTCAGATTCTTGCCGATTTTCATATGAAGTTGTGGCAAAAGGCTCTGACAAGTTTTCAGTCCTGCCAAGTTGGGGTACATTAATACCCACTTATTTGCTTACGGTTGGCCTACCCTACTGCTGCATTTACAAGGGCCCACTGCAGTTTGCACTGACAGAGTCTGCGCTTTGCGTCCATGAGATGCAGTGCAACTTCTTCTGTTGTCAACAAGCTTCTGCGACAGCTACGATTCTCTTCGATCATTTCCTTTTCTTCTTCACAGGGGGCGTGTCTTTCGGCAACCATTCGTATATGAAGTCCAGTGCTTCTTCGGGGTCCACTGAATCGGTTTTGCCAAGGAGGTTCAGCTTCCGATGCGTCTTCTCAAACGTCCGCATAATCCTCCTGAAGTTGGTGTCGTTGTAGACAGCGCGGGCGGTGTTGTTCCTATCGAAGGGCTCTGTGAAGAGGGACAGTTGGGTCAAGTCAAGTCAAGTCAAGTTTTAAAAAGTTAAGAATATGGAGTGGAACACCAAGCCATAGAATGTAACACTCCAGCTCATAATCACTTGGACCAATTTTGGAAAACTAGGATTTTTGGTTTATTGGAAAGAACATTGACAAACTTCCCGATGATGTAAAACATGGAACTTGGAGAAAAATCTGACAGAGTTATTTATTATTTTCGGTTCCCAAGTTTCATCAATATGCTCTACATTATAGGTTGTATCTCAAAATAGAGCCCTGCAATTTCCAAGTGGTTTTGTGCTAGAAGGGCATATATTAGATACAGCTCTAACTCTGTACTGACACGTGGTGGTTGAGTGTAAGGCTTAACCAGCACGTGGACAAATGAATTGATATAACACGAAAAGTAAATAAGCAATCATTTTTCAGTCCAATTTTGAATACCATAACGAGAGAGGGGGCTGTTCAACAGCACTACAATACAGTCCTGTGTTTGGTCATTTTGGTAAACAAGCATGAAATAACAATGTGAAGTATCTGAAATTAGGCACGCAGTGGCTGTTCTGCTTGTGCCTCTCGGAAACCTTTACAAATATTTGGAACAGCTAACCATTGCCTTGAATAAGTCCAGACAGGACACTATACATGGTGCCCGGATGTCCTGTATTCCCATAAATTCTGGCAGGTTTTTGAGGTCAACTTGCACACTCTGTGACCATCATTTAGTTAATAGCTGGCCAAATGCTTCCGTTATTAGTGGGCGCTCAGGGAACCCCAATTCCCTAAACTTCACTTCATATGTGCAGTTAGTAATTTAGTAATGTAATCCAACGTAAAGGGTGGAAGCTCAAAGATGCTTTCCCTTGTGCTATTTTCAAAAAAAAAAAAAGGGGGTTTTCAATATCTCTTTTTCTAGCAATTCAAAAAAATTATTCACTTTTGAGTGAGACATCGAACGAAAAAGTCCACCGACGTTTAGCCCTTTTATCAAAGGATTGCAAAAACAAAACATACAAACTAAAATTTTGTGAGCAGAAAAAAACTATTTTTGAAGAGCACAGGGCACACATCTTTAATACAATGGGCACTTGGATTCTAGGAAGACAAATGGTTAACCCTGACCTCCCCAAACCCATCAAAATCCATCCCCCTTTGGAGGGGGGGGGGGGGGGGGGATTTTGGCAGACAAGCCACTATAGTAGTGCCTGAGCATGCCTGTCTGGGGCCCATGCTTAAAAGCTCTGCTTCTCAATGGGCCCCTCTGCAGTGTCTCTAAAATATCACTTTTGTTGTATTATTTGTAATTCTTTTCTGTTATGTAATTATTTCATGTCATTTATTGATTTGATACTGTGGAAAATAAATGAACCTTGAACCTTGTAGTGGTGATCTTGTGGTGGATTTCAGCGGATTTGGTCCTGAAGCATTATGTGAAGCAGGGTCAGTGATGGATTTTGGCGGACTTGGACCAATACTTAGTAAAACACGGTAGGGATTTAGGGTTAATGTAGTACTTGAGGAACGGTCACAATGTATTCATTCAAACTGCCCGATACATACCTTCGATGTAGATGTACTTCTCCACCCAATCCCTGCTGTGGTATGGAGCGTTGGCCAATGGGTAGGTGTTACCAAGTCGTACGCAAATGACATTGGTCTGGAACCTGAACTCCTCCACATAGTATGCAAAGAAGCCCCGATAAAGGTCCCAGATTGAATTGGTGTTCTTCGATTGGAATGTGATGTAGCTTGGGAGGGGGTTGCAGGGATGGGTGTCGTACAGGAACCGAACATCGGAATGGGAATTGAAGGTACTCTGAGGAAAAATTCAAAAAAAGAGATCGCATTAGAGGAATATGGGCATATCATAAATCTCTGGCCAAAATAGTCAGAAAAAGACTTCCGCGCTGGACAAGTATCAAATAGTGGTGGGATTTAAATCCCGTTTTATAATTCGGTTTGAATTCCACCAGTCTAATTCGATTTTGGAAACCAGATATTCTCAATCAACCTTACAAAAAAATTAAGCTTTCCATTTTTTGTGACGCAGGCTAAAGAAAACAACTGGAACATCCCCCAATAGCACTCCGCACAAACAGAAGGATTAAAACAGAAGCAAGTATCAGAATCTCAGACACACATGCTGTACAAACTTCTCGTGTGAAGATTATGCGCACGCTTGCAACACCGTTTCTATGCAAATGAATGCGGGCAGATGTGCATGCATGTGCGCGACTGATTGTTCGAAAGCTTGTCTGACATCCGAGGTATGCGCACGTATGGAGCGGAGCAAAATTGACGTCATTAGTGCGGAGTGCTATTTGCTCCATGGTCTCTGATTGTAACTGCATCCAGTTGCTAGTGGTCTTGGTATGACAATAGCCTGCCCATTCGACTTGTCAGCGATTTTCCATCAATTTTGTATTCATCAGTACAGCTCTGGAGTGTTTTTGTAAAGGCCCAGTGGTCACTGAATCCTGCAAACTATACCCAGTCATTGGGAGGGCATTGCATGTGGTACCTCACTCGTCACTATTTGTTGGCATGACTGTGAGCTGGGTGGGAACTTCCAGTGAAATCAGATAACCATTATTCGGTTTGAAAGAAATTAGGATAACCAAATTTTAAAATCTCTGATTTCTCCCATCACTCGTATCAAATGACTCTAGAGAGTCCAGAAATTGATTGATGTTAATACTCATTACTCACCGAGTGCAATTGATGTAGGCAAGGCAGAACACATGGCTCGCATTTGGCTACAAATAAAATTGAACAAAATCCCTGAATCAATTTCAAAATGAAGAATGATCACCTACAGATTTAACACACTTTGTTGAGTTAAACATTACCTAAGTACATATGATATTATTTGTACATTTATCCCTAACCCTCCTCAATCCTCCAAAATCAACCAGGCAGTTTTGGAGGATAAAAGCTGAATGGCAAAAATGTTGATTTTTGATGATGCATTGAGTTAAGGCCACAGGCTGTACCCTGCATTGTTTATGTTCAGCCAAACATTGCGAGGCATAAATTATACTGGATATCATTGGCATTGTTCTGGATATCATTGGCACTGTCTCGATTTATTAACGGTGCTTATTGGAGGATTTTTAAGGATTGAGGTAGTGGTCACTCCTCCACTGAACAAATTTAAGAAATAACGGATGATTTGGAAGATTGAGGGGAATCCAATTTTTACACGATGGCAATTGGAAGTTTTTGCAGGACTGAAGATGGTTCCTAGCCAAACGGGCCAAGGGGGTCAGGGATCATATTCATAAAAGGGCAACAGTAAGTACAACTGTCTGTTTCTTGTACCTGATAGTGCTTTTCGGCCATCAGCCTGGGGCTTTGGTAGGTATCAAATGATGGGAATAATGCTCATTGTGATTTTTGGCAAGGTATGCACCCCTGTAGTTAGAAAATATGTGATAGCACTGCAGCGGTGGCAGCTTTTGGGGTGTTATCACTTTATGAACAAAAATGGTGGCAAAAACATGCTTGTTACCACATTTTGGTAACAAGCATATTGGCCGCCATTTTGAGAAAAAAAAAATGTAAAAGAGATAACACCTAAAAAATGCCACCACTCACACTGCAAAGCTATCACACATTTTCCAACTCTAGATGTGTATACCTTGCCAAAAATCACTATGAGCATCGCTCCTTTCGATTTTTTGATACCGGTGGCCCAATTTTTGGACCGAAGCTGGTAGCCTATTTTGACGGGGGAGAAAATTCTTGAAAAGACATTGCTTTTTGAGGGCCATACTTGAATCGCCGCCTAACACAAAAAGCAGGTGAAGCGAAGCCAACTTCAGACAAAATTGGGGCATGGATTAAAGGATTTTTGGAAAATGTACCTTGAAGGTAGTTGATTACCATGAGTACCAGTGAGTAACTGGACAGGGTTCCCTGACTCGCATCATTGATGCCTTGAGCAGATGCCCACTGCTTGATGAGAACCACCAACGGAGCCACTCGCCAGTCAACTAAGGATGCACATATGTAAAGTGTAACTTGGATGTTCAAAGTGTTAACGTCAAGTTTGGCTACAGTTTTGGTATATACTGCAAGCGCAGAGACCCGGATATTCGTTCTTTGTACAATTTATTTTAATAGCAGAAACAAAAGGTTGAAGGGTAAGTAAAACAAGGATGGGAAAAGATCACCGAGTTCTTGACTAAGACTGGAGCTTGAGAACAGTGGTATGGGCCTTATTCACGAGTCGGCCAAATTGGATTGAAAGTGAGGTAAAATCTTGGTTTTTAGAACTTGTGTAGAGAAATGAAAGCAAGTTAATTTCTAATTAATTCCAGTCTGTTTCAATGAATAATTTCAAATTTGTAATTAAACGTTCCCTAATGTTTAAAGCCAGATTTAAAAAAAAAATGACAGTAAAATAAGGCTGCATTATGGCTGCATAAATAGTCTGGCGCCATCCCATTCAACAGTTAACAATTAATGAAATACATTCAGGGAACTCAACAAAAATGGCCAACTCGTGAATGCTTATACGATGATGGCTAAGAATGGAATGCTGGTAGTTCAGACTGACCACACTGACCTCATTGTATGGCCTAGGAACCTAAGTGGGTGGCTGTCGGTAGGGCAACCAGTGGGCCTTCCTCTACCACTGGCCTGGTCTAATCTTATAGGGACAGTGCACTGAAAGTGCCCGGACAAATAGCCGATGGAGGGCACTATTATCATTGTGGTCACAATTTGATACACTAAACTTGTGCTATGTATGGGCTCCATGAACAAACTTGTACCCCCTCAACAATAAAGTAGAGTTGGACAAGACCAATGGGAGAGACATTCGAATGCATTGCGAACGACGCCTCATGCTCACACGAAGACGCTATGTCTTTATGCACATTCAGAATAAAATGATTTTGGTGTACTTCGTACCATACGCACACAAGCGAGTATGCGCACGAAATCTTTCCCCCCAATAGAGCTCTCAAAAGCAGTTAAAAAGCGTCCTCTCTTGTTTTCCCATAGCACCAACAATCGGCATATCATAAAAGATACATCAGGCAACAAAGCAATGCACAACAATGTACATCTGAAAAAGTCTTGCATCCATGACAATTTCTGAACAGCCCCTAGGCGTTTTCTCCAAAATATTTCAAAAAATCTGCCGACTTTTATTATTTCAACGCAAATTCTAAGCATATGGTTTTCTTTGTAATACACGACATGGGAGACATCAAGCATAGTAGGTAGCTGACTGTATAGTAAACAGATCCTTCAAATACTGCATAGCCAGGATTTTGATAAATTTGGTGGAGTTGGGATTAACTTCAAGACTGCATGTCAGATTTTGTAAAGCCATACCAGCTGCGCGACCGGATGAGCTTTGCTATTTTCATCAATTCAAACCAGACGAAAACATCCTTGAAAAGTCTGAAAGATGTCTGGGTAAAAGATGAGAATTTCAGATGGGAGAGTATATGTACTTACTTTTTGAGTATATCTGCAGCAGATGAGTATTCCTGATACCCTTTAAGGAAAAATCCAAAATGGAAACGAGTGTTACAAAAGGGTGTTTGTATCTTGTAAATCGAATTGTAAGAATGTCCAAATTTTGTTCAGTAAGAATCCACATTGCTGTAGTATAAATAAACACATTGCCGCCACAAATGCCTGTTTACTAAAACGCCAGGGTCCTCGTCCATTCTTAATGGACTAAATATGCCACGGCTCAGAAGCCAGTATTTACAACCATTTTACAATTTTTTCTGCAATACTTTACACACAAATTGAATTAATAATTTAAGAGATTACTTACGGTTGCATTGTTGATGTTTATGTCACAATCAAGCCCACTGTGTAAAGAACAGAAAATAAATGTTAAACATTTTTAATTTAAAAGGGAAAATATGCAGAATTCTGTATTATCAACTCTGTACACATTTTTCCCGCCAAGTGAAACTAAAACTACCACTGAGGCATTTAAACCTAAAACTGTTCAAAAAAAGATGATTTTCAACTTGTAGTTGGAGAAATGTAGTTGTGGTCTCTTTTAGAGATGCACTTTCTGATTTAAAAAATCCTATATTTGGAATAGAGAAAACAAAAACCGAAATTCTAAAAAAAAAATTAATGACAAATGTGAAGTTATACGTACCTGTAGGTGCTTGAACACACAAACTTCAAGATTGGAACTTTGGCATAGATAACTTGAGCTTCAGAAACAAAATCTGTGTTCAAAAAAAAAGTCAGAAATATCTAACCTCCAATTCAGAAATGAGCACTTCTAGGGTTACATCAATTCCAGACGCAAATTAACGGCACATTTCTGCACAATTACAATATGAAGGAAAAGATTTTATCTGTAATCCTGCCTGTCCTCTGAAGAAATTTGTTGGTTGAATGCCTGTCCATCCAATGAAAAGAGAATGAGAAGATGTGGAACATTTTTGTTCCGCTTTGAACCTTCCTCTTTGAAGAATTGAGAGCAGCATTCTTAAATGTGAAGATGTTAAGCCCGGTTCATACTTCACGCGAAAGCATGTGCGAAGCTAAATTCATGTCGTGAACAATGGTGGACGCGCTTCGAATGTATTGTTGACGTCACAAATTTCGCTTCGCTTTCGCTTTCGCGTGAAGTATGAACCGGGTTTGAGGCTGCATCTGAATTAACCAGTTCGCGCCGGATGACGTGTATACACGCAAAGGTTTTTTAGCGGTATTCGGAACGGATGACAGATAAACACGCAGGGAGCAAGGCCAGAAATATCTGTCAGCGACCCGCTCGCAGCGAGCGAGGCCAGAAATATGAGTGTGCTGCCCGAGGGTGATGGCTTCAACCCACCTGGCTTGAGGTCCAGTGAAAAATAATCCCGCGCCTTGTTCTGTTCTTGTCAAAAACAATCCCGGCACAAACTGGTTAAGTGGCTAAGTGTGTAGTTGCAAGACGTAGCCAAGTGATTTGAACACAGTCTTACATTCCCAGATGGAAAAAGTATGTGTGTCTGACCTGGACAAGCATTGTTCCCAATGGAACACTCCCGAAATTCAGAGATTTGAGTCACTTCCTCATGCTTCTCAAACTTGAGAAACACAAATAATAGTAGTAAGTAATAATGTGGTGCTTAAAAAATCCTTTTTACCAACGGTCTCACAGCACTTCACAATTATCACCTCGTTCATCAGTTTATAATTTTCTTTTTTTCTGCAGCAGCTCAACATCAGTGCAAGCTGGTCTCTATCTTCACCGGTACCCCTTTATACTCCTGGGTGGAGAGAGCCAATTGTAAATAAATGTCTTGCCCAAGAACACAAGTGTACTATTGCACACGATTCAAACACCATAACAATTGAAAAACTGATGTGACTCGACTCTTTAACTTCAAAGTAGAGAGGACTTAAACAGTGCACACCCACATTTTAGCCAATGTACTCAAATATGCAATAATGCCCACCATATGCAAGAAATAATCCTATGAGACATCTACTGACTTACTGCTTCTCTGCAATATGAGGTTGTGTAACACATTCAAAATGTAGGTTGCGTGATGCTTCTGGTTCAGCTGCAGAGGACAACAGAATGAGAGAATCGGGTTACAATAGATCCCTTACTGATTCCTGATTCTAATGATGGGACTTGTGTGAATGAATCATGTGTCAAGACAAATACATGACATGTTTTTTCAGCACACTGACTGGTTAGGAAGGATTGTAGACTTGACCATGTTTACTGCAATATTTTATGAGAATACAGCACATCTGGGCACCATGTATAGGATCTACAACGTGTGTGTTGTCCTATTCTTTGCATTTTTGTGTGTCCTGACTGGGCCAATCCAATCAAGGGCAATAAATTAACATGAAATTTTGGCTTCTGCGCATGCGTACATCCTGTAACTACGAATTCTGTGCTTACAGGGTTAGCACAGAATATTTCTGCTAGCGCGGTTAGCACAAAATGGTGATCCTAAGCACGGAATTCTGTGGTTAGCAGAGCCATGAAATTGGGCCCAGGAAGTGAAAAGGCTGATATCTGACACATTTTCAAGAAGAAATTTGAGGGAATATTCCTCACGGAAGCTCTCTCATCATGTGCAAAAGTGGCTTTCAATAAAAGCGTGGCTTTGACAAACAATAAAACCAAGGAATTAATACGATAAAAATTGAGGCTTTTCATCATCTCTTCGAGACCGCTCACATTTTTCGAATATCTGAATCGGAAAAATGCTATTCCAATATAAGGTTGATTAATATTCAATTATTTTGTATATTCGGCGTAGCCCTACAAGATTTGTCCACAAAGCACCACCTAAAGTTCCCACACGGAGTCAACATATATCTTACAGAACCCCATCAGCTTACCTCTTTGCTACTGACCATGAGACACAGATCAGTATCGCTGCTGTTGGTAGCGAATCCATTGAGGGAGGAACCAACAAGAAAGAGCATTGTACCTGCAAAATAAATGCAAAGTTGTTCCCATTTAGTGCGACTGATCGTCAGTGGTGACTTTTAGTCATAGTCACGATCTCATTTTGCGTAATAGTTGACTCTTTGTGGCACCTGACTAGTTCCGGTGCTAGTCGTGGTGCCAGGACTAGTCATGGAGCCATGACTAGTCATAGCACTGCAACTAGTTGTCGGGAAAGGTTGGTTGGGACATTCATGGGGAAAATTTATCGTATGATCAATGAACATGTTTATACATACAGTTGAAAATTTATGAAATGATCACAGGAATAGACGTTTCATCAAACAAAAGTGCTCTGTAGAAACTGGAATCAAACCACACCAACAAGAAACTGGCGAGTAGGACATTGTCCAAAATGCTTTTTTAGCATAGACAGAACTAGCTGTAACAATGTATTATGTAGTGCTCCATTAATCAGACATATCGATGATGTTTTCATGAAGTGACAAAAACCTCCAAAATCGAAAATTTTGAGTTTTGCCGGCCAATTTATTGCATTTGATAAAAGGAAGAATTTGGCTGAGTTTCAAAGCGAAATATTGTTTACTTTTGTAATTATCGTAAACAAACATTTGACAAAATGCCTAAAATCCGTGTTTTTCTGTTTTCACGAAGTGACACAAACTTACCTCGTTAGCAGGGCCAGAGGAATAAATCATTTCTCTACACACGCGTTAGGATGGGATTGGACGGGATTGGAGGCGTATGCCGTGAACGATGTCGATAAAGAACAGACACGCGCGCGCTGCAGCGACGTCAGGCGCGCAAGTGTAACAATTTCTTAGAACGTTTTATGTTTTCACGAAGTGACAAAGAGTGTGTACAACTTAATGGGACAAAATAGTGAGGCCTCTGTGTTTTGCTGCTTTCACGAAGTGAACAAAACTTTTATTGATCTTTATTAATGAATTACAGTTTAATTAAGCAAGACTTCTAATAAACAACTTTGAATTAGCAAAGAACAAAGCATACGTTACTTGACAATGCAAGAATTTCTTAAATTCATAACTAAAAACTAGTCGAAAAGGTGTTTTGAAAAAATGATTAACTTCAAAGGCGATTATCTCGGAATGACCTTTTTGCATGATACTGAGGTTTTTGTCACTTTGTGAAAACACCGTCGATATTTCCTAATAACTACAAATGACAAATAGTCGTGACTAGTTGGGTAGTTATGACTTTTTATCGCACGACTACCTGATGAGTGAATTTTACTAGTCGGCAGTCGCACAGCACTAACATTTATAGCATTATCAAACTTCAGATACAAATACACAGCCGAGAACAAGTTCAATCAATGAAGCATTTGTCACTTACTAGTTGATTCGTGATTTAACTTTTGCCGGCACAGCAATATCAAAATGATAACCACGTCTGGTCACATTTTAATTTTCATTTTTACCTTGGTATTTTAATTGAATAATTCCTTCCAGCGTCTGTCGTAGATTCTCCTTCATGTACAGTCGCTGGGTGCTCTGCTTGGAGTTCATGTAGTTTTTCCATATCGCCTCTGAAATCTTTTTAAAAATAATGAAACAGACGACATAAAATAACGATGAAGGTCGTGAAAACCCTCGTTCCTCATCTTAACTGCAATCCCTCGAAACAAGATCTTTTCCAGGACTGATCTGCTCTAGTTCAAACAGAATCAAGTAAATTAACAGATACAGAGTAATCTTTTGATCTTTGAGAACACTTTTTACTTCTGAATGGCTGAACATAGAGCTGTGCATTGGAACCGGGAACCCCAGTACCCAACCATTTTTGTCAGGAACCGGTTCCAGATTATGGGATCGGGTACCCGTAACCAATTTTACAAATTACTCAGCAACTTCTCAGACAATGAAAAAGAAAGATTTTGAATGCCATTTGTGGGGAATTTCAAAATGAAAGCCAGGCTACATGGGAAAACAAAACATATTTCGCGTTTAAGACACTCGCGAAAGTTGTAATTTACACCGTAAAGTTGTTAGCTCACTGTACACACTTGTATCTTGCTGTATTGAAGCGCCAATGTGGTTGTATTATCATGCTGACCTTTATGAACAATCTCAACAGCAACTTCCGTGATTTTAATTTTGGGATGGGGTTTCTTATCTGGTACATGGGTATCCTTATTTTTTTCAATCGGGTACCCAGTTTCCCGTACTACCGGTACCCGTAAATGCACACCCCTAGCTGTACAGTCAGTTCACATTCAGCAACTTTATGCAAGTACATGTACATGTCATGCATTCAACAATAACCATGCCTACCTTGTCCAATGCTTTACCAGTGGGGTTTGTGGTGTCTGGTTTGGGGCTTGGAACATGAGCTGAACGACTATCATGGGTTCTTTTCCTACTACTCCCACTGGATTCGGAATGGTCCCTGGTGGAGCTTTTGGGTGTATCAACCAGCCTGTTGGGCTTATGCTGTGGTTCCCTTTGATCACCGCGTCCATGTGATGAAGTAGCCGTGGATGGGGAGCTGTTCCTTGTCGGCTGGCTGTGAGCCCGGCCCTTGTGCGCCGTTGAATGACCAGAGGGGCGCTCAGCGTACGTGTGTATAAACACAGCTTTTTCCCGGCTTTTGCCCACATCGTCAGACGCTGAGGACGATTTCCGATTTTTGTCTTTAGACGCCATCCGACTGTTCATAGCAGAATATCGAGGCTCTGTAGACTTTCCTGGACCGTTAGCTTGGGTGACACTCTGTGTACTGGTCTGAGGCTGTAGCCTCGAGTCTGTTGCGGTTGGGGCTGACGGATCTCTACTCTGAGTCTCTATCTTGGCTTTGTCCCCGAGAACCTGAACCAGCAGTTTGTAAGTGTTTGGCGTCTCCGGGGTCTTGGCTAGACTGACTCTCCTATCCGATGTGATGGGTACTGTTGGTTGGGGTGTTGCATTTGGTTGGCTTTGTCGACCTTGACTAGGTTGGTTTATGGTCACTGGACTGCCACCGGCTATCTTTATGGTCCTGTTTTGCATAAATGTAACATTATAAGAAAGAATGGTCTAATGATTTCAGTGAATCCTCAATTTCAACTGACCTATTATCGTGTGAAAGTTAACTATGTCCCATTATCCTTAAACAACTTGATATGTCCTGCACTACCAATGGGGGAAATTACAGTTGGAGTTGGAGTGGAAAAAAAGCAAAAACATGTGCATGTTCAGTAGAATTTTGAACTTACTCATTTTTGCATTCTAGTTAACCCTAACTTTCCTAATCCCTCCAAAATCCTCTTTGCTTAATGGGGGATTTCGAAGGATTGAGGGCCTTTGAAAATTGAAGCACTGGAGGATTTTGCAGGATTGAGGGCATCACAGGATTTTGCCTCTGGAGGATAATGGAGGATCCAGGCTAGCAGGCCCCAACTGATGCTGGATGAAATTGGATAATTGAGGCTCTGGCTGGTTTTGCCAACAAAAAAAAAGAAGATTTTTGGAGGATTCAGGCTGTTACTTGCTTTATGCATGTATACTTGGGTAGGCATCCAGCATACACCACTGTTTATTGCACGGCCTCTTTACTCCAACAATTTAGGGTCTTGGCATTGCCAATCCACAATACCGGATAATAATGGAGGATTTCAATAAGTTACACAGGCTAATGAACTCATAAGCGCATTGAAATCCGATTATTTGATAGCACGCCAGCAAACCCAGTGGAGGATTTCTAAGGATCCAGGAAGAGGCCTCCAGCGACAAAAAGTGGATGATTTTGAAGGATTCAGGTGCGTAGAGTTTTTAACTCTTTGCCACTGGAGGATGTTGGAGGATTCAGGCTGCTTCTGGTCAAGAGAGCTTAGGGAGTTAGGGACTCGGACACGCTGTATGTGAGAGCTCGTAAGTGATTGTGCCACTTCATTTTTCTTAACAGATTAATTTTGATCTGCACAATGCCTCTGCGGTTTGGGATTTTTTGAAAATTGCAATTTCTAATTTGGATATTTTTTCTTGTATTAAAAATTAAAACAAAGAAAAGCTTCCAAATACATTTTGGTTTATAAGATCACTTCTCCATTTTTTTTGTTTGTTTTTTGTTTTACAGTACTCACTTTCTCCCTTTGTCAATCAGAAACAGTCCAGGCTGAGTCATTCCATTTTGTTGAGGAGGGGGTGATTGGTATGGGTACACATTTGATGGAGTTAGCAGTCTTTGGTAAACTGGTAGTACCCTGGAATCCAATGGATGGGTCGGCCGCTGGCCATGGTTAGCGCCTGTGGCAGTGTTCCGATGCATTGAGAAGGATGACGAGCCTAAAAGTTGAAAACACAAAAATAAAACAAATTTATGATTCCTCAAGACAATACAGCCAGTTTTTGGAACAATCTGTTTTTAAAATGATCTATTTTTAAATTAAAGATCATGTACATGTACTTATTTGCCTACAGAAGTTACATGGATGTGTGTTAAAGGGAATATACATCATTTGCTTTTGCTGTAATTTTCAGAAATGGATGGAATTGGGGGGTTGGAAATATATAGCAAATAGGCCTATAGTTACACTGACTTTTTTGAGGTTTTGGGTTCGAAAATGCTATAAAAACCAAGAAAAACAATCATTTTCCTGTAGTTCCCTGACTCCATATAAGAAGAAACAGAGCAGTTTACATACATTGGGGAATTGTAAGGTTAGGGTACCAGTCTTGCTGGCTTGTACCCGTTCATAGGTGCGTAATCGATTGCAAACAAGTGCGATGGTCAATTGGGGCCAGTATTTGAAAAAAAAAGCCATTTTTTTTCCCAACGCTGGTCGGCCGACCAGCGTTGGAAATTGATACAAAAATACCACTTTTCTTGAAAATGACAGTATACCAGGTGCCACGATTTTACAGGATGCTTTACACTGTCATTCACTTACAGTCCAGCAAGGTATTTCAAAATGATTTGGTAGTTTTATTTTTTGATGTATGCAAATGTTGTATTTTCCCTTTAATTGAAAATTAGTCCGAAAATGTTGAACTCTTAATACTGTGTATGAGGGTCCCAAAACTTAAATGTATTGAAAACATGCAAACGTAAAAAATAGACTGGCACATTAACCCCAACTCCCTAGCATGATTTACTATAGCCCCATAAATGTGGCCTATTTACTGGACTGCCTCCGTAAACATAGGCCACACATCCACATGTACAAAAATCGTGTCGACGGAGCCAAATTTTGATTTTCACATTAAGGCTTAGTTTGTAGGTTTTTTTTGCTTTAGAAGCATACTCACCCTCTTTATAGGCTAATCAGAAAGTGCTGCCTTTTTCAGATGTATATTTTTCGTGAAATTTCCAGATTCATTTTTACACGTTTGCGTATCAAAATTTCAACATGAAATTTCACAAAAATTAGACATCTGAAAAAGGCAGCACTTTCTGATTAGCCTGTAAAGAGGGTGAGTATGCTTCTAAAGCAAAAAAAACCTACAAACTAAGCCTAAATGTGAAAATCAAAATTTGGCTCCGTCGACACGATTTTTGTACATGTGGATGTGTGGCCTATGTTTACGGAGGCAGTCCAGTAAATAGGCCACATTTATGGGGCTAGATTTACTAGGAACCATACCCATCCTGGCAAATTCCAACACCATATGGGAAACTGCACACACATATTTCTGACTTACTTTTTGGAGGTGAGCCAACCCAATGTAAAAGACTGTCAGTTTAGGGGTACTGTACCCATCCCGACAGATTCCAACAAATCATGCTGTTGGGGTTTGATGGGTTGAGTTCTGTTAGGGTTAAACAACCAGTCTAACTTAGTTATAAATTACTTCCAGAACTGTAGGGTGTTTTACAAACCTTACAGAAAGACCAATTGAAGTTGCTGTAGCAGAAAATTCTTAATTTTTTCCGACCCCCAAACTCTGCTGTCGCGAAATGTTTGGCCTCAATATTTCACAAGTGTTATATTGATGAGGAGTGATACCTCTAGGGTGGGTTGAAATTTCTCAAATGTAAAACAAAAATGTGAAATTTACCACAATTTTGTTCACCATGATCACAGGAGTCTCGCACTCGGCCGTCTCTCATTGTTTACCGTCAACTGAGGCGCTTTAATTCTCTTGACCAACTACAGCGCGGCTTTCATTCGGAGAGTGTCTCCGTGCCTCATTCAATGAAATGAAAGCCGCACTGTAGTTGGTCAAGAGAATTCAAGTGCCCTCAGTCGATGATAAACGACGAGAGACGGCCAAGTGCAAGACTCCCGTGATCGTGGTGAATGAAATTCTGGTAAATTTCACATTTTTGTTCGACATTTGAGAAATGTCAACAAACCCTAGAGGTACTAATCCTCATCAAGAAAATACAGCAGAGTTTGGAGGTCGGAAAAAGAATGAGAATTATCTGCTACAGCAACTTCAATTGGTCTTTCTGTAAGTGTAAGGTTGGTAAAAAAAAAACCTTACAGTTACAGTTCTGGTATGGCATGTATGGTAGTTATAAATGAACTAAGGTGGGGGATGATACTGATGGAATCCGAAGTGTAGCTTCCTGCTTGAATGTAATTACGTACTGCAGTTCCTCATCATGACATGAGCATCCATACCGTACCTTCTCATTTTCTACCCGTGTCATATCACTGTGTGTGGCTGTACATTCAGCTAGCTGCAGTGCAGGTACGGTCAACTTTTGTTCAACAACAAATAGGCTAATTAATAATAGGCCTAAAAATTATGGTTTCGATCCAACTCGGACCCAAACCAACTCGGACCCAAGCCAACTCGGACCCATGCCAACTCGGACCCACTACCAACTCGGACCCATGCCAACTCGGACCCACTACCAACTCGGACCCACAACCAACTCGGACCCACTACCAACTCGGACCCACAACCAACTCGGACCCACTACCAACTCGGACCCATGCATGACCAACTCGGACCCATCGTTTTCAATCATTCGACATCGTTTTCAATCATTCATTTCATAAGGTTTGTCCACTTCTCATCTGTTATTACAGTGATGCTGTTTAGTATAAATGTTCATTGTAATTGTAAGGTAAATTATCTCATGTACTACGGTGGCCCACAACTGTCACGGCAAAAGCAAAAGCGCCACGGCAAGCGCAAAAGCGCCGCGGCAAGCGCAACAGCGCCGCGGCAAGCGCAACAGCGCCGCGGCAAGCGCAACAGCGCCACGGCAAGCGCAAAAGCGCCACGGCAAAAGAAAAAGCGCCACGGCAAAACAAAAAGCGCCACGGCAAAAGAAAAAGCGCCGCGGCAAAAGAAAAAGCGCCACGGCGAAGGCAAAAGTGCCACGGGTTTATTGGGAAGGGGCGTAATCATACATGCCGCTACTACATCAAAAAATAAAATGGGAAGGAGAATGGCCGCCACCAGGAATTCTTATTAAGCACATAATTTAATGCTTTGAGAAGTGATTTTATGGCTGAGAAAATAGCAAGGCCAAGGAAAACCGGTCAGGAAATAAATCGTCGATATTAATTTGTTGTAGGATAATTATTATTCCAAGAGAGTTGCTGCCGTGAATCAGAGTTTATCAAGGAGTGGGACTCGCTATCAGCACCATCAGGGCCGTTCCTCATTTCTTTTCATTTCGTGGGATGCAAACAATTACGAGGACGGGAGGCTCTGTGAGCTGATGCATTTTTTTGAAGAGTTTTTTTCTTCCGACTAGCATGCAGAGAAGAGTTCCGTTAATTTGAGACTTAGTTCACCCATGGGCGTCGCGAGGGGGGCAAGGGGGCGCTTCCCCCCCCCCCCCCTGGAATAGCACACAAAAAAGGAAGGGGAAAAAACTGAGAGAAAAAAAGAAAAGAAAAAGAGGCGCGAAGTCATAGTGGTGTAAATTGAAAGAGTTGGGGGGGGGGCAAAATGTCCCTGCCCCCGTCTAAAACTGAGAAATCGGGAATTTGTTCAGAAATACAAGAATTTTTTTGGGAAAAATATGTTTTGCCCCCAAAAAATTCGCCCATGAGTTCACCGGTGTGTATACCAGTGTAGGCACACAATTGAGCTGCCCAGAGTTTGGATATAGAATAAGAAAGAAAGAAATTAACTCAGAACCTAGAACTCATTGGCCCACCCACCCCCGGCTCAAGAAACCAACAAGCCGAACAAGACCTCATGATGCTTAGCGATAGCGATGATGAGTTGCCCTGTGGACAGTCTTCCACATCATCGCAGAATCAGCCTGCAGGGCAGAAAGAGGGCTTGTTTCCGGCATCAAATAGTTCCGTATTCACTCGAAACAAAGCAAACGGCTCTTTTCAGAGCCACCAAATTTTCATAGAAGAGCTTAGAACTGGGCATCTCAACGATAACACTTCTCCTTTGTTTAGTGTATCTCCCTTACCCCCCCCTTTTTAAGTTAATTTCTTTCTTTCTTATTCTATATCCAAAGTCTTCGCCTGTGTTACGTTCCTTACATGAAATCCACGACCTAACCTCCTCTGTCGAAAGCGTTGCAACTGTCTAATAGAACGATCCATTTCTCGATTTGTGAGTTATCTTCAACTCAGTCGTGTTTATTGGGAAGGGGCGTAATCATACATGCCGCCACTACATCTAAAATTAAATGGAAAGGAGTATGGCCGCCACCATGAATTGAGAAGTGATTTTATGGCTGAGAAAATAGCAAGGAAAACCGGTCAGTGCAAGCAACGTTCAGCGAAGAGTTTTGAAATTCCCGCTCTCTGGGAATTTCTAACCTAATGGGCCCGCGGGCGAGTTACGTGTTGACAAGCCTTACCCACCCACTGCCGCAGCCCTGCAGGAGAGACTTAATCGACTTACTAGATGTGTATGATATACTGAAAAAGAAAAAAAAATTAACTCATACACTCTGGGCAGCTCACTTTCGTGCCTACACTGGTATACACACCTGTGAAAAAAGGCTCAAATTAACGGAACTCTTCTCTGCATGCTAGTCGGAAGGGGAAAAAAATGTCTTCAAAATTGCATCAGCTCACAGAGCCTCCCGTCCTCGTAATTGTTTGCATCCCAAGAAATGTAAAGAAATGAGGAACGGCCCTGATGGTGCTGATAGCGAGTCCCACTCCCTGATAAACTCTGATTCACGGCAGCAACTCTCTTGGAATAATAATTATCCTACAACAAATTAATATCGACGATTTATTTCCTGACCGGTTTTCCTTGGCCTTGCTATTTTCTCCGATAAAATCACTTCTCAAAGAATTAAATTCTGTGCTTAATAAGAATTCCTGGTGGCGGCCATTCTCCTTCCCATTTTATTTTTTGATGTAGTAGCGGTGTCACGCCCCAACTATCGCATCGGTCCCAACTATAGTTGGGACTGTCCCAACTATAGTGCGGCAGTTGGGTCGGCCCAACTATAGTTAGGACTGGAGTTGCGCCGGATGCTTCATGCTTGATAGCTCTTGTTGGATTTCCGCGGCGCTGGCACCGTGTATTCGTCTTGCATGCATGCCGCAAGGCTGGCCGGTCACGTGGTAGGCCCTACTGCCTAGTTGGATGAGTTGTCCAGCTGCTGGGTTGATTGTCCAGCAACATTTTGCAAAATTCAAAGATTGCCATGGCCGGCCAACTATAGATGGGCCCCACCTAGCTCTACTGAGTGGAGCGTTGAATTACGGGTACCCCTTAGTGGAGCGTTGAATTACGGGTACCCCTTGGAGGGGTACCCGTAATTCAACGCTCCACTCAGTAGAGCTAGGCCCGGTAATTCCTAGGCCCCACCCATAGCTAATGTCAAAGGTCCCAAGTAAAGTCGGACAGTATGTAACAGAGCTGTAGGGAATGTTTTATAGTCGTCGTACATCAATGTAAACTATAGTTGGGACCGCCAAATAAAAATATTGCGGTGGCCCAACTACAGATGGTCCCCACCCATAGATAATTTCATTGGTCCCAAGCACTGATCTCTATATAAAGACTGGATAGCGGATATGCATACAACATTCACACAGTAGACTTTGCATATTGACCAATTCGCCCCCGGTCTCACGAAGATGGCCGCGTATATACGAACGTTCTACGCGTAAATACGCGCGCGTTGTATCAACAGTTGACGCGCATTTTGGTCACGTACACATATTATGATGTTCTAAAAAGGACACATTTCCGTAGTGATTATTATTTCAAAAACGCCGAAATAAGTGATTTGCGGCATTATAAAAGTAACCACGACGTTAGAAAAATTGTAGTAAACCTTAGTCAGTTGGTCAGTGGTGGTGGCCAAAATATAAGTCAAGTGAACCGCGACATTACAAAAGAAATCACGCTGTCTATAAAGACGGCAACTTGTCCTTTGTAGATCACCAGCCGGTCTCACCAATATGGCGTCAAATTCGTACATTGTGCGGCTCTTCATTAGCTATCCAGTCTTTATATAGAGATCAGTGGTCCCAAGTAAAGTCAGATGTGTATTAGAGTTGTAGGGAATGTTTTATAATCGTACAACAATGTACACTATAGTTGGGACCGCAAAATAAAAAGATTGGAGTGGCCCAACTATAGATTCGCCCCATCAATAACTAATTTCAGTGGTCCCCAGTAAAGTCAGACGTGTATCAGAGCTGTAGGGAACGTTTTACAGTTGTACATCAATATAAACTATAGTTGGGACACCGCAAAATAAAAAGATCGGAGTGGCCCAACTATAGATGGGCCAGCCCAACAGTGGAACTTACAGTTGGGACCGTCCTAACTATAGTTGGGACAGGCCCAACTATAGTTGGGCCAGCCCAACTGTGGAACTACAGTTGGGACAGGCCCAACTATAGTTGGGACAGGCCCAACTATAGTTGGGACCGATGCGATAGTTGGGGCGTGACAGCGGCATGTATGATTGCGCCCCTTCCCAATAAACCCGTGGCACTTTTGCCTTCGCCGTGGCGCTTTTGCTTTCGCCGTGGCGCTTTTGCGCCTTGCCGTGGCGCTTTTGCGCTTGCCGTGGCGCTTTTGCGCTTGCCGCGGCGCTTTTTGTTTTGCCGTGGCGCTTTTTGTTTTGCCGTGGCGCTTTTTGTTTTGCCGTGGCGCTTTTTCTTTTGCCGCGGCGCTTTTTCTTTTGCCGTGGCGCTTTTGCGCTTACCGTGGCGCTTTTGCTTTTGCGGTGACAGTTGTGGGCCACCGTACATATCTGTATTGCAGCAGTATAACATTTTTGTCGTTGTAAAGCGCATTTTTAATTGTTTCCATTAAAACATATTACGCTGTAAAAGTTTAACCAATTATTTACTTTCATTAAAACATATTAATTAACATCGTTCACACCATCTTGCTAAATTTTACAGCATTTATTTCGTTTTTAATCCAAACTTCAACGGGGGGAAAAAGTTAAATCAAAAAAGTATAAAAAGTTAATCGGATTTGTAAAAAAAACCCACAAAATTCAAAGCCAGCATGTGAATTAAAAAATGATCAAGTTTAATCCCCTACAAATAGATGCAATGTCAATCATCAAAAAGGAGTATTGGAGCTCTGGGAAGATTATCCTTCAAGGCCTTACAGGTAGCTGCCTGTATGTTCCACCATGATGTTCCACAGGGGAAAAAAGTTAAATCCAAAAATTATTAAAAGTTAAACAGATTCATAAAAAAATCCCACAAAATTCAAAGCCAGATGTGAATTAAGAAAAATCAAACAATTACATGAAATGAAAGGCCTAAATAGTTATTTCAAATTAATAACTTCCTCACTGAAACAAAATGTGCCACTTAAAACCACTTGTTACACGACACAAAGGCCTGCAAAAACAAACAAGTAATTTAATTTTTACTGAAAATTATAATCGAGATTTTGAAAAAGCATGTCAAGTTGTACAAATGACATACGATATGCCTTACCGTACTATACGCTATTAATACCTCTTGGTTTAGCTTCACAGGTCACGGTTTCAAAAAGCTAAGCACGTTTAGTTTCATGACGTTCAAAACGATAAGCGTTTAGCAACAGTATTTACTGTACGCATTATAAAATAGCGCTCCACACAGCGGCAATACAAGAAAACAACAAAACTAAAAGCCCCATTCTGCCCAATGTAATTACAGAATATCTTCACTATAAAAGCACTAACATTAAGATCACCTATAAATATAATCTCTGAAACTAATGATTGAGTCATTGTTGGGTCCGAGTTGGTCGTGCTTGGGTCCGAGTTGGTCGTGGGTCCGAGTTGGTCGTGGGTCCGAGTTAGTAGTGGGTCCGAGTTGGTCGTGGGTCCGAGTTGGTAGTGGGTCCGAGTTGGTAGTGGGTCCGAGTTGGCGTGGGTCCGAGTTGGCATGGGTCCGACTTGGCATGGGTCCGACTTGGTTTGGGTCCGAGTTGACCTGATACCAAAATTATACAGCAGCGCCGAGTAAACACTTGTTTGAGATCTGTTAAACTGAAACATCTACAACAAAAACATTACGCAGTGGCTATTGTTACGGCAGCCGTAACGCATTTCCCATTTTCTATCGTTACGGTAGACTGCAACCTGCCAACTTTTATAAGAAAAACATGACAAGAAAATATAAAATTAGAAGGAAAAAAGTGAATTTGAACTTTATGAAATTCGGACTTTATCTCCCTTTTAAAAAAAATCCTCCAAAGCCTCAGGTTAGAAAAGGAAAAAAATTCGAGTGCAAAACCTGAGATTCGAACCCGCAACCTCGCGGTGCAAAATCCTACCCTCTAATATCTATCGGCTAAGCTGGCGCACTGCTCGACAAAATGTGTGGAAACAAATAATTATATACCTGCGTGCGTATCAAAAAAATATCGTAGAGGGCGCTAAACAACGAGTGCCGTAACGATAGCCACTTCGAAAACCTTAACAACAATCATGACTGAGATATTCATCTATAAATGTCTCATTGATGGACATCTAATAAACATAACACAAACTGTCATTACATTACAAATTACGGGGAAATCCGAGGTGAGAAATCGGCGCTCCGTGTAGATCGCGATGTGACATGTGTTCCGAATATAGCGCCCCCAATCGACAAGATGTTGATAATGTCAAAACATGCAAGAAGTGAAAACTAAAATTAAACTTTACTCACCAAAGAAAAATGACCAGTTTTACGTTGCAGGTTGCCTAGTATTGTCGGATACAGCAAAGACAATTTAGAACTGTGAAACAGTATTTTGTTTTGTAGGAAATTCCACTCCTCCTCAAACCGTGTGCACCATCGATGACATCATCGATTCTTGCGCAGAATATGATACGTCATCAAAAAAAAAATGGCCACACTTTGCCACACTCGTCCTCATGGCATCGAGCAGTACGCCCCCACAAGTTGCTCTTGTTAATTTTTGGGCTGCAGCGCTTTACGATCTTTGGCTGAAAGTAGATCTTGGGGACGAGGCTGACACTTTGCCACATTCGCGATCGCGCCGTATCGCGCGCATGTTGTGCATGTTCCAATGGAACTTCCAATTTCCACTTGAAATAGTTAGCGGAAATCTTTTTCCTCGTTCGACTTCCACCGAATTCCGAAGAAATTCAAGAACCACTGTAGAGTGTTTCTTGTGTCCAGTGGTAGAGGAGAGTGTGTAGCTTTGAAATGAGTGTAGACGCGTACGGGCCGAGCTCCCAGAGCTTAACTTTTCTGGACACGGAAGATGGCGAGTTACTGGGCGCTGACACGCAAGGCACGGACTTCGAATACAACGTGGGGGACTTCACCCTGCCGTCCCAAACACAGACCCAGAGCCAGGCATCACAGCTTGATGTAGTCTCGCAAAGCCAGAGCCAAGTAATTACTCCAGACATCATAAAGTCTTTATCAATTTAATGTGCGGTGACAAAAGGCTAAGGCATAAATTGCAAGAATAATAACATGAATAAAATTTGTTTTAAATTGTGAACATGTTGAACTTGAAGGAGGAAGTTAATGTCAGGAATGTTGTGCAATCATTCACTAGTCACTGACACTGTGCCGTTTGTGGAGTGAAAGGCCATTCTATTTTTTTTAGTTTTCTGAGTGTTTTTATCAGTTTAATGTGATTTGATTTTGAGGAACCTTACGTGATCTAATTTCTACGAATTCTGTCCCAACCACGTCCAAGCTTTTGATATTTTGACTTTCAGTGAAAATAAATTGTGATTTTCTAATCTTATCTGAATTTTTCATTTCAGTTTCAGTATTTTTGTTGTAGGCCTAGAATGCCCCCAAATTACAAAGATGGCGGTATCAGAGAAACGGCTAATGATTGAGTGAAGGCCGTTCTATTTTTTTAGTTTTCAAACTGCTTTTTTTTGGTTTAATGTGATTTGTTGTACTGCCCCCCCCCCCCTTGAAACTCCTCAAGTTTCAAATTTCAATACAATTTATCCCTTTCTTAATCATTTTTATACCCACGAATTTCTCCACAATATACCTCAGGTATTGCAGCCTCCAAGTTTGATGTCAAAGAAATGTTTTACACACCACTGTTGAAGCACTGATCTCAGTCAGCACGCATGTTCATGTTGTGATTTCAGATTTAAGAAATAAGTAATTGATAGCGAGAGCTCAGACTGTACTTGTTGTAGTCGGCAACTTATGTAACATTCATTCCTAATCTAGGCCGGCTTGTCCCTGGATGCAAAACCAGCTCAACAGAATGGCTTTGTTGAAGACGGTGTGGCTGCCACTGTCCAGACACTGAAGGAGCTGACATTTGAAGAAGATGAAGAGGAGACTTACTATACCAAGGATCTCCCCGATCACGCCTGCAGGTACGGCCTGATCTAGACGCCATGCTACTGCCGTGTCAAACTCAATTAATTTGACTTGTGAAAATTCGGCACGGGGATAGCAGGGCGTTTAGAACCATTATGCTCGGCAAATTGAATTCGGTACGGCAATGCCATTTAGGGCGACAGGGCTGCCGCGCTATTGTCATTCTGAACAGTAGTGGGGCGGAACTGTTCTAAACGCCCTACCATTGCCATGCCTAATGCAATTCAATTCTAAGTTGTTGCAAACACTTAAGGAAGGCGCATGCTCGCAATACCCTCTCTTGCATCCGCATCACAGGCAGTGAAATTGGCATGAATTTTTTGATCGTGCTGAAAGTTCATCGAACTACTTTGACCTGGCCAATTACTCCAGATGCATTGAGGTTTGAGTATTAAGTTAGGCAGTTAGAGCAACTGCCGTGCTGTAGACGTGCTGTTGCCGCACTCTTTTCAATTATGTTCGGCGCAGCAGTAGCACGGCGTCTAGAACTGGCCTCACTCTTCAAATAACCCTCCCATATTCATCAAGATCATGCGGATTTTGAGGGATTTTGCATGATTCAGGAAGGTAGAATCTATCCACAATCTTTGTACGATTCAGTACAAAGAATGTTACACTGGGCTTTTCTTAGGGCTGTGCATCAGAACGGGGTACCAGAGTACCCGACTGTTGATGTCAGGAACTGGTTCCAGATTATGGAATCGGATACCGGCAACCAACTTACTTGGCTTAAAGATGGTACTGGTACTAAACACCCCATGAAATTATTCAGTCTGGGTTGCTCCCATTTAGAAGAAATCAAGATATGTAGGTAATTTCCAATGATCAGTCAATTGACTGATCGTTGGAAATTAAGAATGTAGAGTAAATAGCTAAAATCGTGTTTCATAAAATAAAGGTTGTGCATGGTTTTTCACTGTTTTCTCAAAAAGTGTAATATCCACTGAGCTGAAACTTCAACAGTTAAGTTTTGAATATTCTTCTTTGGATTTCGAGTGGTGTTATTTATTGGAAACGTCAATAACATGTACTGTTAAAAAGTAAAAATAAGTTTTTGCCTCAGTTCCTTTGTATATTGTATTTTATTCAGGTATTGTGGAATTCATGACCCATCTGCTGTGGTATTGTGCAACACCACCAAGAAGTGGTTCTGTAATGGGCGGGGAAACACTTCAGGAAGGTGACTTGAGTTTCTCTCTTTAATTGTCAAGAATATTGGTGACTGGCTTACCTTACAAAGCCTGTTCTTTACTTCCTATAGTTGCAATGTACATTCTTTAACAAGTTTAAAAAACAAATGGGGCGGCTTATGTTTTAGCGGGCTGGCCTACTCTCCCAATAAATCCTTGAGGGCAATTCCATGGTAACTCGTGTTATATTTAACATGGGTTCTTTCATCAACTCTGTTCTGTTATTTTATAAAGTCAAGGCATTTAGGGTGCATTCTTCTCACAGACGATCCCTTGGAGTTAAGTGACTAAACTACAAGAAAAGAGGCCCCACAAAATAGATTTCTGTTATTTTTTTGAGTTAAATTCACTGTACAAAAAAAGGATGTAGCAAAAATTCAGATACATTGCATTTGGAAACTTCCTCATACTGTGCACTGTTAGAAGACATTTTGTTCAGTGTCCATACATCATACCGTTCTGTAAAAAACAAAATGAAAACAAGATGCTGGAACGACTCCCTGAAATCCATAATTTTTGCCAAAAAAAAAATTGTTTTGGATAAAAAGTACAGTTTACCATACTCCATCTCACTAGCACGCCACTCAAATGAAAGGTCTTGTTGTCCACTTTAATTTCATACAACATATGAAGTTGTGATGCTTGTAAGTTGTAGTTCAGCAGATTTCATAAATTGTCCTGTTTTGTAAGGAATTGCCATTATGGAGAACACTATCACTGAAAATGTACTTCATAAAGAGCTGCAGTCTTATTGATTTTTTTCATCGATACCTTGGCCCTTTTCCTCTCCCCAACAGTCATATCATCAATCACCTGGTGCGAGCCAAGTGTAAGGAGGTGACCCTCCATCGTGACAGTCCCGTGGGCGAGACCGCCCTGGAGTGCTACAACTGCGGCTGTCGCAACGTGTTCCTGCTGGGCTTCATCCCGGCTAAAGTGGACTCTGTGGTGGTGCTGCTGTGCCGTCAACCCTGCGCGACCCAGAGCAACTTGAAGGACATGAACTGGTGTGTTAACAAATTATTGCTTTCTCTGTTTTTGAGTCTTTGAGAAGTAATGCGAGGATAATAAAAATGAAGTCATTACTTGCACTGCTAATTGTGAAGTAAACTCTCTGGTCATTTGTATATGGGCAATTCCATAATTCCTTCATGGGCAAGTCGCCAACTCGTGAACGAACTTGTGAACGAACTCGTGAACGATCAACTCTTGAACATACACAGTCATGTTTTACTATACTCTCTAGGACAATGCTTTGTGTTTCCCTTTGTCCATTTAAAATAACACTCTCCATGGACTAAGCACATAAACTTACTACAGAGGACCGTTTCCAACAAAAGACCCAACTCCCGAGGACTGAAAGGATCTTTTTTTATTCCTTTGGGTGTCAGTCCTTGGGGGTTATGTAGAACACGTACACACACGTTTACATTACATACCCTATGTGGACATTCCTTTGTTTTCGCACAGTTAAGGAAAACCGGAGGAAAACAAATTTTTTACTCACACTGTGAAAACTCTCTCAACCCAGATAATTTATCCTGATTTCCTTGAGTACTCCTCTTCATTTTGCGATGATGACCCTAACCCCAATATGCCTCTAAACCTGTTTTGCAGAGAAGGCGAAACCTTATGTGGACCTGGCTTAGTCCACATAACGTTCAAACAACCTGCGTTGTGTGGACCTGTTTTGTTGTCAGGTCCACATAAAGATGGTAAGGTTGGTACACACATACACAAGTGTAAACACCTTCAATCGTGGACCCCCTATTGTCCCTCTTTTGTTAAAACTTTTTAGTAAGACCTCCTATATGTTTTGTACACACACATCCAAAGTGGACCTTTGGTCAATCGTGGACCCTATTGTCTTTTATTGTTCAAGGTTCACGATTTGAGTGTGTATACATACACACACCCTTAGCACTTTATAGTAATCTGGGTAAAACTGAATATCAAATTTTTAAGCTCCTCAAAATTCCACCAAATGTGAAATGTGTTGCTGGTTGGACTCTTTTCACAGGGATCCATCTCAGTGGCAGCCTCTGATCCAGGACCGTTGCTTCCTGGGCTGGCTGGTCAAGGTCCCCTCTGAGCAGGAACAGCTGAGAGCCCGGCAGATCTCGGCTGCTCAGATCAACCGTCTTGAGGAGCTGTGGAAGAACAACGCCAACGCCACGCTGGAAGACCTGGAGAAACCGGGGGCCGATGAGGAACCGGCCTCGGTCATGCTGCGGTATGGAGGGCAAATCAGTTCAAAATATCAGTTGAAAAAAATATTTGACAGTTGTACACCAACTCAATGTAGTAGACATTTTAGTAGATTCTTTCTGCTTTCTGTTCTGCTCCCATGCGGAAAATAATACAAGCAGCTTACCCTGAATATGTGGTCTTGTAGGCCTATTCAAGACTTTTAATGTTTGAGCCTTCCAAAACCTAGGACCAAAATATTGGACCATCCACACCAGTGCAAAAGCAGCCAATTCTGAAACAATGGGAGCTAGTCCCATTGAACAATGCCACAGTTGTATCCTGCTGCATTCGGTGACCACAGACTCTGAGGCATTTTGGCTTTGAGACTTTTGACCTGATGGATCTTGCTACACTGTGCAGGCTTGTTATTTTGACAAGTAGTGCATGTTTCTGCGTTGAGCAGGATTTCTAGCCAGAATAACCTATGGGATTAGGGTTCATGACTGATGACATCATACAAATACAAGGTCAGGTGTCTGTTTTCGACTAATCGTCAAACAGGTCAATACAGTTTAGCATGAAACATGCAGGGTTCCCAACCACTCTGGAAAGCGGGGAAAACCTTGAAAATGAGTTTCCATTTTTCCAGTAATTGAAAACTCAACGAATTTTGGAAAACACCAAAAATCAGTGAAAACTCAAGGAATTGGACAGTAACCCAAGGGAAAGGTTTTACTCACGTTACATTTTCGTAACGTGAGTAACCGATTTTGTGCGTCTTGTTTATCATATATAAGACATTTTTCTGGATGTCATCTACCATGGGGATAACAGTAATTAAACCTTTTCAGTAAGGTAATTACAGCCCAAGGAACTCAAAAGTACATCAAAAATGTAACGTGAGTAACCGTGGAATTGCCCATATGTGCATCTTGTGCCATGTGTCCAAGTTGTGTCCGTTGAATGACTGACTGACTTCCCAGCAACCTCATTAAAGTGAAAATATTTCTCTTCGAATTTTTGGAAACTTTTCAGTTCGGGGAACCCCAAGCTATGTTTTCATCTTTACCTATGTTTATGGTTGTCCTCAAGAAGGTGTTTTTTTTTAAAAGAAACTTGTGTCCATTGTTGTCTCAGATACGAGGATGCTTACACCTACCAGAACATCTTCGGTCCTCTGGTCAAGATGGAGGCTGATTATGACCGTCGCACCAAGGAGAACCAGAACCAGAGCAACATCTCCGTGCGTTGGGACATCGGTCTGAATCGCAAGACCAGGGCATTCTTCAACTTCCCCAAGAAAGAAGGTAGGAAAGCCAGCTCTTATACAGAAAAAGTAACAATTAGTTAAAGTTACATTTATCATGGCTGTGATTTTTAAATGTTGCAACGATTTGAAAAAGAAAATGGTTAATAATATGTTAAAAACTTGAACGAAATCCTCATGAAATTAGGGCTGTACATCAGAGCCGGGTTCCCAAGTACCCAACCGTTGATGTCAGGAACCAGTTCCAGATTATTGGATCGGGTACCTGTAACCAACTTTACAAATTATTTACTAACTTCCAAGACAATGAAAAAGTAAGGTTTTGAATGTCATTTGTGGGATTTTTTTTATTAAATGTAAGCCTTGTGACATTTTCTTTTCTTGTCTGCGACAGATTTGAAACTGATGCAGGGAGACGAATTGAGGCTGCGTTACCTTGGCGACCTGCAGGAGCCGTGGTCAGGAGTTGGACATGTAGTCAAGATACCAGACAGTATCCTTATCAAACAAACATTCTGCCATATATTTGTTCAACAACACTGTTAAATTTATGTTGTAATTCTTTAATCTATATAGAAGGTGCTTGTTGAATGTAGGTTAACAATAATCCTTGGTCCGTGTTCGCTGGTGTTTTAGAGTCACGTTGAACCAAAAAGCATAAGGAGCAAGGTTTAAGCCAGCATGCTGATCAAAAAAGTTTGTAAGTTTACTCGGAAGGTTTCAATCTGCCATTGCTTTTCCTATTTGAAATTTGTCTTGATATTCTTGTCTGTCCAAGAATTGGTTTTACAGAGCACTGAATTCTGTTTCTTTGGGCGTAGAATGCCATGGTCCAGTGGTTACGGTGTTGGACTCTTGTACAATGGTGCATGGGTTCGAACCCTGCCAGGAACATGGTGTTTGTGTCCTTGGGCAAGACACTTAACTACAATTGCCTCTCTCCACCGAGGAGTATAAATGGGTACCTGTGAGGGTGGAGGACCAAAATGTGTGCTGATATCGGTGGATATTGGTCTTGTGGCCTGATGATAATGGTAAATAATAATTGTAAAGTGCTTTGAGATAGTTGATACGATGGAAAGCGCTATAGCATTACAGTTTCATTTTTATTTGTATCCTCATATCTTGCAAGGGCGTTTGTTGTTCCTTAGCCCCAGCGTTCAGATTATGGAGATGAGATCTGCGTTGAATTGAAGAGCAACGCCAAAGTCCCAGTCAACTGCATCACTAACTTTGTGGTGGACTTCGTCTGGAAATCAACATCATTTGACAGGTAGGTCAAGGTATTCTGTCCAGTCATTTCCTTTCTTGTGTTTACATGTACACTGAGTAGGTCATCTTAGTTTCTCCAAAAATATGACACTACTGATAAAGGAGTTCAACTTGTTTGTTCTAAGCACTCATCGCTATGTGTACAGAAAATATTGTAGGCACATCATTTACATGTGCGGAAGAGCAGACCAATGATGGAGTCTATGTTTGTATGTTAACGTTTGTCCTAATTGTCTCAACTATGAACGATGTTAAAAAGCTGATAAATACTAGTAGCAAACGACAGAAATTTCTCAAGTTTGCTGAGAAGCAAAGTAAAGTCTGTCACGAGTCAATGTGGCCCATCAAGCCAGCGTTTATCTCCTGTTTCAGTGACATGAAACAACTGAGAATATTTCTTTTCCCCCTGGATGGGATGCCAGTCCCTCCCATGTTACTCCCCAGCTAATGTCGGTACCCATTTATACTCTTAAGTGGAGAGACGCAAGTGGGTGTGAAGTGGCTTGCCCAAGGACACAACATATGACCAGCAGCTGGATTTAAACCCCTGACCCTCTGATCGTGAGTCACGATCCCTAACCACTTGGCCACATTCCCAACAAGTCTGTTTATGATGACAGTAAATAATTTTACCTTTAAAAAAAAACTTCTTTATCATTTTTTAGTACTTTATGTATGTGCAAAATGAAGAGGTTCTTCCCTAATTTTTCCACATTACGACGCACCTAAAAAAACCCACTTTTTGGCATTGCAAATGGCAAGCCAGATACTGGTGCATGAGTTGCAATTGCATGTTTCCTTGCTGCAACGTGGATCCTAAGCATGGATGCTCTTGTGAAAAGTTGTAACACCCCTGTTTCCTTGGCTCACCATCTCAGGATGCAGAGTGCTCTGAAGACCCTAGCCGTGGATGAGACGGCCGTCTCCAGCTACCTGTACCACAAGCTGCTGGGCCACGAGGTCGAGAACATGGTCATCAAGAGCAGCCTCCCTAAACGCTTCTCAGCACCTTACCTCCCCGAGCTGAATCACTCCCAGGTCTCTGCTGTACGCACCGTGCTGACACGCCCGCTCAGTCTCATCCAGGTAGGTTGCTTAACTTTGAGTCCAATTTTCATGGAACAATGGATCCCATACGTGTCACTTCAAAACCAATGAGAATACCGTTTGTGGAATACAGTGTGTACTCACAATGATTCGTGCACGTAGTGTGCGAAGTACACACATCGTATTTATTTGGGTGTATTGAATTTCAAAAAAGTTTGAATTTGAAATTCTGAATAGGCTTAAATGATGTTCTGACAATATTTAAGACCTATCACATTAAAAAAAAAAAAAAACTTTGTCCAGCCAAAAAGGAGTAGAAATTTCCAGTAAAATGTGCTGAGTCATGATGAGTCTGCAGTTTGTTGTTTTGGGATTTTTTGTTTGAGTTTTCTTCCCTACGATTTTTTCTCTGGTTTTCCTTTTGTTTTTCAATACAGAGTTCTGTGGACAGTATTTGTAATGGGTTTTTACTAATTAATGAAATTAAGTTAACGTTTTAATAATCTTCAATAAAAAAACATATTGGAGCACGTATTGTTGCATAGTACATATTTTAACACCTCACCCACAGATTTTGTGTCTTGATTGGCCGAGAGCGAGTCACATGATATCTTTCTGTGCACGGCCAAAAGTACTATACCCGTAGCAACCAAAGTACTATACCATTAGCAACCAAAGTACTATTTCCACGGCGCGGTAGTTGTGTGCAAATGCATGCTGATGTGCGCGTTGCGCGTAGCGCGTTTTGTTCCAAAGAGAGCGCGCCACAGAGTTGGGTTCAAACATTTTGCGAAGGGGTAGTTTGGAAGAGAGAAATACATTTTCCACCAATTTTTTATTAAAATTGAAGTTTATTTCAACTGTGTTCAGATTTAAATAACTAAAAATATTAAAACCAAGCAGAATCTGTGGGTGAAGTGTTATAAAACAAATATTGAATGCTTTATCTTGTGGTGAAGTAAAACTAGCCTCCCTCGGTGATCCATGGAGCATTCTATTTTCCCTCGGCTTCGCCTCGGGAAAATAGAATGTCCATTGATCACCTTGGGAGGCTAGTTTTACTACACCACTCGAAGCATTCAATATTTGTATACTTCAGAATTTTTGTCAATGTGGTACATGCAGGTGAAATTCACTACGATCTAGTATATATTCTTAGGTGACCTCTTAGTAATTGTTCTGCTCCAAACTGCCTTGTCTATTACTCCCTTCCCTTTGCGGGACACAGTGTGTTCATGCACTGATTGGCCCAAATATGGCATGAAGTACGCACAGCTTGTTTCATTTCTAAAATATATAAGTGAGAGGAGTATAGTCTCGGTGAATGGCAGCAATGCATTCAAGAGTCTGCCAAACTCGCACTACCAAACTAGCATATTGAAAATTTAAGTTCGCAGTTTGCATAATTTGCAGTGTTCCATTACCCAACTTTGTGGATAACAGTTACTACCAGCTGGCAAAAGAAGCAGACAATCATACTTATTGTTTAAGTCCGTGGAAAAATAGGAAATTAATTTCCTTGTTGCTACCATGTCTGTTTCTCCAGGGCCCACCTGGTACAGGGAAGACTGTGACCTCTGCTAGTGTTGTCTACCATCTGGCCAAACAAGGACTCGGGTATGAAAGTGTTATTGCTTCATTCAGTGATTGATTTGTCAAATATGTAATTAACCCTCCAGGCAAAGCTGTTGTTTCAGTCTAAATCAGTCAAGTGACTGTTTTTAACAGTTAAGGGCTCCCAGCTAATACATAAAGCAGGATTGACTGGCTGTGACTGTTTATTTAACTTGATGCTTTAACTGTTGGTGATTGATAAGCCAGCTGTGCCTGCTTTTGTCTGTTGACTGAATTTGACTAGTCAGCAGGGGTGTTAATGTTAAAGTTTACAATTTGCTCATCAATGTTATAATCATTAATAACAATTCATCAAAACTACTTTTTTTTCCAATTTTTTTTGCCAACTACAATATTGAGTACTTAAAATACAACATAGGATGTTATGAAAGTAATTGTTAAAGTGTTATCTCAGTGGATACATTTGAAACAATAGAGAAACCCATGTTCAATGGTTTCTGTATATTTTTTTTTAAATGGCAGGGTCAAGCAGGCACTGCCAGACTCCCATTTGTACACAACTATTACAATAACTTCATTGTCACAAAAGAAATCCTGTCTTGAGTATATTTTCAAGTATGTAAATCGTAAAATTCCCATGTTAATTGCGTGATTTTCCCGCTACGTGCATGATTTGTTTTCCCCACAACAGGCAAGTGTTGGTGTGTGCTCCCAGTAACATCGCCGTAGATCAACTGACTGAGAAGATCCACCGTACTGGTCTGAAGGTGGTCAGACTGAGCGCCAAGAGCAGAGAGGCTATCGATTCCCCAGTCTCCTTCCTGACGCTCCACAAGCAGGTCAGGCTAATGTGTCTCTTTCTCTTAACCCTAACTACCCCAAACTCCATCAAAATCCATCCCCCCATTTTGGTGGATTTTGGGGGACTGAGACTAAATATTGATGGAGTATGATGGACTTGGGCCTAATGGCCTGAAGCAGTGCTAGGGGTATCCGATTGATTTTGCCTAGCTTCCTGTACTGCTATTGTGATAAAAGCCATGTGTAGCAAGTCCGTGAATGTCAACCAGTGCATCAGTGGTGGATTCCATTATGCCATGTACAGTTCTGTTTTGAACGCACAGTGATTGATGGATTTTGATGGACTTGGTCCAGTTCCTAGTAAAAAACGCTAGGGAGTTAGGGTTAATAAAGGCATACAGCATCATTTGCAAACACTCAAAAACGAAACTGCCAATATATTATGATATATCTCACTTGATTGTAAGTAAATAATAGTATGAAGCATCCTGTGAAATCGTTGAGCCTGGTATGATGTCATTCTCAAGAAAAGAATGATTTTGTATGAGTACTTATGATGGCTAGGACCTAACAGTCACTGAGAACAAATGTGTTTCTCAAATGCTACATCCATTAAACGGCAACAAGGCAGCTGTTGACTTCATGCGTACACTCAGGTATGCTAGGTATATGCATGTATTACTTTCCCATGACAGAGTCGGCACTTTGGCACTCCCTGTGGCCTATGGGTTCTATGCACGACAGATCCCGTGAGATGCATGTTGATGGTTGAAAAAGAACAGTGATTTTCATGTTTTTCAAGCACCAGTGGACACGAAACATTGAACAGCTCAGTGGAACATGTCTGCTGTAAATTAATAGCTGAATCAGACTTGACTCAACTTCCGTTTCATGACTGTTATGTCACAGTCGTAAAAATAATTAAAACCTTACACAAGTATTTTGTTGTCAATTTTCTATTCTAGGTGCGCAACATGGAAGGCAATGAGGAGCAGCAGAAACTTCAAGCCCTCAAGGAAGAGATTGGAGAGTTGTCCAGCGCTGATGAGAAACGTTTCCGGACACTCAAGAGGAACAACGAGAGGGAACTACTGCAGGTACAAACCATTAGACCATCTATATTACTTGAGTGTGGCCCTAACTTTCTAACTGCAGAACCTAACTCCTTTAACTCAGAGTTGTACTGATTCGAGTCAGTGACTTAACTCACATCTAACTTGAGTCACAATTTTCAGTGCCACAACTTTAATTGGGTATAGAGAGGTAAAGTTACAAGTGTTCGCATGAACGTGTACACACAGGACCCGCGTTGCATCATAGATACTCGCATGAACGTCACCAAAATATTGGTTGCCAACACATCTACAACTGCTGGCTTGCCATATGCAACGCCAAACGAGTGGTTTTGGCGTTCCTCATAACGTGAACAAAGGGAGGTAAATATTTATTTCATGTCTCACGCTTTGGTGTGAGACAAAAAGGTTAAAGGATTGAAACAGAAGTTTTATAAGATGTCACATTATCTACTGTCTTAATCATTAAGGCTAGTTCATACTCGACGCGAACGCGAATTTGTGATTTCTGGGCAAGTATTCGTACTGCGAATTCGTAAAGTTGAAAACATTTGAAGTCCGATGAATTTTGCGGCCAATGCTTCGTTACGTCAAATTCGCTTCGCATTTGCATGAAGTATGAACCGGCCTGTAGACTTGAGAAGATTATCTCAATAATCAGAAATATTTTTCAATTTTTTTAAAAATGCTCGCGTACACGGATTCTTTGAAACACCTATCTAATTCTTTTCTGCATACACAAAACGGGAACGCGAAGCTTCCAGTACCTATTGCTGTGTGCGTTTAGCAAAATACGTAACTTAACCTCTCTAGTAACAGGCAATTGGCTCGACTTGAGTCACTTGGGGAAAACGATTTGACTTATTTTCATTGACTCGTCATGACACTGCCCTTACTTCCAGTTGGTAGTTTAGTTCCTGTGCCTACTTCTTTGCACGATACAGTTTAAAAACTTGTGATGTTTCAGGCATTTTGCCAAATATAAAGAGGTGAGGTGTTCTAATAATGGTTTTTGTTACTTCTTTGTTAACGCAGAATGCTGATGTGATTTGCTGTACCTGCGTTGGGGCCGGCGATCCACGCCTGGCTCGGTTCCGCTTCAGGGCAGTACTGATTGATGAGAGCACACAGGCCACTGAACCGGAGTGTCTCATACCCATTGTCCTGGGATGTAAACAGGTACGATTGCCTTCATACCCATGTTTGGGGAAAACTGCCAGTTATGTCTTTCAGTGAATATTGAAGTGTTTTGGGAGATTTGTAGAGTAATGGTTTACCCTGCTTCTTTAAAGGTAAAGTAGATCATTTGCAGCTATCTAAAAAGTAAGTGATGAAATTATTGTTGAAAAGCATACTTGGTTTAAGATGGGGATGGCAATAAACTCACTGTGAAACTATTCTTTCTGGCATGCTATCATTTTGAAGAAAACAATAAAAGAAGGCCATTTCCAAAGATGCGTTCAGTGAGGCATTTTTGCCAGCCGCGATGGTTTTGCCTGCATTGGAGGGCATTCTATGTTGTATTCTGCCGATGATATCTAAGCCAGAAAGGGGTGTTAAAAAAAATACTCCAATATCTTTCATTTTACGTATTCATTATTGGTGCAGAACCATGTGCACATATTTTATATGTAAATAATAAATCATAATTTATTAAACTTATTTTGCCTCTCTCCACAACCAGCCTGTTCGAGGGAACATTACATCGAAATTCCTCAATCAAAGTTGGCAAGTTCGCATTAAAAACAAATTAATCCAAAATACATAATTGTACACCGTTATGAATAAGATGTATTTTTGGTAATCTTCAGGCAATTCTGGTCGGCGACCATTGCCAGCTGGGTCCTGTCGTCATGTGCAAGAAGGCAGCCAATGCCGGCCTGTCCCAGTCCCTGTTTGAACGGCTGGTGGTTCTGGGTATCCGACCAATCAGACTGCAGGTCCAGTACCGCATGCATCCGGCTCTGAGCGCATTCCCCTCCAATATCTTCTACGAGGGATCCCTGCAGAACGGCGTGTCGGCATGTGAGTTTCCCACCGGTCTCAAATCTTGTTTAAACGGTCAAACACTCTTAGCATTTATCTTAACAATTTAATGACAGTAAAATGTGCTCATAGGCCCAATCTTGACCAAGTGTGGCCCCTAAGATTGACAAAGTCCACTATTTGGTATTCCAGTGGAAACCTCACTTGGAATTATAAAATCTCATCCGTTTTTTCCTAATATGGCCATACTTCTTAAATACAGGTCCCAAAATTTAATCTGTAATTCATCATAGGATCCCTACACTCTGTCACGATATGCCTATGATAAAAAGTTTGTGTTAAATGAAAGCCCACTTTAGAATTTACCAAAAGTTGACATACTTGACAAGCTGAGCTGTCGGGTAGGGAAGAAATTGGGTATTTATCTACTTTGCCAAGTCAAAAATAAGCCATCAGATTCGAGACTTAACTGTTATACATGTTGAACATTCTGTGTTATCTAGGAAGATGTACATAAAGTACAACGATTATGGTTGAGTTTCACAGACACGTATCCTGTGGTTGGACTATTCTAGTTCATTAATTTAGGAACAGCTTGACCCAAACAATCCCCAACCCTTCAAAATCCAACTGCATGTTTTGTTGGAATCTGTTGGAGTGAGTACTGCACTAGTAAACTTATTATGCTTTACATGGGGTCAGGTATACCACCATAATCAGAGTCCAGCAGTTTGGGTGTTGAGTTTACCATATGGTGTTGGAATTGCAGGAGTGAGGAAGGTTCCTAGTAAATCACTCAGGGGGGTTAGGGTTAATAGGGTCGCTTGTATCACTGGTTACCATTATCCATATAAATCCACAATGTACAGCAGGGAGCCATGGCTGGAAGGTTTGAGAATGACCTTTGACCACAGGTCACCCACAGATCTTTCAAACTCTGATGATTCTGCATAGGTATAGAGTTCCGAGTAGACCAACCATTCATTATCCATTGGTTAGTCATTAAACCTGCTCTACTTCTTGTCCTTGTTTTACTCTTAGCGGATCGTATCAACAAGGCTGTTGAGTTTCCCTGGCCCCAGCATGACAAGCCCATGTTCTTCTATGCCACCTCAGGCCAGGAAGAAATCTCCAGCTCTGGAACTTCCTTCCTCAACAGGTAACAAAGTGCTACTGTTAATGTGGCATCAAATTTCATTTCCATTTTCTACATCAGGAATTCTACTTGCTCTAAATGTGCCAGTCTTGTGTAATACCAAATGTGACGTGTTCTGTCAAAACCAGATGCTTCTGGGCAGAGGTTGAAACTGAGATAGGGCCAAAAAATGCTGAGGGGGTCATTTTTTTTATTTTATAATTTGTGCATATTTGTAATCTTGAACATGTCTTAAATATACTTTAAAAGTTTGAAACCCTATTTTGAACTCTAGTATTTTGATGATTTGTTAAGGTATATCAGTTAAAGAAATGTCACTTCAAACAGGTCTTAAAATAGACCCCAAACTTAAACTGCGTTTTCTACTTTTCGACTCGATGAACTTCAAATAGCATAGCTTTGCCCAGGAATGACTAGTTTCAAAAATTATACCACCTATTAAAAGGAAAATGTACATATTTTAACAAAATGCAAAAATCTCGTTTTTGACCTCATGTCCAGAAAAGGCTGATTTTGACAACAGGTCACAAATATGCATGCTGCCAGTAAATTGACCTTTTACTGTTTGTGAATTGAGCCACGCTTTTAAGACAAATTTACATGCATGTCGTATACATGTGCATGGTACCAATATGCATTCGAATTGCACTGCGAACATTGTACATACTAGCATTGAAATACTGTCAATACACCTATCATGTGTGAAGTGAAAGATTTCTAGTCCCCAACAGAATTGAGATTGAAATTTCTGAAATATGTATTTATGTTCAACTTGCATGCTTCTGTTGAGACACCTTTGGATCATTCCACATTTGTGACATCACAAATCTGCCTTCATATATAACCGGAAACCAAATATCCTTTTTTTTTCCTCATAAAACTTAAAGCTTGTTGATTGTAATTTTTCATTTCCTACAGCCCATTTTCATTTTTGCGCTTCCCATTTGTAAATTGTATTTGAGAAAATGTACAGTAGAATACGTGATACGCCCACTAATACTGTAATGCATTATTTACAATGTCAAGATATGGATAATTTAACAGAGTATTGAATTTTGGTTGATGGTTTGAACCATTGAAATTATCCATATTTTAACACTGTTAATAAGGCACTAGCAAAGTATAAGACACAAACGTAACTGTTACATTTTTTTTGTTTGCTGTGTGTCTCAGGACCGAAGCATCCAACGTGGAGAAGATCACCACCTGTTTCCTGCGGGCCGGCGTCAAGCCTGAACAGATCGGCATCATCACCCCCTACGAGGGCCAGCGGGCCTTTATCGTCCAGTACATGCAGTACAGCGGTCCTCTCAACATCAAGCTGTACCAGGAGGTGGAGATTGCCAGCGTGGACGCCTTCCAGGGCAGGGAGAAGGACTACATCATCCTGTCCTGCGTCCGAGCTAATGACCACCAGGGGATTGGGTTTCTGAACGATCCCCGCCGGCTGAACGTTGCCCTCACCCGCTGCAGGTGAAGTCAGTTTCCTGAGGTTTGATGTGGAGGGGCTAGGGGACTAGGGTTGGAAACCACGATATGTACTAACAGGCATTTGCCTCAGAAAGACCACTGTTTCACTTCATGATCAATGTAAAACATTTTGCAGTGAAAATATTGCTCCTTTATTCTTTACCGCACAAGTCACATACCACTAACCTCATAGAAAAGAGAACATTTTTAGAACCTTGGTAAATATAAATCCCAACATTCACAGTGAAGTCTTGATTGGCATCCAGCCTAAAAACCCATAAAAACCTGCTGAATCCTTGTTGGTTTGTGCAAAATGAATGACATTTGAGAGTGTATATAAATAGATGTGGGTTTCCCCCCATGATGCAACCCCCCCCCCAAAAAAAAAGAGACCCCTCTGCAGTAACCTCTTATGGCGCAGTATACAGTGAATCGTACCAATTTTTGAAGTTCTCTATACAATAACAGATGACTTTGAGTGGCATTTGTAAACAGTTGCTGTTTCCAGGTTTGATAGTCACATGACAGTATTTCCCTACTTTCACTTACGGAAAAGTCAGTCGATTTTAATTGGCCCTCAAGCTTTGCACATTGGCAGCATGGCTATTTAGCCTAGTGGTGCGCATTTACAGGTAGTACTGAAACCGAGTACCCTATTGAAAATAAACAGGTATCGGTAAAAGAAACACAACCCAAAAATTCAAATCCTGAAAGTTGCCTAAAGAGCTTTATAGCTTTACTGTGTAAACTGCAACTTTCTGGAGCGTTGTCTGTTGCATGTTAAAATGCTCATAAACACGAAATATGTTTTGGTTTTCCACGTATCCCTGCTTTCATTTTGAAAATTCCCCAGAAATGGCATTCAAAACCTTTCTTTTTCATTGTCTGAGAAGTTACTCAGTAAATCAAAAAGTAAATAAAAAAACTAAACTGTTCTTATATTTGAGCCTTAGCAAGGCCTTCTTCAGAGGCAAATGACAGAGGAACAAGAAACAAACATGTAGGGGACACGTACACTGAGCAAGTTGTAAAGTTACTAAGTAAGTTGTAAATTTTGTTACGATCCCATAATCTGGAACCTGTTCCTGACATCAGCACTAATGCACACCCCTAATAGGACTGATAGGGTTTAACAAGAAAATATCACACTGTATTAACGTAACAATTTCTTGACTGCTGTGTGCATGTCAGGTTTGGCGTGATCATCGTGGGTAACCCCAAAGTCCTGTCCCGTCACCCTCTGTGGAACCACCTCCTGACCTACTACAAGGAGCAGAAGGTGCTGGTGGAAGGCCCTCTCAACAATCTCAAGGAGAGCCTGATCCAGTTCAGCAAGCCCAGGAAGCTAGTCAACACCTCCAATCCGGTGAGAGCTCTTTGACTCTCTCATACTAACAATTTAACTTTAAAGCTGGCTCGTTTCTGTCTAATGCGACACAAGTGCAAAAGTCTGTGGGACCTTGTTGCATTGAGCCATTAACACCAGTGCGTAAACTGCCAAATCTGAGACAATGGGAGTTAGTCCCAGTGAACATTGCCACAGTCGTTTCCAGTTGACGTTGGCAATGATGGACCCGGAGGCAGTTCTGCCTTGGAAATTTGGACCTGTTTGATCTTGTAACATTGGGCACGCATTTCATTTTGGCAACTCTTGCAAGTTGTATTCAGAAGGGTTTCAAGACCAAATATCCAGGAGGGTAAAGCCGACCTAATTTCAACCTGCAATTTTCTGGCGCTTCGACGGAACCATCGGCGTCAAGCGTACAAGACATGCTCAGGTCACAAAACTGAGACATTGTGTGATTATTATGGAACAAGCAGCACCTCGACACAAACTAAAAGTCAGTCGGCAAATGTTCCTTGTTGTTGGAAGGACGACCTGAGGGCGGCTTAAGGGTTACTTTAATTTGTGCACAGAGTCGTCATTCATTGTATGGCGTTACTCTTGGGTCCTGATAAACCTTGAGCCAAATCCAAACATGGTTGTCACCATAAATTTACTAGTTTTTCTTCATTTGTACTTGTGCAGGGTGGTCGCTTCATGACAACAGCCATGTTCAGTGCCAAGGAGGCCATGATACCAGGAAGCATTTACGACAGATCAGGCATGATGAACGGAGGTAAGATACAGCCATCCCTGAAAATGTAGAAACAGTAATGTTTGGTAGATCAGACTGGCTTGACTAGGATACGCAGTAACCAGTGTGCGTACTTGACCTACCCTAAAAATTATGATGATTTCTTTTGTTTTGCCTCTATTTTAAGCAAATTCTGCCTTGAAGTTGGATATATTGATATGCTTTTCTTTTCTTTGGCAACTGGTTTTGGTGTTTTTTGGGCAAAGCTTTGGACCCTGTCGCTGATAATGTACATGCAACTTTCTCCAGGCAATCTCCAATTCAGGAGGAAAACAGCAGGACTCTTATATAATAGAATCTATGAAGGAATTCAATCAAACTTCATACGCTTTGTTTCTTCCAAGTCACCTGTGAAAATTCCTTGTCCGACTTTGCCCTGAACCCTAACTCCCTATAATTTACTAGGAACCATACCCATCCTGGCAAATTCCAACACCATATTGGAAACACACACATTTTTGACTTTGTTTTTGGAGGTGTGCCAACCCAATGTGAAAGACTGTCAGTTTAGGGGTACTGTACCCATCCTGACAGATACCAACAAACCATGCCGTTGTGGTTTGATGGGTTGGGGGAGGTTAGGGTTAATTCACTACTTTGTGTAGCTGCTTTGAATGTAATAGTCATTGAATACAAGGAACATTGACTGACATCATATTTTTTTTTTTTGGTTTATTTTGTCAGACTCAAGTCGTTTCATTCAAGGCCCAGGCCGCATCCATGACCAGATGGGCTACATCCAGCCCGGCCCCGCCCAGTTCGGCGGCGCCAACCTCCCCATGCCTGTCAACATGTTCATGCCCCCTCCCCCGCAGCCCGGCGCCCACTACTTCAACCAAGGCATGAGGGGTGGGGGAGGCCCGCCCATGGGCGGCGGCCAGCAGATGCCCCAGCATAGGGGCAAAGGGGCCCCGCCTTACTCCAAGAGGAGGGGGAAGACACCAGGAGGGCAGCAGCAAGGGGCAAATGGGCGTGGCCCCCAACCAGGAATGGGCGGGGCCAGTCAGCAGGGTGGGGGCAGCCAGAATATGTCCCAGTACAATCTGTCCATGCAGAGCCAAGTACGTGGCAATTCTTTTCTTGTCGTACATATAAGACTGGTTTATACAAACTGAGGCTTACTTTTATTCATATGGTAGAAGGAGCATAGTGTTTCAAAATATCACTTGGTTTGACATCTACATGTGTGCAAGTACAGGCTTCACAGCGAAACCTTTAAAACCTATAAAAACATATTTCAACTTGGGAGCCTATTTTAGTTTTTAAAGTAACCTATATAAACTATAGGTTTTCCCAGCCAATTTCCTAAAATGTTCAATCACTTCTGAAAATCGGTCAATCAGTTTTGTCTGAAATTGAGAATCTCTCTGAACACGCATTTCATTTTTGCTACGAGAGCATTCAACTCCATTTCAGTTCAATCAGTTAAGTGATTGAGCACCACCTTTCGTTTATGTCCATTCAGTTCATTAATACAAGACTTCTTTTTCGCTTTTAGAGGGCGATTTCAAACATTCACCATTCTATTTCACTTTAAAGGAAACATGCAGTCCAAAATTTTCATAACGTATTTTATTTTATATATACATTCATTTATGTGTATTAAATGTGAAATAAAAGCAGAACTGGTTCTGGTGTACGTTTAGTGTGGTAATTTGCCGTCCAAAATTGAACCCCCCCTTTTTGATTTTTGCGGCAACTCCAAATGAGGGCGCTGTTCATGACATAAACAAAGGCAGAGAAATCCAGGGCCCGTAAATGACGTCTGGGTACGAGACGGATTAGCGAAGCTACTGTGCTGTGTGTATGTGCAGCCGCCGCGTACCCGTACGTGGCATTATATGCACACGTACGAATGTGTCTACATGGGATATGTACAGTACACGTGGACGTGCCACGGTGCCACCGTTGTCGAATGAACACGACGACCGTCATGACCGTAAAAGTTCCGAAGACCGTCCTCTTCTTTCCTTAGCGAATCCGATGAAAATGGTACAGATTCGTCCGATTCGAATCTGAGTTCTAATGATTCAGACACTGACTCGATGTTTTTTTAGGGGCATGCCCAAGTTGCTGTAAAGACCAGCATCAAAGCACGACGGCTCAAAGTGCAGCGCAGAGGGCAGCGAACTCACTGGGCCCGGACCACTTTGCTCTGGTATTTACCTTCACTTTGGCTCTCCAAATGCTCCGATATTTCGGATTTACTGGAAATGAAGGCTTACTCCATCCTTGGTAGTTTTGCTACACCCAGCAGCCACACACCTTGTCGGCATGGCCGAAAATCGGGTGTTATTTCTCCTCGATTCCGAACGAAACACCAGAAAAACTTTCAGTGCCGCAATGTATATGTACATGTATTATGATGCACGCCGCAATGCCGGTGCCCCCGCAGCGCGGCAAGTCTCTGCCTCCACTCACGTCATACCCCTCGCGAAGTTTTATGTTAATGAAGCTTCCCTTTGTGGGGCGGAGTAGTTTGACCAAACATGTTCACAAATTATTTTCCCCCATTTATCTTAGAAAATAAACACCGCCATACACAAAATATTGTTAAGAACATCATCCTTTATTGATTTAAGCAAAAAAAATGCAATCAAAATTTTATTTCATGTTCCCTTTAAGTTTAATGACATCGGCAACAGATACAATGAGGGGTTTCTTTTTCATTAACCGTCATCAAGTTAGCTGTACCTGAAATCAATTTAGAAAAGGAATGCTTGCGAAAACGAATGACCGATTTTCAGAAGTGAATGAACATTTCATTAAATTGGCCGGGAAAACTTATATTAAAACCTATATTTTTATCAAGACGTATATTTTAACAACCATATTTTTTTTGAAGATTACGTTGTCAGTACAGGCCTACCTCTCTAATATTTTTATAACAAGCGTTTGAGAATTGAGCATTTGCATGAATTTGGGTTTAGGTAACTTTATATAATATGGAGAACGTAATTTCACGTTTTTTGCATCCTAAAAACCTATAAATGCCTATATTTTGGCACTTGGGAAACCTTAAAAACCTAAAGTTTGATTTTCAAAACCTATTTAAAGACGTACATTGATGAAGAGGGGCGCTGTGAGGCCTGCAAATATTATTTGGGGAACAACTTTTGACTCTTTCTACTGATTTCTGTTGTGCAAGATTTATAACAATGAGGAACCAACTGTGTTTAGTTGTTCAAAGCGTTTCTAATGAGTTTTCAATATTTGTTCTTCCTTTCTTGCCAGGATGGTACCATGCCATTTTCCCAGGGCCCACTGACCCAGGGTATGTCCATGAGCCAGCCGGGTCTATCTCAAGCTGGCTTCTCTCAGCCTGGCCTGTCCCAGCCCGGCCTGTCCCAGCCTGAACTCTCACAGGTTTGTCTCGTCTCACTGCTCTTGTTTTAAATCCCCCCCCCCCAAAAAAAAAATACCAAAAACTGAAGAAAAAACTTACTTGGCTTCTAATTGTTTCATTTTAGTCCTCATGGTATCTTCTCTCAACAAATCTTGAGTTATTTCTGAGAATGTGATGACTTATTGAAGTTTTAACAATTGCAATATGGAAACACTGTTATACAAATTCATGATACATGTATAATCTTTTTCAGAATCCAAGATACTTGGCTGTAAATAAAAAAACCAAAAAAGACAATTTTGTTTACCACAACTTAAATTGTTTTGCCAAAGTTACCAGCTGTGGCAGTCGTATAGAGTATCGAAGTGTGACATCATTTAGAACCAGAAAGTGTAGTGCAAACGAATGGAGTACGCGCGCGTGTTGGTTCACAGGCTGAATCACGCGCTAATGTCTTTCACACACATTTTGTGCGCGTGACGTATTTACTTCAGTACTCCATAGAGATTCAAACAGCTGAAAATAAAGTCCACTGAACATCTGGCATGCACAGCTTTTTGATAACATATGAATGAGTACAACAAAATGCCACATGTTAAACAGCTGCCATAACTGCCAAAAAAAGTTCACATCACAAACTGTGATGCACGTTTTTAATAAGTTAATGTGACCTCAGTATTGTCGACTTGACTTTGTGAAGGACTTGACTTCATCGTAATAATAATAATGTTATTAATAATGTGAATGTATAAAGCACACATATCCACCAATTTTGATGCTCAGTGCACTACATTATTATTACCCTGCTCATTGGACCAATAAAACATTCCAAAGACAATCTCAGCTACCTGGGAGTGTACATACATGTACAGCTCGATGCTGCCATTTCGGCGCAAAGCAGATAAAATCAATTGCAATAACCATCTCTACCCTCACAGGTACTCATTTACCCCTGGATGGGGAGAAGCAATGAGTGACAAAGTGCCTTGCCCAAGGGTGCACGTACCACAACCCCAGGCTGGACTCGAACCCACAACCTGCAGAATTCCCCGCACACCACAAATTCAGTGCTTCCAGACCACAAGGCCATGGCACTCCATTAAACATTGAGTGACTTCATGAGTAAACCATTGTATTTGTCTATTTTTGTTGGAAAACAGGACAGCTACCTGGGCGAGGAGTTCAAATCCCAGATGGACGCCGCTCTCTCTCAAGACTCCACTTACCAGGGAGATCGCAACTACCAGCACGGCTTTGGCTACTAGCCCACCCATGCCGCGACACGCTAACGTGTACCGAGCAAGAAGAGAGGGTGTGCTGAAAACTCCTCCCCAGACAGTCTGCTGAGAGGCAAATCAGATGAAGAAGGAGAAGAAGAAGACACAACAACGCAACACGAAAAAAAAACACGACACCAACCACCATCGAAGAACAACAGTGAAGACGCAGAAAGGTTCTCCTAGTAAAAACAAAAAAAGTCTGGAAAAAAAAGGAACGGGGGAAATGAGAGGAGAGAGAAGGGGTAACGTGACCCTGAAGCAATGGGATGCGACAAGAAACCGGCACTGCTGATACGATCTAGCAGATGTAGCTGCAGTTTCCTCTGGTCTGGGCATCCATTGCAGGTCCCGTCAATTGTGACGGGGTAGGGTCGGGAAAAGACGGAAATAAAATCAAATTCAAATTTGTGAAAACACCTCAGCAACACAAAGCAAAATTTGTTGTCATTATTCTTACAAGGGCAAACCAAAGATCCTCAAAATCCCTGTTTTCTCTTAAACGCTTCGGTAGTTATTCCGAAATGACCATGGATGTTGTATTGAGCATGTTGTACCATCCACAAGTGCAGAAAACTTTTTCACACAATAGGGCTCTCTCACTGACCACATGACCCAGCCTACATTCAGGTACGGGAAAGTCAGCGCCGCCATTGTAGTAGGCAAACATCGTATAGCGCTGCGTGCAGTAGGTAGTAGGCAATCATTCAAAGCTGTGATGGATGGCAAAAACTGTGAGAAAACTGCGGAACCGACACCCAGTGCTTGGTCGTACACGACCCAGGTAGTTATGCCATTTGATAAAGAATTCACAGTCATTTTAAGTGAAAATAAAAATAATTCCCTACCGTCTAGTTTACAGTGCTCAACATGGGCGCTAACCAAACGCTTGCCTACTGTAATGGAGGCCGATCATGGGAAAACCGGATGGTCACGTGGTACTTTAACGTCATACGATCAGACCCTATAACCGTGCAACAAGCCATCCACAGATAAAAACAAGCAAAGGGGTACATGTGCTAGTTTAAGGACTTTTGGTAAAGCAAAGGATGTGATATTTGTTGCTTCTGTGCTCTGAAACAAAAAAAGACGAACAAGCTCTAGTCAAACTATAGCCGAGTGCTTTCCCAGGACCTACTAGCAGCTGTTTGCAACAAACCTCAGGAGGCCCATCCCGAAAGACACATCCAACCATCACTAAGACTTAAGAAAAAAAACATGCATTCTTTGTTGAAGTTGGTCAAACTATGGTATGCTCTAGTCCCTGACTTACTGTACGTTCCAGTGGTAAAACAAATGTGATGCAGTAAATCTGGCAGTTGATAAGAAAGTATACCTTGTACTTTCAAATCTACAACAGACCACGGGCCAGATAAACTTGGCCAAGCTTACCCATTAGCACTGGAGAATCATTCAAACCCATAGAGCTATATTAAATTACTAGAGCGCTAACTCTTCATTGTTGCCCGTGGAGACGCTTTGAAGCCGCTCTGGGCGCAGACATTTTGAATTTATGTGCGTGTTTATAGAACACAATCAAAATAGATGGATTGAATTTTAAAAGTGTACTCTAAATGCAACGCCCAAAGTAGAAAATACGCAAACAACCTAAGCGCGTCATGACGGTTAAAAAAAGATCACGGCAAAAAGCATCTGCAGCGGAGGGACGCGCAAGCGTTGCGCTATTTGCGTAGAGCAAAATGAAACACTCATTTGCTGATCGTGCGTTTCGGTTTTGGGCGTATCGGCTTCGATGACGCACCGGTATGGAATACAAACGCAGATATGCAAATAGCCGTACAAAAGCCGTACACAATTTCGAGTTTTCCATAGGTTTGTGCACAAACATGGATGCACCCATCAGGCATTACTTTGTACATCGAGTTAGCGCTCTAGTAATTTATTATAGCTCTATGTTCAAACCATAGAGTGCTCGGGCAGTTTCGGTCCCTACAATGAGTTAGGCAGGGAGGTTTCGGGCGCCACAGTGCCTGAAGGGTTAGAATTTTGACTTTGCAGAGTGTTGAAAAAAGTTTGTCACATAGGTTGTGTGGTCTTCTCTGCTCTGTGCTTGTAAACCGCCCTCTGGGGGTGAAAAATAGCGAAGTCTGGTATAACCGGTGCCTGTAGGAATGTACGTTCATCAAAGTGCCCTTTGCAAATTGTCACTGGACAGTCAAAACCCTCGTGCCGTGCCATTTTGAAAACACCATCTTTGATCCGGGCATCCCAAAAAAAAATGCGTTTTAAAGCATAGAGTGAGAAGTCACAGAGTGGATTCGAAAAGTGAAGAAGAAATTTCCTAGAGTTCCTATAGTTCCTGTTTGTTTTTGGAACCAAAATGCGTTTCAGTAAATGTTGTGTTGGTCAGTGCGTTAAATGTGTTCCACTTATCACACAAGTTTAACATAAAAGTATACGTATATTTACTGGCGACAATTGGCAACCAAGGAAAAATTGGTAGTTTACGATACTTCCTTGGTAGCCAAGTTGTAGGGTAAGATCTTTTCAAGTTTTTGTTTTCTTTATTTTTAACGATATTAATTTGATCAATTTAATAAAATCTTGCAGGTAATGGGTTCAGATTTAAAAAAAAGTATGTTAGGGTAGAAAAATTGGCTAAAAAGTTATGCTCATCTTACGAATGGTAAAACTAAGAGTTACGGCAAAAGTATTTTCCTAACTTGAGTTTATGGTACAGTGGAATGCCGCTTTAACGAATATCGCGGGATCCACAGAAATTGTTTGTAATAGCGATCGGTCGGTATAGTGATTTTAAGCTGCCCGTGCTCCGGTACTCATGTTACAATAAATGCGCCCTTCAAAACTTCAGCCTGCACAGCCTGGTAGTAACTGAAAGACGACTTTGAACACGTGCTGACTATTGAATTATGTAATTACACAGTTTTTGAGCTTACTACCTACAGCAATGGGTGGCTTTCCCCTTCTATTCCTTGGGGAAATAATAGCCACTTGTCGCTCTTCTGTTGACATTTTTCAACAACGATGGTCATTACGTTTTGTACACAAAAATCGGGAGCCAAGGATGATGTTCGGTATAGCGGTGGTTGGTATAGCGACGTTCCACTGTACCGAGTAAGAAATGTGTTAAGTGCTATAATTTGGGTGTGAAGTACAATTTTTACATCGGTTGGCTAATTATGACATCTTAACCAAGATAGATGGGGGAAGTCATACATTAGATTGAAAGTGCAACTTCAGTCTCTGTGGAGTACATACACATTTTAAGTCACACGATCTGATTTCTTCGTAGTCCGTAGAAGTTGTTTGTGGCTGTTAATTGGCTATTGGAGATTGGGATCAGGGTCATCTTATGCAGTCCTGGGCACCGGAAGGGTTCAAGAAATTTCTTTAAAATGAGAACAAGTCATAATTTTGATTTGGAAGGGGACGAGTCGAATGCAGGAATCTGCAAAATGTGCAAGGAAAACAAGAGGGATCATCGCAGGTTGATATTCACAAATGTAAATGAGTTGTAAAATGAAATGTGAAAAGTTGATTTTTGTTGAAAACATTGCTGCCAGGATGTCATAAAAATAGCACTTTGCAAATTTGCAAATTATCACCTTGTAATTTTTTGGTTTTGTTTTGCACATTTTCTTCAGCTATGAACATAATTTCAATCAACTAAGCCAAGCAAAGCCTCAGTGTACTGGTTTAGATTTAGACTTGGTTACAGAAACTAACCAAGTAAATATTCCCTAGTATTTTTACGTTACACTAATTAAACCTGTCATTAGTAGAAATGTGTACTTGCAGCCTTTTGTTTAGGAGCCATTTTCCCTATTTTAGCTGTACATTCATGGGTTGTTGTGATGCATGTGCAATCAATTGGGTGGGGGGGGGGGGGGGAATTACTATAGGCGCATGGTTAAAATAGCTTAAAAACAAGCAATGGGAATTGAACTTATGCAAATTGTTGATTGTATTAATTTGTTTTCTGAGACAGGTTTGTGCAAAAATACACAGAAATAACTATTTTTTTCTTTTATTTGTTTCGTTTTGTCTGTTGCCATATCCGATATTGCATATTAAATCAAAAAAGTCAACTTGATGTGGCCATAGTCGAGTTAAATTCTATGTAGTGTGTACATGTAGCTGTATGTAGGAAATGCTTAAATCCTGGGAAAATCCCGTTTGCATCTTACCTAACCATGTATATTAGTCAAATGTTTGTGACATAATTTGGACTTAGGGGTCAAGTTAATTTTTACATGCATTACGACTGCTGTATGAATTCCGTGCTCTTGCTTTTAGTTTAATACAAAAAAGATTGCAACAGAAAAATTTGCATCAGGGGAAGGGGTCAGCAATGGAGAGGTCAAGTTAAGGCTTTTGCTAAACGTGTACAGCAACGGGTACTGGAAGGTTAGCATCCTGTATGTTTACGTGGAGAACTTAAAAAGGCATATAGGATCATTTGCATTTATCCCAAAAGTAACTCGCCGAATTATTATCAAAAGGCTTACTTGGATTATCATTAAAGATCGTACTGGTACTAAACGACGCGTGAAATTATTCCATCTGCCTTGCTGTCATCTTATCAAGAAATGTAGGTGATTTCCAACAATCAGTCAATTGACTGATTTTTGGAAACAAAGAAAGCTATTGACGAAATTGTGTTTCATAATCAAAATGAAATGGTTTTCACTGCATGGTTACACTGTATTCTCGAAAAGTGTAATATCCACAGAGCTGGATCTGTAAAAAGTTAGGCTTTGAACATTCTGCAACGGATTTTGAGTGGTATGTTTTAGAAACAAACAAAATGCATGAAAAGCAAATGATCTTATGTGCCTTCAAGCAGGCATTTCATAGAATCCATTTTGAAAATGTTGAAAAATACTTATGTTTAATGAGATGATCTTTTCAAGCCTATTGATTGTATTAGTTTGATAAAACTTCATTTTCACTCTTTAACATTTTGCATGCATGAGAAATGAAGGTTTGTGCTCCCTTTTCTTCCTATTACATGGAACGCCAAAACCACACGTTGGCAAAGCACATTTTTGGGTTCTACATGTAGGTGTACACGTTCTTGCAAAACTCGCAACTTGACGTCTCCAATATTCTAAGGGGACGTTGGCTGGAAATTCTTACTGTGGCGTTACTCATCCTTGGTTTATTTATCCACGAATACCTGAATTTTGCATGTAGAGATAAGCTTTAATATCACATAACTTGCCTGCACTAGAAGCTCAATGGCCTTTCTACACACACACACGCGCAACAGAAGGAACAAATAAAACACAAGTTGACACATTACTGACTCGTTTGTGGTGTTTTATTTCCTCGGTAGTTCAGTGATTTATCTCTACGTCAGCTGAAAATTTGGTTTCATTTTGACAAACTGGATTAGTCTAGCAACTATCCAGCATAACTTCAATAACTTTCTGAGAACACGGTGATATGAACAAGTTATCCCAACCCAACTGCTCACAAACTAATCCAGCCCCAATAAACCCCTTCTCGTTCCGACCGTCGCACTGCCGGGTTCGTCCGCTCTCTACTTGCTGGTGGATTCCCTGTGGGACTCCCTCATGGAGGCCGAGCGTTTGCGCTTGAGGTGGGCCTCTCGTTTCTCCTTCTGGCGTTGGGCCAGGAGCTTGGCGTACTCGGCGGCCTGCTCCTTGTTCTTGGAGGCGCGTCGCCGCTTGAGGGCCAGGTTGTGGCGCTTGCGCTGGAGACGCTGGGGCGTGATCAGACGTTGGATCTTGGGGGCCTTGTAGCGGGGCTTCTGATCTATAGGATTGATATGTACAAAATAGGATTTAGATCAAATTGGGGGAACATGATTGCTGTATTCTCAAGGAAAGTTCCAGTTATATAAGCAAATCTACTCCAACGATGAGTGCGGTGTAATACAACAGAGTGCAGCAACAGCACAGTTACACCAGATATGTGGCTATAAAGAACATCTCTTTTGGCTCCGAAATTTCCCATCAAATTGGCAACCAGAAAATTGCTATAACAAAATAGTTAACTGTAGTGAACAATCTGCTGTGTTCCCACCATGAAAACACCTTTGTGTATGAAAGGCGTGCAGACTTTTCTCTACTTTCCTTCTGTATTTCGATCTGTTTACTGCAATTGCGTCATTTGACCACAACACAGCTTCTTCCCGAGTGTCCTTTCTGGTTTATCGCAATCATGGTCTCTGGGATAAACTTCCAGAAATTGAGCGAAATACTCCTTATTTTGGGTGGACTGCTACGGACCTGAATAGTTTCTTTGACAACTAACCTTTCTTGTCGGGTTTCTCCGGGAGCTGGCGCTTGACGACATACTCGCGGACGTCGTCCTCCTTTGACAAGTTGAAGAGTTTGCGGATCTTGCCTGCCCTCTTGGGGCCCAGTCGGCGAGGGATGGTTTTGTCTGTCAGGCCTGGAATCTCGTTGTCCCCTTGATAGGAACCGCAAAAATACATTACGTTAAACCCCGGAATACGTCTATTATAGGACCTTCTTCCTATTATTTTAACCAGTTCGTGCCGGATGACGTGTATACCTGCAAAGGTGTTGCGGTAATCGGAACGGATGACGGATAAACACGCAGAGAGCGAGGCCGGAAAATATCTGTCAGCGACCCGCTCGCAGCGAGCGAGGCCGGAAATATGAGTGCGCTGCCCGAGGGTGATGGCTTCAACCTGCCTGGCTTTAGGTCGTGTGGAAAGTAATCCCGCGTCTTGCTCCGTTCTGGTCAAAATAATCCTGGCGTGAACTGGTTAACCAAATTTTGCATCAAGGAGATCTAAATTCAATACACGGTTTTGCCCTTTGCCGACATAATTTCATACGCACTGTGTACTTAGTGCTGTCCTCATTCTGGTGGAACTCGGACCCATGACCTCCTGCTTACTAGTGAATCTGATCACTTGACCACAGAGCTTGCTGTGGTCCACTGGCTGGCATACTCAGCACAGCACTTGAGTACAGACCTAATGTTCATGTTGTAACAATGACTGCGTCTTAATTGTTGTAAGATACATGTATGCATTTAGTTCACAGGCATAGACTAAATGCAACTCAAAATATGTCAAAAATGAAGTCTGTGCAGTGCTTATGAAACTATGTTTTTGAAGAGCAAAACCCAATTGTGAAAAAGCATCCCATTCAATACTGAACAATGCTTTATGCACAAAACGTTTCTTCAACGAGGCAAATTTTTTTTTGTACAAGAAATCTCAACTCCTGAACAGTTTTATCACGTTCAAACTGTCAAACTCACCCTTCTTGACAATGACCAAGTTGAGCACAGAGAGGTTGCTGTCTACGATGCATCCACGGACCGACTTGCGCTTGCGTTCCCCCTTGCGACGGGCTCGGTAGCAGGAGTGTCCCTTAGCGAGAAGCAGACGCACCCGGCCATTGGTCAGGACACCTTGCTTCATGGGGAAGCCCTGCTTGTCGTTACCGCCGCTGATGCGCACAATGTAACCCTTGAAACAAAGAAAGAAAACCACATGAAGTATTTATCAATCAACCCTTACCCACCCATGGTACTGTGCTTAGAAATCTGTCTAACTCCCTAGGCCTTTTTGCTAGGATGTAGCCTCAATCCTGCAAAATCCTCCAATTGGCCTCATGGAAAAACAGCATACAGTCGGCTCCCGTTATAACGAGGTCCGATGGACCTTCACAATACTGTCGTTATAGCCGGAACCTCGCTAAAACCGGAGCGCAGTTTTCCCCATTCGTTGTGCACAAGGTACGGTACATGTGCGTGCGTGTTTTAATCGTGTAACGCACGTCCGAAGACATGAAAAGATGGTCATTTGTTGGTATGTACGTCTGTTATTAATGTATATTTAATATTTAACTGATGGTGATGAATAAATGAAATAAATAAAATACCTTTAAGGGAACATTGTTCAATATTAGAGGACCTGAATCCGGAGGAAAAGGCATCATCGCTGAGAAGAATCAGGCAAGTAGGTCACTCGCACAAATCGTGCCGAGTGACATTTTGCTTTCATTTTGCATTTGCTGGAATCGGGCAAGAGAGGGCGCCAATACATGCATTACTTCCGGGTTTTAATGACTCCTGATCCTTAGATGCCTTTTGGTTGTTGACTTTTTGGAACAGTTGGGTATTATTGTTTCTGAAGGGATTCTTTGAAATTGTAATTATTTCGGTTAACTATAGCGCACATTCGTGCCAAGTGACATTTTGCTTTCGTTTTGCATTTGCTGGAATCGGGCAAGAGAGGGCGCTAATATTACTTCCGGGTTTAAGTGTTTCCATGTGTAATTTTGTCGGGAGGGATTCTTTTAAGTTAATAATAATAAATAAACAAAAGTAATAATTTCGGATTAACATTTGTATAATGTATATGTGGTGGGGCGTTTGAAGATCTTGGAAACCTGTTTTCATTGGGATTGTTTTTTCGGCGGGGCCGAGGGGTTCTTAATTTGTTTAAGATTTTTATTTTTTTATTCTTCGGATTAACCTTTTTTGGGGGTGGGAACCACGGTATGTTTTAAACTTTATTTTTTCGAGACAGACTGAATTATCTCTTTTTGGAAGTTGTGGTGGCTCTGAAAAGAGCCGTTTGTTTTGTGATGCTGTGTGCTTTTTTTATAGCCACAAGCCAACAATAGGGAGCAATTAAGCACCCGATGTTCGGGCGGTAGTACTAAAGGCTATTCCTTACAATGTTAACACTTAACTCCTGAGCGCCCCCTATTGTTAGTTTGTAATAATCTAGAAACGTGGTACCGCAGTCGTAAGCAAACTTCAAACCTGGTCACGCTAAAGGGAAACCACAGCAGGGGATTAGCGACTAGACCAGCGGTCCACTGCGCCGATTATCACAGTCCCATTGAATTTATTTGAAAAGATCGGCGAGATGAAATAACGTTGGGTTGAAGTCTTTACAAAGGTACATTGATGGGTGAAGCTTAAGTGTGTTGCTTGAATTGGAAGACGGGAGCATGATACCCGTTTCGGGACGTCGGACAAAAGGTCTGTCGTTGACAAGCTGCAATGCCCGTAGTTTTGAAAAGATGTCATTGTAAATGGGTTGAGAACAATGCTTTTCCTCGCACTGGGTCAGCCAAAATCGTCGTAATAGCCGAAGTCTCGTTATGTCCGTGCACGTATTAACCAAATATTTCCCCATAGTAATATACACAAATTGATCGGGACTGGGAGAATGTGCTCGTTACATCCGGGTTATCGTTATGACCGAGCTCGTTATAACGGGAGTCGACTGTATAGCCTCAATCCTGAAAATTTCTCCATTATTTCTTGAATACGGTCCGTGGAGGGGTGACCACTGCCTGAATCCTGCAAAATCCTGCGGCAGTGACTGTCAATACGTTGAGGCTTGGCCAGTGACATCCTGGAGCAGTACGGAGGATTTCAAGCATAATCCAGGCCTATATTTATGCATGGCTGAGCAAAAACAACACAAGGTCCGGCCCAAGACCTTGACAAAGTGCATCCTACGAAATCAGTAACGAACTTTTGCCATGTAACCTCAATCCTCCACTTTGGCAAAGAGATTTTAGAAGGATTCAGGGCGGTTAGGGTCAACGCAACAGTGAACATCTATGAAAGTGGGAAGCCTGCCCAGTGTACAAATATCAAACAGGTGTAAATCCCCACGGCCAAACAGCCTGCGAGCGGAATTGTTCAATTGGGACTTGCTACTGGTGTCTCAGAAATGGCTGTTTACACAATGGTGTCGATGACCCAATGCAACAAGGTCCCAGGTACTTTGAAATCTCTCGAACCATGTTGCATTTGGCAGGGTTAATCTAGCCTGGCCCTTGAAGCTAACCCACCTGCCTTAACTCAACTAGGCCTTTACTCAACTAGGCGCTCGTGGGATAACTAATATTGCCAGCTCCTGATCAGCGATCTGGATCAGCACACGCACATTTCAACTGGGGCGTACGCACACAGTTCCTGACTGGCCGAATGCAATTCCCGGCGCAAGCAATTTAGGCTGGTGCATGGAAAACTTGATCAATTGCATATTCGAAGGTCGACTAATCAAAAACTAAATGATTCAAAATTTCACAGCCCTACTGTATGTGTACCTTCCACTCATCACCCAAGCTCTCTGCGGTACATTCTTGCGCCATCCGCTTGTCATAGAAGGCCCTCATCTTCATCTCATCGTCCACCTCAATGAGCTTCTGACAGCCTGTGGCTGGGTAGCTGACGTTAATCTGCTCAGACAAGAAAACATCATCAAGATGCAAATCAATTGAATAAGCCTTCTTATAAAAAAAAAAAGATTCCCATATCTGGCCATCACTTGTCACCCTGTGCACAAACGGTATGAGACTGGTCTGGACATTTCCAAGTGTTTCTTCAGTAAATACTTCAATATTTTCCCTGCTAAATTTGACTTTTTAGGACATATTATCACTTTCTGATGGCTGATACTGTGATACCTAGGTCCCTGAAGGGAAAAATTAGTGATGGCCAGATATGGGAATCTTTCACACAAAAAAGAAACTACTTAAACAAAAAATAAGAATGTTGGATCACGTCCAAAATTTGTCTTAAAAAGTTGAAAAGGGTGACATTCATGATTCATGTTGCTTTTAACATGTCACTATCAAACATCGCTATTCAGAATTCACGGACATAAATTATGCAAATAAGCCAACTAGTGAACAGCGCCGCTCATTATAATGATGTCACAACTGCGCGGCAGAAACCAAAGCATCGATAAGGGATTCCCCTGGTTCTGAAGCTTTCATTGGTTAAAAATGGTCACATGAATGATGAACTACCATGACTACGACTAACGACATCATTTTCCAATTCTTCTCTGTAAGCAATACTACAGAATTATTGTTTACTGCATTATCGGCCCTTTTCTCATAGCATTTTCGTAAGCTTTGAATATGTTGAAAAGTTGAAAATGAAAGTCTTAGGACTAAGCGACGATTTAGTGCAGACCCTCCGCCCGAGTTGTTGCCCAGTTTTCGGACACCAACTTTTATGGCTTCTTAAAGTTAAACACTGTTCAATAAAATTTTCCCGTTGTACAAATACTGAAATCCAACATTCATCAAGACAATATAACAACCCCTATCTGAGAGGATACATGTTGAGAAGCTTTCAGACTATGGCGTTAAATTACACATGTGATTGTGACATAGCGTGCAGTACACTACATGTACAATACTGGAAATGGATTTGTGTATCCGAATCATCCACATCATCCTCGTAAACAGAGTAAAGAATCATACCAAAAAAATAGTTGAAAACGTAGATTATATATTTAACTTCCATTGGTTTTAATATTTTTGTAACATTTTAAACGTCTTTGATACAAAAATCCTTGCAAAATTATCACCTTCATGGCGGCTACGGCCTTTTGCCAGCGCTAGACCATGGGAAAAGAGATCGAGAAATCGCGAAGCAAGTACGAGAAAGATACGAGATTTCACGAGATATTCGGAGTCTAAAGAGGGCGCTCTCGCATTTGCATTCATCATTGAATCATCCTCGAAGACGCGTAATAAAGCACTAGAAGAATCAGTTTGATTTTTGAGGGAAATCTGGTGTTTTATTTACAGGACGCTGAAAAAATCTTTATGCATGATTATTAAATTTCATCATTTTACATGGCAAATGTTTCATTCGTAAATGGATATAATGAGTGTCAGGATATTTTTGACTCGGCTCACCACAATGTGACGTGTGAGTAGGACTTTTTTCCCGAACGTCAAGTTTTTGGTGGTTTCATGGCAACTTATTTTTCTAAATTTTCATGGGGCACAATTTTACTAAAGAAAGGGCCTATTTGAAACGCACGATTTTCGCAGTAAAAATGAATGAACGTTATTATGATTGTTCATATGGGTTGGCCGTGCCATGATCCTGAAAATATGAGTATCATACAGGGACGGATCCAGGAATTTTCGCATGGGGGGACTGAGGTCTTCATCGGCAAAAAATCGGAAATGTCGACAGTGTTTTTTCTCTCCGGACACTTGACCTCCGAAAATCAATAGGTGTGTGTGTGGTGGTGGGGGTGGGGGTGGGGGTGGGGGTGGGGGTGGGGGTGGGGGGTGGGGGTGGGGGCTCGTACAATGATTTCAATGGGGGCGCTGTTCAAATCCGACGATAGTGTACAATGTACATACATGTATACCCCAACCAAGCTTGCTCTGTCCGTATTTTGTGCAAAGGCGGACATTATTACCAGTACAAAAAATTGGGGTGGCAGAGCGGGGGGGGGGGGGGTCGCTTTTTTTCCTCATGAATTTCTATGGAAAGTTATTTTTTGACAGAGAGATGGGGGGGGGGGAGGTTGACCCCAAACCTACATCTAAAACGTGGACCAGTCGAACTCGGAGCACTCGTACAAAGATGAACATTAATTTTGTGGCGGTCATTGGGTAAAAACTGAAACTTAAATATAAGACTAAAATGTTTTTGGGACACACAGTTTTAGTGTAATAAACTTGAATTACTAATTCTCATTTACAAACAAATCTAAAATGACCGAAACACACGAGATAAAATGAAGTTCCTGGATTAAATTATCAATTCCCACAAAAGCCAAGTTCAGCTCTCTCACTGTTGATTTTATATTGATTTTAAAATATCGACAAATCTTTAATCGCTTGTAATTTGATACATAATGACGTAATTATGACGTAGCAAAATTTATTACATCTTCGTAACATGGTACACCACAAATTGGCACTTGGTTTTATGATCATCCCCTGAACCGTTCGGAAGAAATTTCGCTTTGTTTTGATTTGCGAGGATAATGTCTTCATTTTGAATTCACCTATCGGTAGATGAGGGTCGATATTATGTGCAAAGTTAAAAGTTCATAACATCAACCGTTTAGGAGAAAACCCGCAGAGAATTATTATCGGGGAAAAAATAAAGAAAGAAAGAAAAAAGATTTACCAGCACAATTCTAAACAGTGGTCGGGTTGTGGCCGACCACTCAAAATACTGTTTCACAGGCGCCGTCACTCTATAGGTATAGAAATACCGGCAGTCTCGATGTCCTTCACAAAAGGCTATATTGTGTACAGAAAAATATGAGTTTTAAAAAGTAGATTAATGTTGCCTCGATCTATTTTGTCCTCCACCACTGCTGGGGGGGGGGGGGGGTTCGATACGTCTGAACAGGACGATAAACTTTTGAAGTATTTTGCATTTCCGCGTCTGTTACGCATGACGTGACCTTTTAACTTGCCAGAGTTCATTGCTAGGCCTATAGAGCTTTTCCCAGCATTGCAGCAATTTGGGATTCGCGCACAACAGGGCACAAGTAATTGGCCTGCCTAGTTAAATTTATGTGTCCTTGCCACAACAGTTTTTGCTCAGCACACGACGTGGGAAGCGAAGAGGAGACCGATAATGTCCATGAGGTGCATCCGTGTAACCGCTCCAAAGGAGCCCTTGGTCTACCTTGAAGATGAGAAGATCCCCAAAGCTCCCGATGGCGGGGCTGTAGTCAAGGTATCATTATAATATATGCTAACATCCATATGGCGTAATTGCATGTACGCCCCAGCTGCATATAGACTCGCGAAACGGTCGGGCAGGCGCGGTTCTAGAACTTTTTACGGAATTTATTTTGGGGGGCTAGACAAAATTTTGGGAGGGCTAAAGCCCCCCCCCTCCCCCCCCCTTCGCCTACGCCTTCTGAGTCACAAGTCTGAATCATAATGTGTACATGTATACATGTTCAAGTAGCCCCTACATTGTCAGGGCAATACATTCAACACGGAGGAATTGAGCTGCACATTCATTGTGCAAGCCCCGGTCATGCATGTTTCCAATATCATAACTCAAACGACCCGGGTTTGTTGCGGCAAATGAGACCGAGTTCACGAAAGTTCACTTCGCCACATAATGGGTAAAATCAGGTTGTGTCAAAAAGTGCAAATCCATGATATTGGATGTTTTGCGTAAAAGTTGTCAAGTCATTTCATCTACAGGTTGCATTCCCATCAATTCTTTTGTCTTTGAAACGTTTCGCTTATAGGTTTCCCACTGTGGTGTGTGCCACACTGATGTACAATTCTGGGAAGGAGGTTACTCCCTGGGCGATGGCACAGAATTGAAGTTTCAGGACCGTCCAGGCTTCGTGTACCCATGTATCCCAGGTATATACAAAGAAATCACAATCCTCTTGGATCTAGCGCGCGTACGGGATGAAATAGTGACGCGAAATATAAACACAATACGTATCGCCACTTCTTATAAATCCAAACTTACACAAAGTCTTAAAGTGTGAAAGAACACGGGAGCTAAGTTTTCCCATCCGTGAAAGCTGATCATAAAACCTTATCACGGTGCATTTTTGAGTGGTCGGGCACAACCCGTTAAGATTAATCTTCTTTCTTTCTTTCTTTTTTCCGGACAATAAATTTCCGCGGCTTTTCTCCTAAACGGTATATGGTATGAACTTGTAACTTTCAACATATATCGATCCTCGTCCCAAGTGGTGCATATTACTCTGACGTCATGATGACGTCATTGGGTGTCAAATTACTAGCGATTTTAGAGAAAAAAGTGGCCAAATACTTTCACCTATAACTCTTGAACAAAGTGATCAATTACGTTTCAACTTTGTAATCAGATAGACCATTAGTTGATAAACATTTTTTTTGTCCGGTACGTGAACAAGCTTGACCTTTACTTCCGGGTCTACCGGAAGGTCAAAGTTACGTGAATTCAAAATGAAGACTTAAGCCTGAAATTAAAACAAAGCAAAATTTCTTCCGAACGGTTTACGGGATGATCATAAAACCTAGTGTGAATTTGTACCATGTTACGAAGATGTTATGAATTTTGTTACGTCATCATGACGTAATGTAAGGGCAAAGTGATGGAAGGGCAAATTTTGACAAAATATTTGTTGGAACAAATAAGAAAGCGACTGCTTACAATAATAGTACTGCTACCACATAATTTCATCATATTTGTTCACCAGGGACTGCAAAATCACAGCTCTTATAAGAATACACCCAGGGGAGGATCCAGGAATTTGTACAAAATCACACAAAGCATTCAAAACTAATATTCTAGTCTGTTTTCTGATTTCTTTCGGCGTAACTCGCATATCAACAATGATTCTTTAATTCGTACCTTTATGCAGAAATTTAATATTTCGACGGTGTAGCCACAAACTTTTTTTCGTTATCTCAGTGCAGAATTTTAGGAAGCCCATGCATGCGAAAGACATAAGCCATTTTATTTTTGATATAGAGATAATCAAATGTTGCATATATTAAGCTCCAAACACGTCATAGAGGCTCCCTCAAGTCTACCGATTCCGATTCTGACCATGAATTCAATTCTAATATTCTCGTCCATTTTCTGAATTTTTTCGCCATAACCGATTGAAATCGCACCTCGCCAGTTTTCCTCTGATATCTCAATGCTGAAAATTAATATTTCTACAGCGTGTAGCCACAAACTTTTCTGTCGTAAACTCAGTGCAGAATTTTATTATGCCCATGCAAAAGAAAAAAACCCATAAAAGCCATTTTATGATGAAATTAGCATATGTTGCATAAACTCCAACGACGTTAGAGGCTCCGTCAAGTCTACCGTTGTCATAAATTCAGTGCAGAATTTTATTATACCCATGCAAAAGACCAAGAAAAAACCCAAAATAAAAGCAATTTATCTTAAAATTAGCATAATTATGTTTCATAAACTTTAACGACGTGAGACGCTCAGTCAATTCTACCAATGTCGTAACCTTAGTGCAGAATTTTATTATGCCCATGCAAAAGACAAAAAAAAAAAGCCATTTTATTTTAAGACTAGCATAATTCTGTTGCATAAACTCCAACGACGTTAGAGGCTTCGTTAACTCTACCAATAGTCCCAACTGGTTGTATGCTTGAGTAGCCATCCATGCAGCACCAGATGTGCGCTTCCTGATAGGCCTACAAGTCTTTTCACAGGATCATATTTTTAATTTAATTCTATCATTTGATCCCTGTCATATCTTCGTAGGCTAAATAATGATATCAATTACAATGATCACCTTTGAATATATTATGCTGTGACGTCATCAAACCGGAAGTTAGGTGTTATTATTACGTCATCAAACCGGAAGTTAGGTGTTATAATACAAACAATTATATTTCCCATAGTTTAATACGTTATTTTAACCTCACAATGAAAATGTATCCTCTCCGAAATTTATCAGTATTCACTTACCGTTTTGACTGATGACGTTATCAAACCAAAAGTTTCTTTTTTTTGCGCACATAAAATGTTTACTGAAATTTATCACACCGTTAAAGATACCAGTAACAAAATAATCAATTGTACTGGAAGGGATTTAATTTCGTGATCCTGGTTCTACATAAACATATATTCCTAACTTAACTGGGCAGTGTATAATGAAAAGGCTGTCCGCCAGACCACTCTGCGTTTGTAACTCAAACAAACGCGAACCTCTAGTTATTTATATTTTTGATTGGATAATTATTTGGTGGTTTGATTTTCGATTTATGATTATACTATAAGTTGAGGGAGACTATATCCATCAATTTGTTATGTTGGGGCCGGTTAACCATAATAGTCAAGCTTCCATGCCTTACCAGACAAACGGAGATTCGAAAAGGTCAGCCAACCCCAAGCACATCTGTACATTGGCATTAAAAGCAGAAGGTCGTGGGTTCGAGTCCTACTGAGGATTTGTGTTATCTAGCAAGCTCTTGACCAAGGATTCCTCAAAGGCGTGTTGGGCACTGTAACTCACAAGTCTGAAGAAACATGTGGAGAGAAGACAATGAGAAGAAGTTACAGTTTTAGAGGTGGGAAGAAATGCCCAGAAGCGTATTATGGAGAGAAAAAAAACGGAATCAGGTAGGGACTGAAAACCCAATTCACATATTGGCCCAGGCGGGATTCGAATCCGGGTCACAGTGGTGGAAGGCGAGGAAAGTACGCCAACCTGACTCCCCGGATGAGTTATGAAATCACATCGATGAAGGAAAAAGTATTCAAAAATAATGATGATTGCATGTACATTTCTTTGGTATCAGGACATGAAATAGCTGGCATTCTGTACACTATGGATGAAAACACTAGCAAGAACAGCAACGAGAGTGATTTGAAGTTAGGTGATCGTGTGGTCATCTGCCCCTGGATCGATTGCAACGCGTGCCGCCCCTGCAAAATGGGATACAACATCTTCTGTGACGGATCGCCACCCGTATACATTGGGATGACGCAAGATGGCGGGTATACACGCAAATAAAATAGTCAGAATTCACAACCTCGTAAAATATCTTTGAAAAAGACTTAAAGTTGTTTAAATTTTGGAATTTAAAACATAATTGTACACTCGATGGCCGAAATATTAATGTACAAAAAGGCAAGGAAAGGGCCTGAAGTACAAGCAGGCCTTATGTCATTAGCTTATAGTGAATTTCCATTTTCCGCAAGTCGATAACGGTTCTTTTTTTGGGGGGGGGGCATTTTTGGGTGATTTGTATTGTTTTATTCAGTTGCGGGCACGTGTGGTCTAGCGGTAGAGCACAGGATTCATGATCGTGAGGTTGTTGGTTCGAGCCCCACCGTGGCCATGCGTGTGTGCCGTGAGTAAGGCGCTTTACCTTAATTAGTCCTCTCAACCACGGACCATGGTCCGTAACCCAGGTGTTAAATGGGTACCGACATTATTCAATGTTGGGAAGGTAACAAACTCGCTATGGAGGAGGTGTGGCAATCCCCCCACAGCAGCATAATGAATCTGGCCCAATCGCTAATGAAAGTGAGATGGGCACTCCGTTCCTGTGAATACAGGTTCGTCCCTTTTCTATCAGTGCCCAAGACATCAACACGTAGCAGTGACATTTTTCTCCCCAGCTTTGCACAGTATGTCGCCGTACCGGACCTGCGGTATTTGGTCCCCGTATCGGAATTCATACCGCCCCCGATAGCCAGTCTACTCCCGTGCAGCGGGTTGAACGCTTACCATGCTGTCGAGGAAGCCATGGAGTTCGTCAAGACGGTCACCGAGATCAGAGGTATAGGCCTTTAAAACCAGCCAATCTGCAGGAGTGTTAGATGTGGACTTGGGTTTGTGGGGGAATGTCTATAGCATCAAACCCCAATATCTGACTCAAAAGCTATCGACTTCGACTTTTTGAAAGGTATAGCCGACACTGTTTTATGGAAACAGCCTATAGTTAAGTGTTAGGTGCCTGATGATTAAAAGCAGTTTTATTGGGTTTATGGAATATCCCTAAGGTGATTGTTTATTGATTACCTCACACTTATAAATGGCCGGCGTTCATTGGTAGAAAGTTCTGACAAGGCAATGACATACCTACAAAGACAACACGCCTAACTGATCGTTGGAAACTTAAAAGTGCTGCTGACGAAATTGTGTTTCTTGATCAAAAGGTTGTGCATGGTGTTTCACTGTTTTCTCGAAAAGTTTAATATCCATCGAAAGTTGAACAGGTTAGGTTTTGAACATTTCTCGTTGGTTTTTGAGGGGTGTTATATAATTGGAAACAAACAAAATGCATGAAAAACAAATGATCCTCCTTAAAAGATTAGGCCTATAGTATCCGTGATCGTTATCATACAATTCTTTTCTCCAAACGCATATCTACAACAAGCTTTTTATGTTGGGCGTCTGCACCCCTTTTGTGCTTCTATGCGTTCATGACAACCTAAACTTTTGCCGGATCGCAAATAATAAATTAGACGTTTATCAAGTAATTATTCCATAACTAAACGAAACCGAAATTGAACAGGCCCTAAAATTTGTAGGTTAGAAAAATCTCCCCTAAAAATACATTTTGTTGGGGCGCATCTCCAAACAGAGTAAGGACAGCACGTCTATAACGGAAATAACAAGCAATATTTGGCCTATGAACTTGAACTCATCACAGCAATGTCGTCGACCACCTTGTCCTTATTCAGTCACTTTTGCTGACTTCAAGAGTTCTACTGTCTCGTGTATTTAGACCTTTGGTGTGATTTCCCCATTCAAACACTGGACGTCAAATAACTATCGACGTAGATATCTCAGCTTCTTATTTTCTGCACGCAGGTGGTTGCTCTGTGCTGACGTTCGGGGCTGGCGGGGTTGGCCAGTGGGCAGTGCGTTTAGCCAGGGCCCTGTTCCCTCCAGAAACACAGATCATATGTGCAGAAGTCAAGGTTTGTTCACAGATCATTTTTATCAAAGGAGGTTCCTTTGTGGACAAACTAATTAACAAATAAGTTTGTCTGCCGAGTCTGCAATGGTCGATTTGATATTGCACCTGCCACGCGAAGCTGTCTTTATAAATTTAATAATGGATATTCATATTGTTATAAGGCATACATAATTAACGAATCATATTAAACAGCTTCCTCCTATAACCACTTATCAGTCGAGTTCATCAACTTCTTGGTTATCATTTTTGGGCCTACTTTCCGCCTGGCCTTTAACAGTGGCGGATATACGGGGGATGGGGTGGGGTTGGGGTGGGGTGGGGGCGGGGGTGGCTAAACTCCCCTCTTGAACCGCAAAAAGGAAAATCTTGCAAAAACAAAAACAGCAAAATGCGTGCTAAACCCCATCATGGCAGCAAACTTCGCTTGGTACAATCTTGGATCCGCCCCTGTTTAACGTTATTCTTTAAAGAACACCAGATAGGAAATATGCCATAACAAGCTTAGGCCTATAGATTTCTTTAGTTTCTGCGCAGCACAAATGATTATGATATTTTGCTGAATACCAAACAACGCTCAGTTTTTGATATCTCTTTCGCTCCAAAATAGTTGTCCATAATTCGTCAGCGGGAAAATTCACTGGACTCCCAAATGGATTATGTTTCAGCAAAACACGGGAATAGGCCTACCCAGCTTTCTTGTTTGACAAAAACATGGTCACTATATACCTGCTCTGCATGGCTGCAGCATCAAGTCATACTTTTTGATCAATAAACTGTGCTTCCCTTTTGCAGCAACAACCATTAGATTTAGTGACCAGTAACGTCAGTGATGTCGTCCCGTTACTCATGGCCCGAGGTGAGTCGAGCGAGAGCGTTGCCGAGCGCGTCAAGGCGGCGTCTCGTACCGGCACCGGGGTCGACCTCGTGTTGGATTTCGTCGGGGCTACGCAGACGTTCCAAACCGCCAACAAGTTGCTGAGAAAGGTAAAATACTTACACCACTCACCATAAAGCAAGTTGATGATTTGTCAGTGTTTTTAAAATTTTGCTTTTGAAAGTGAGTGGATGTGCAAATTGGGCGGTTGAAAACAGATCTAAAGTTATAGAAGATCCAAAATCAACTGCTTTCGTATAATAAACAAGACGTGAACGATCGAATCTAACTCCAAATACATCTTTGATCCATTATATCTGGTGACGTAACATATTTCAAAATGAAAGTTGGGTAACGTTTTGAGCTAAGTAAATTGTATTTTCAATCGGGTTTTGAAGTTTTTAACTTTTAAAGTTACCATAGATTGTAGCCGGACCTAATATGGCCGAATCATATTCGGCGCGAAAGCGATCGCGAACGCGCATTTATATTTGTGCGGGTAGGGGGAGTCTTCGCGCTGCGAATTCGCGAAGTTGACGTCATAAAAGTTTCTTAAGCTCAGTCAGGCGAATGCGAATTAAACATTCGCTGCGAAATTCGCCTGAGTTGAAATATGTTCAACTTGTGCGATTATGTAATAATGCGAATACCTGCCGTGACGTCACATATTAGCATTCGTTTTCCCGTCTAGTTATCACAAAAGCCGATTCATTCTCGGCGCGAACCCGAACCAACTTTTTGGTCTTTTTCACAAAAGTTGAGCATAAATTTTGCAGCGAATGTTTCGTGTTGTGAAATTCATTTCGCATCGTCACTCGAACTCGCGTGAAGTATGAACTCGACTTTTATACCAGTTTTGCAGTGCAATAGTAATACAATATTGTTGCATTGAACATCATTGTAGAACTGATATAGCGTCTAAAATGACAGGATTGTCATCTTGAAAGATGTTAGACTGACAAAGAGTAGCACGATCAGGATGTAGCTAGGCCCTATATGGGACCCTGCAATTGTTGTTAGCATGGCAATATTTTTGTGTTTTCTTTCAACAGAGTGAAAATCTCTATATTCGAGTAAATACTCATTCCATCTGGCTGAAACTATAGGCAAATCTGCGTACGTGATGACTGTACAGGGGGCTATACTCACGGGGCCCCCTTCAATGGAGAAACCATTGTATACGCTATATTGTACAAAGTAACCCTCCATAACGGATTACCTGAACAATAGCTAGCGCAATACTTTTGCCATTGAACGGGGGCTTCATTATAGAATAATTGTTAGCGTGCCCGGAATGGTCTGCTAGGGACAAGACGGCTCAGAGTGAAACTCATTTAATCGAATCGATCAAGTTTCACCCGAGTTTCCATGTGAGTTATTCTTATTCAAAGTTTTCAACCTAGAGTATCTTTTTTTAATTCTAAATCCTTCAGTCCCCAGTTACACTCTTTGGAAAGTGTCGAGTAATCCTGTGATATTTTTCCTTGTTTTTTTTTATGAGTAGCGGGGCCGCTACCATGTCGCGGGATTGCTAGGCGGTCAGGCGCAGTTTCCGCTGGCCAACATGGTGCTGAAAGGAATCACCATGAAGGGCATCAAAGTGGGCAGTCTGAATCAGCTCAGGCGACTCGTGCAACTCCTGGCCGATATGCCGGTAAATCGAGAATACAGAGTGGATCAAAAAAACCAAAACCGAGATATAATTGCTAATTGGAACAGAAGTAGGGCACATGTGAATCAAAGGGAGATATCCTCTGTTAGCATGGGCGTCGCGAGGGGGGGGGCAAGGGGGGGCACTTGCCCCCCCCCCTGGAAAAGCCAAAAAAAAAAAAAAAAAAAAAAGAAGAAAAAGAAAAGAAAAAAAGAAAAGAAAAAGAGGCGCGAAGACAAAGTGGTGTAAATTTAATGAGTTGGGGGGGGGGGCAAATTGTCCCTGCCCCCTCTAAAACTGATAAATCGAGAATGTGTTGAGAAATACAAACATTTTTTGGCAAATTTTTTTTTTGCCCCCCTCTAGAAAAAATCCTGGCGACGCCCATGTCTGTTAGGGTTGAATCTCCTCTTCAAAATGAAACCCTGGCCATGTCCTTACATTCACGGTTGACTGAGCAGTGACCAATTTTATGAAAGGGTCTATTTAGAGACTTGCGCCACTTTTCAATTGTGGTTTTAGTTGTGTCAGTTGTACAGAGTGAAAGGTTATGGTTGTCAATCAAGCCAGGTGGGGGAAAAAGAGATTTCACCATGAAAAGTGGCCCAAGTCTCTAAATAGACCCTTTCATAAAATTGGTCACTGCTCATTCAACCGTGAATGTAATGACATGATCAGGGTGTCATTTTAAAGAAGAGATTCAACCCTAACGGAGGATATCTCCCTTTGATTCACACGTGCCCTACTTCTGTTCCAATTAGCAATAATATCTCGGTTTCGAGTTTTTTTTATCCACCCTGTATAACTCTATTCTGTCCACTTCTTGGTTTTTTCTATACCCTTTCGCTGAATTTACAAGTATATTGAACTTATGGGGCTGGGTAGGCCATGGGCTGGGTAGGCCATAGTCGGTCGGTCAGCACTGGCAAAGAATTCCGAAGATTGCTGTTTTTAGTGAATCTTGTTCTAAATTCAAATTAATTCTTAATTTTTTCTGGCTTACGTGACAAACTTTTGAAAACTGAAAGCAGTGAGCATGAGGTCGGCATCCCCTGTCGGCATTCACAAATCTTGAATAACACCCTCCCCTTATTGTCTTTTTTTTGGGGGGGGGGGAGTTCAATACGGTGACCAAATAATAATGTCACTTGGAAAACTGCAATAATCAAAAGTAGCACATAGGGACACGATCGGTTTTGACTATAAGCCGGAAGATGTCAATGCTTTTGCGGCCACAATCGACTGAAGAATGAGGAGTCATTGCGATATTATTATGACACGACTGTTTTTTTTCCTTTCTGTGAAGAAAGAAAGTCCCAAAGTGGCACCTGAAAATAAATTGCCTCCTTTTTTTTCACGTCCCCATAACATCTATATTATTTTCCCCTCTTTGTTCGTATTCAGTCCCTGTATGCAAACCTTCAGTATGAAGTTCATCCACTTGAAGACGGCATCAGCGTCTTCGAGAAACTGGCCAAGGGGGAGGTGGTCGGACGAGCCGTGTTGAGATGCAACGGAGATGAGTAGCATTCTGATCAGCCACATGTATTCAACTCATTAAATGCCGCTACATCATTCAAGTTGCTGTCTTGGAGCTCAACTTTTTATCTTCAATTTTTGCTTTTTGATTTGTAAGCTATATTTTAGCGGGAAAAAAAACCACTTTTATCTATTTTGGGTGTCGGCAATTTTGGCTTGTTTTGGCAACGGTTAATCGCGATTTTTTTATTGCTAGGATTTGGGTGGATATCTGTTGTGTTTTATCTCATCTTTGTTTTCCTTTTCCACGGTTTTTGAATAGAAATGAATATGCTAAATTTAAATTAAATGGAGTTTAGAGTCAGCTGGGTGAAACATAAATTTGAATTTTTTATATTAATTATTTTTAGTTGAGATTATTTGACTGGAAAAACTATGGCGGAAGAGATTCCGAGATCTAGATAAACAGTGTTGTTACATTGTTCTCTTGGTCTTCAATACTTTACAACCAGCATTAATTCCACAATCGAGCACGACTTTGCAACTTTCTAGAATCCACACTCTTTATTTTGAAAATCAGCTTTTAAAACTAGTCAATCTGTACCCAATTGTATAGCTCTACTTTCCATATTAAGCAAAGAACCGCCACCACTGATGCAGCAGAGAATTCTGCTCTTTAGTTGAATAGCCCACACTTTCAGCGAGAAATTTAGGGTCCAAAGTCTGACATTTTTCCTGCCCCTGTTACCTCTGAACTTGTAATGTGCCATTCAGGTATCATTAATAATGACTTCAAACGAGTTTAGATTTGTTGGGTTGGTAGTTTGCTATTCACTCTTGGAGGATGACTGCATTAAGGAGTGCATCGGAATTATAACATCTTAGATGTCAGATATAACAGGGACAGGGAAAAAGATGACCCCAAATTTATAGAATGACATTTATCTAGTAACATTAATGAGCATTCTGTGTTTAAATGGTTCACATAGAAATTTGAAAACACAATAGGGTTCATGCCGAAAGCAGAGTCATACAATTGGGTGCTAATTGAAACAGCTTTTTTAAGCTATTACACACACATACTCAAAATTTATTAAGTCTATTATTGAAGGCTCACAAAATGTTAATTAAATCTATGGAGAATAATTATAATCTAAATAATTATTAAACTCTTGAAATATTTTTAAAAAGTGCATAGACACTGAAAGACATTTGTACATTATTGTCAAGTCGCAAAATATAATAGAGTTATATCAGCTGAAATATGGTTTTATTTTAAAATTATCTAATCTATAGGATTGAATAAAAATACATCTTCGATTGTCATCACATCAAACATTCAAGAACAGCAATTATGGAAAATTATTAAAATTCAGTAATACTTTCGCATATTAAGAAAATACTTCACACAACTAAACAGATAAATAAATGTACAATTTTCGGTAATTTTAAGCGGTCGCAACTTGTTTATGTCTGCTGTCCAATGACAGTTTAGCTTTTATACCCGATTTACTGGCTATATATATACCTGATGAGGGTTGACCATCATCGGTCCGTTTCATTGGCTCACAACTTGACATAGCACAAAAATATGCCTCAACAAAATTGGTTCACACACCAAAGGGACAAGTGATACAAATTTAGTTGATAAGCATCCAATTGTTTTATACGGCTATATAAAACCTGTACCCTGTAAAGATGTTTTTATTGCATCATTGTTTATTATAAACAATAAACATTTGAAAATGAGACTTAAAAAGGTCCTATGTACACAATAGAAATTTTGAAAACACTGCAAACCTCTTATTGTAGAATTATTGCCAAATCTTATTCTTCCTATTGATCTGATTTTGATGAAAGTGGACAAAACCTGAAAAAAAAAACGTAATTCTTTTTAACAAAGTGCACCAAACATGGCCCTGTCTTTCAAGCAATATTTATTTTAACTTTTTGAGGAACAAATCACTTCATTTTTCTACATTTGTCATCTATGACCTATTCAAAATAAACAAAATTGTCAGGGTCACCGTCAAATTCAGTAAAAAACTGATCAATCTTTAATAGTATTGACATATTCTGCCCTAGTCCATAGTAATCCCCCTTGAATTTCATTTTCACTGATAGAGCTCTGTGCATATTTTTGTTCATAATTATTTCATGCCATACATGTGCAAACCAGTACGTGCATGTCCATGCAATGTGTGCTTCAAAAAGAGCTCTCAATATGTGGCAATGAATGGTACTGTGAGTGCCCTTAAGCCTATCGATGTAGACTGCACAGACAGTAAGCGGAACCGTCGGCAAAGTTTGAACTTTGCCGATCGTCTGCGGGGTAGGTTGTCGGCGTCTGTCTTGGTTGTCGGCAATACTTCCGGATGAAATGTTTCCATCAGTCTGCGTTGCAGTTTGGGTCTTGTTTGCGTTTCACTTTGAGGAACTAGGCTTTACTGGGACCTGAGTACTTCCCCAGTTATTTTCTTTTCTGACTCTTAACTTTTTGGTTGAGTATTTTAACTTTCATCTAAGACAATTTAGTCATGGTGACTGCAGTGCACAGATTCTGGCTTGGTGGCATGATACTTCCCCAGTTATTTTCTTTTCTGACTCTAAGTTTTTGTTTTGAGTATATTTACTTTCATCTAAGACAATTCAGTCATGGTGACTGCAGTGCCCAGATTCTGGCTTGGTGGCATGATACTTCCCCAGTTATTTTTTTTTCTGACTCTAAGTTTTGTTTTGAGTATTTTTACTTTCATCTAAGACAATTCAGTCATGGTGAATGCAGTGCACAGATTCTGGCTTGGTGGCATGGTACTTCCCCAGTTATTTTCTTTTCTGACTCTAAGTTTTTGTTTTGAGTATTTTTACTTTCATCTAAGACAATTCAGTCATGGTGACTGGACTCTGACTTGGTGGGAGGTAGACGGGCGGTGGGGCTGTGTCGTTCATATCGGCCACCAGGTGCGGGGAAGACGGCGCGGGGAGGCTGTCCAAAGGCCGGGTCTCGAGTGCCACGGGCACGGTGACGATCTGCACGGTGTTGATGACCTGCGGCTGTTGCTGCTGCAACACAGGAGCCTGCTGAGGGCTGGGGGAACGCCGTGGTGTAGCCGGTCGCTGGGATGCCCACTGGTCCGGACGGGCCGGTACCGCTTCAACCTCCCACGGTGCCTCATGTGCCTCAGCATCATTCATGTTGGGATCAGAGGTGGCAACCTTGCTCTTCTTCTTGGCTTTGACGATGAGGATCGCGCCGACGATAGCCACAAGAGCCACCACAACAACAACACAGACAACCACAACGACGATGGTCGTAGGGAAGGGGTCCTCTTCGGGTACCTCTGTAAGCAACAAATGAATGAAATACAAAATGAAATTGGCTTGATGATTTTATACATATTAATCGCAAAGGGTAAAGCTGTAAACAAACAGGTTTCAAGAGCTAGGGCTACATCAACTGTCAGTACATGCCAATGTAGCTGTAATTGTTGAAGACCTATAGACAACAGTTTTGTACAAGCGATTTGAATGGGACCTGACTAGGTTTGTTTGCAAATAATAAAAGAAGAGTAGAACAACAAAGAAGTTGACTGGGGCAGGATTCGACCCCGCAACCTCTGGAACATTGTACCGATGCTCTACCAATAGAATGAGTAAGAAGTGCTAGTAAGACGCCTTGAACCTTTTCCCGTATATGCCAAATGGCAAGGGATCACACTCAAATTAACAAATATGCATATGTCCAATATTTGACGGAACCAATAGTTTTACACTAATGGTAGGTTTGACTATGAACCAACAATGTCTGAAATGCTTTTGTTTCAGACAAATCATCAGTGACACCATGAAGTAACACCCAAGTGGATTTGAGTGCTCGCTGTATGCGCGCGTATTTTACAGAACAGAGCGATTTTTGTTTTTACGAAATAACACTCATGTACACTGTGCGCTGAATCGGTCATTTTCATCTTCATTTCACCAGTTGGAAGGCTTTTTAATAAAATTATCTGCATTCTACAACAATAGGTATTAATCACATTCTGTCAAACATTTTAAAACGCTTTAATCCAAATAGTATTTCTGTAACAGTGTGAAAACGAAACTCGTTCCAGCCAGTGTCTGATGTGCGCGCCCACACTTGAGTGTTACTTTGTGAAACCAACATTTGTCATTTTGCGGTTTTCACGAAGTAACACCGAAGTGGACTTGGGTGTTACTTTGTGGTGTCGGTGACGAAGTGTCTGAAATGTTAACAATAGCGATTATATTTCAGACGTTTGGTCACTTTTTCTAACATTTTATGGTAACCTGTAAAACCACTTACGTTTCAGACATTCTGTTAACCTCAAAATATCTGAAAAAATAAGCCTATCGAGAAACTGGACTATCAGTCACCTGGAAATGTCTGAAACTTAACATGGCCGGTTTCTTGATGTGCCTACATTTCAGGTATTTTTAGGTGAACAGAATATCTGAAACGCAAGTGGTTTTTACAAATTTAAATCAAATGTCTGAAACTTTGTTCACATTTCTGACATTGGTCCGGAACAAAAGCATTTCTGACATTTTTGGTTCCTATACAGGGTGAGTCAAAAAAAAAAAAGGAAACCCAAATGTCGGGACCATTGTTTTAGTGAAGTTCTGCATGTAGCACTTTTAAAATCTAGGATATGAAAGCCCAATTCATAAGCTTTCTTTTAGTTTAAGAATCATTCAAATCACTTTTGTACTTTTCAAGTTACGGAGTTTTAAACACAACCACCATTTTAAAGTTCTGTCCACGGATCACAAAAAAGGCGTGCGTTCTTTCATCAAAACGAAACAATTCACACACATCCTTATGTGATTTGTTTTCGTTTGCCGAAAGAACACTGAACTTTTTTGTGATCCGTGGACAGAACCTGAAAACGGTGGTTGTATTTACAATTCCGTAACTTGAGAGGTGTTTTGAATGATTCATGTACTAAAAGAAAGCTTATGAATTGGGCTTTCATATCCTAACATTTGGGTTTCGTTTTTTTTTTGAATCACCCTGTAGTGTTTGTTTAAAGATATCTCATGGGGCATTCAAGTCCAAGTGACTCAGATTATGGTAACGTGGTGACAACTTACCGACTGGTCCATCCTCAGTGGTAGGGAAATGGACTGAAGATAAAATGAGAAAGAGGACACTCAATTTGATGAGAAAACAATGAACTGGATGAATTCAGCATTTGACTAAGGGACAAATAATTAGTATTTTGGTCTCCCTATACTTCTATAAATGAGACAGTCACTTTTAAGTGGTATCCAATTTTTTTTTCAACAGGCCTTTTTTCTTTCTTAGCTTTGAGAAAATCCCTGACCAAAACGATATGGAAATAAATGAGTTGAAAATTTCAACTTAAGGAATTTGGGTCAAAATGAGTCAATTTTTATGTATATTTCATATTTTTGGTTTATTGAGCAAGCATAAGAAATACAAGAATTACGGCTAATTCTGTTAATTAAATCTGTTTGATAAACCACACAAGTATCGAAAGGATGCCTCGGCAAATTTGAGATGCCTGGCTCTCAACTGATTTTGGCTCAACACATAACTTTGCTGGACACTATTTTCTCCATAACATTAGCCCCAGCTCGAGCAAAACTATTAGTAATTATTGCTTACCCGTGGACGAAGCGGTTGCTGCATTCGTGGCTAGATCGGTCGCATTGGGCGCATTTGTGGCTAGATCGGTCGGTGAGTCGGTAGTGGGTGCGTCGATGGCAAGCAGCGTGAATGCTGTGAGATGATCTGTTAAGCATTCCAACACCGTGGAGTTGCTTGGATCCGTCACGGTCTCGACGCCGTCGGTTGACCAGGCCTGAGTAACAGTGTCCCAGTAGTAACACTCGTAGTTCTTGCCGGACTGGGGCAGCGTCACGCTCAGGGTGATTGAGATGCGCTCCGTCAGGTTGGCGATGGTCAGCTCCTCGCCTGAAATTACAAATAGAGAATAAAAAATACACAAACATTATACATAATCTCTCAATCCCATTGCTATACAGATATAGTGCACTTCCGTTTTGGAATGAGTAAGATCGAGCATCGATATCTTTATTTGATGTCTCAAATCCATACAAGGATATAAAACTCATTTAATTTGTATCCGAAAACGGTGATGATTTAACTTGGCTAATGTACAATTATCCAAAGCTAGTGTTGTAGTCGAGTCACCAACGTCGAGTCCGAGTCCGAGTCTCGAGTCACAAGCCTGGAGTCCGAGTCCGAGTTCGGAGTCACAAGCCTCGAGTCCGAGTTCGAGTCACTTGTTCCTAGTTGTTTACGTGACACTCTTTGGTACCGGATACTTTGTGGCATCGGGCCCAGGGCCCTGGTGCTCATTTTGAGGCACTAGGCGTGCATGCATGGCTCCTAGATATGATTTTCTGCGGCACCATGTTTTGTCTAGGAGTAAAAAAGAATGCTACGTCCGTTGCACAAATATGTAACATTAAGTTTTCTCTTTTGATGAAAATACGTGACTCGAGTTATGAGTCACCAAGCTCGAGTCCGAGTCATCATGGTCGAGTCCAAGTCCGAGTCATTTTCTAATGTGACTCCAGTCGGGTCCGAGTCACGAAAAATGTGACTCGAGTCCGACTCAAGTCCGAGTCCTGGACTCGAGTCTACTGTCCAAAGCAGAGCTAACATTGAACTTTGACCGATCACAGATTGATTTTGTACCGGAGGATGGATCCAGCAGTTTGATATCAGTGATGTCAGCAGCCACTCTGGTCTGGTCTGCGGCCGTGAGAGAGAATTCGTCCTGGCCAGTCTCCCAATGGTCAAAGCTGACGGTCACGCCAGAGCAGCTACCACTGCTGCAAGCCCAATCGGCACTGAATCTGCACAAAAATGGCAAAATAAAAACGGAGATAAATGCTTCATCCTCTTTTCAAAAATAGTCTTACTTTTGTGAATGGCTATAGGGTGTAGCTATTTAATGATTTGTGTATTGCTGATTGCGATACGACATTGCAGACTACATTGCACAAACACCCCCTGGTTGGCTAAGAGAGACTTAAGACCAATTGTACTCATTGCAAAAGCAAACACAAATTTGTGAAAACATGGTTTCGCACTGCAAATTCGCAGAAGTTGAGAACACTTTTTAACTAAAACAAATTTTGCAGCAAATGCTTTATGAGGTCAAATTTGCCCCAAACCATCCTGCCTGTTACTTGCTGTCCCACCCCAAACCACCCTGCCTGATACTCCATGTACCGCGCACCACCCTGCCTGTTACTCCCTGTACCCCCCAAAACCACCCTGCCTGTTACTCCCTGCACCGCCCCAAACCGCCCTGCCTTTTATTCCCTGTACTGCCCCAAACCACCCTGCCTGTTACTCCCTGCACCGCCCCAAACCGCCCTGCCTGTTATTTCCTGTACTGACCCAAACTGCCCTGCCATTCCCTGTACCGACCCAATTAAACCACCATGCCTGTTACTCCCTGTACCACCCCAAACCACCCTGCCTGTTACTCCCTGTACTACCCCAAACCACCCTGTCTGTTATTCCCTGTACTGCCCCAAACCACCCTGTCTGTTATTCCCTGTACTGCTCCAAAACCACCCTGCCTGTTTCTCCCTTCACCGCCCCAAACCGCCCTGCCTGCTACTCCCTAGCTGTACCACCCCAAACCACCCTGCCTTTTATTGGAATATGTACAATGCTGATTTTTCAGCACATTTGGAGTGCTGTGGGCCATTGTATCTATAATCGCTTGGATTAGCTATAACTCAAGTGATTTGGACTTTTTACCTTGAAGCTAGTGCACTCTTGAAGTCGATTGAGTTGCCGCCAGAAGACTTGGTTGTGAAGACACCGGATGGTATGGCTCGCTGCACTGAGGTGGACCTGGTGGAAGATGAGGTCTCCAAGGCGACAGCTCCCAGCTCCAGTTGGCTCAACTGGGCCTGGCTGAGGCTGTCAGTGAGGGTCCTATGTTGGGCACAATATGGAGAGGGATGAAGGATCGAGGGATTAAAAAATATCAATGTTTCACTGATACAGACAGTAAAAGCAAGCATTATTTCTTCAAAATAGGGGAGCCTCACCAGTGAAGTTGTGCAGTTCCTGATGACACTAGAATGTTCAAATCTTATTTTAAAATTGTTAAGTATGTTGCCCTGAGTTCTCCATGCGTAAACATTTTAACAGATTTTTCAAGACAGCTCTCTCTGAAATTGCCTTTCTTATGTTCAAAATTCAATAATAATGTACCTCTTCATTCAGAAACTGTACAAGATTTTTTTGTTTTATTGAAAGGGGGCTTTTGTAAAAATTTTGAAAAACAGCTCGCCTGGAAAACAGGTTGTGCGAAAAAAAGGAGACCCAGATGTAAATGTAAGTTATAAACAAATCTAATAAATCTTTTCAAACAAGTTGATATATCATGTGAAACACCAAAGTATCCTCTTTCCAATGATACCTTGATTGTTTGTCTGTGGCCACAGATGACTGAGAATTCGCTGTTATTCTGTCAAGAGTTAAAACCTGTACTGGGCCAAGTTTTACCCGGCTAAGATTGCTGGTTGGTTTGGTGAGCAAAGGTTGAAATTGGCTAAACTTCGTGCAGAGCTTTACATGGAAAGGTATCATTGGAAAGAGGACACATTGGTGTTTCATATGATCTATATTGTATTTGAAAATATTCATTAGATTTTTTATTATTTACATTTACATCAGGGTTTCCTTGTTTGTGTGATGTGTCGCCCTGCATATTGCTATCATGACAAGGTGGTATGCTACGGAAAATGGATTGACGATGCCAAACTTACGTAATAGTCGCAATGATGCTGGCATAGTGGGTCGCGTTCAGACTGCGTCTGATTTCAGTGGCTTTGTCCAGGACAATGCTGGCACTGTCATCAGGAACCGACTCACCGGCCGACTCGAAGACTGCGACAAGGTCCACCAGAACGCCAACAAAAATACCTGTGAAATTATGACAAAAAATAAAATTGATCAAAATATTAATGCATTGATGTTTGAATATACTGCTCTCTAACATGAATGAAAAATTTAACAGATTTCTTAATGACACTGAAAATGTATTCTAAACTATGAACTATTAAACTAGTCATGTAATCGGTCTATTTGTTCACTTAAATTGAGTTTATTCCAAAAAACCACGATACATCCATTTAAAAAAAAATTCCGAAAGTGAACAAATTTGTACAGTTATTGACACTTTAAAGAATAAAAATGATATAACAGCTGTTCATCAACTTAATTTTCTGCCGATGTGAAACCTTCAGTCAACTTGCTCAAAATATAAAGAGATTATTTTCCAAACGTGTCTATACGCCACTTTGTTCCCTTTTAGAATCCTGCTCCCTCCTGCATTCCCTGAGTCACTTTTGATGGCTGTAATATACTTAAAAACAATTAGAATACTGTAACCCGAAAAATTTAGTTGAAAAACAGCTGTTAAACATGCTGTTTTGATTCTTTCAAGTTTCATAACCATTCAAAAGTCCCCCTTTTTTCAAATATCGCATTGTGGAAAATAACTTGTCATTATACCATTTCATATAAGATTAGCATAATTTTATTTTTTTGGGCAATGTATAAGGTAAACCTTTTCATTACTAACTTTTCACCATATCCATGAAAAATGTCCACAAAACACGTACTTTTATCAGCAGCCGCTAAGTCAGCCGTGTTGATGTAGTTGCACTGGTCAATCAGCAACTGTGCTGAGGTGGTGTCAAGCACGCTGGTCTCTATGCTGCTTTGTACCAACGACAGTTTCTCCGCAGCCTCGGGTGTGGTTGTGTCGACGGTAGTTACGGAACGTCTGCGACGTCTGGAGGAGGTGCTATTGGCACACTGTAGACATGGACAGAATAAAAAAGGAAGACTAATAAAATGGGTGCATCGAAGGTGCTAGTCTTTTTTAACCAGCTCGTGTCGAAGGACGTGATAACACGCACTGGCTGTTTTATGTCAAGATTGCCTCGACTCGCCTCCGGGTGACGTTTAAACATGCTAATCCCTCGTACCTTTGTACATACACACAAAGTCTGTGAAGTCTGTGGAGACGGCCTATTTTTGTACAATTTATGCTCCAGTGCACACCTCAGAGCATGGAAACATATGGGGTTTTGGCAAGAAATATTGTACAAATACTGTTGCAATCACTCTTGCGAATCAGTATTTGTGGCGTGTGGCGGTATATCAGAAGTTGGCTGGAAAATTTTTCTTTGCGAAAAATCAAAATTTTTGGCAAAAATATCCCGGCACAAAGTGGTTAAGCAGATGCAGACTCTTTTTTTATTTTGCGCTTTGAAAAAATGGCCATGATAACAACTGGGTGTTTCTTATTGGGTTCTGCCCACTGTGTACGGTTGTTTGAGGCTTACAAGAAAAAATTCACCAGCTTACGCGGGTGGGACTCGAACCCATGACCTCCTGCTATAACTAGTGCAGACATTACAATTCGACCACCAAGCTTAATTGCCAAGGTCGGCTGGCTGGTTTGTGTCCGATGAAACAGCAGGGTACCCCAACCAAACATAAGATTCCATCTCAAGTTCCATCTTATAATATAATGTACACTTCCCTTCCTGCAGCAATCTTTTTCCAAAAATACATTTCGTAAGCTAAGATCTGTGAAAATTATACTAAACATAACCACAACAGATACACCTACCTTATCTTGGACCTCATTGTAGTTGACAAAAGCATTGATGTAGTTTTCTGTTTAAAAGGAAGTAAAACACAACCGAGAGTCAGAAATATGATGCATGAAATGGTCCCATTACTTTGCTTCTCGATTATGAGTCCTTTAAAAAGGAGTCCGAGCATTTTGATACTAAAAGTAGAAGTAACTCTAAAAAAGTACTCGAGTTATACTCTAATACAAGTACCGAGTACGAGTTCTACAACATGCTGTCAGGATCATTATTAGCTAACTCACGTTTGAACTTTTGCACTGTGACCAGATCTTCCAACAGCTGTTCGAAGAAAGCGACCGAGCACTCCTGGATGATGGATACATTGACGGTGTGGTAGAAGGTACTACAGCTTTTATAGGAATCGCAGACCTGTGGAGAAAATGGAGGAAGGAGTTCATGTCCGGCTTGAGCTTTTTCTGACACTAGGTTAATCCAAAAGCCTTTAATGCTCAATCCCAAATGGCCGTACTCTATAACTTGGCCTCATATATTAGAGGATTTCCAGTTGAATAATGCCGTCACCATTTGAATAATGTCATCACCATGTTCACGAACTAACACGGGCTATAGGGTGTTACTTCGTGAAAACCGCGTAATTAACAATTTCGGTTCCCCAAACTAACACCCGAGTGTGCACGCACATCGGACACTGATGGAAAACAATGATTTTGGTTTTCACGAACTAAGAACGCTCAAGCACATTGCTGAGAAATACAATTCGGAGAAAAAGCTTTGAGAGAAAACAAAAATATATGGAGTGCACGCACGCAGTGCCGCACTGTGCCAGCCAGGTGCGTGAAAATGACAATAACGCAGTTTTGTAAAAACGCAGTTCGTGGTGTCGCTGACGATGTGTATCCATAAAGCGCACGTATCCACCAGTATTGGTGCTCAAGGCACTACATTATTATTACCCTGCTTATTGGGGAGTATACAGCTTGATGAGCCATTTCGGCGCAATTGGTAGCTAAAATCATTCACAATAAACATCTCCATGCTCAGTAGCCATTTACGCCTGGGTGGGGTGAAGCAATTAGTGACAAAGTGCCTTGCCCAAGGGCACACGCACCATAACCCCAGGCTGGACTCGAACCCACAACCTGCAGAATTTTCCGAATTCAATGCTCCAGACCATGAGGCCACGGCACTCCACCAAAAACCAGTTGAACTGGAAATTGGTGACTGGTTTTGACCCGGTCTAAGTGGTTCTGAACCAGTTTAACTGCTTCAGAGCCAGTTAGCCTATACCAGTTCAAAACAGTTTAACCAGTTCAAAACCAGCCACCAATTTCCAGTTCAACTGGTACCAGTTGAAACCAGTGAACTTGTTGACCCAGGTAAAACAGAACATAGACCTATATTGACTGAAGTCAGGGGCCTAATATAAAGTCTCCCTAAGCCAAGGCTGGTGATCCAATTAAAGATGGAGCCAAAGTTGTGAAAAACCCCTCCCAAAGTGTGTTTCCGGAACAGTTTGTGGCCACCAGCAATCTTGGATAAGGAGTTGGTAGAGGCAGATTAAGAGCAGGCTTAATTGTGTACATGCAATTTGACAAGTCTTCATAGCAGCTATTTTTGAGGTTTATTCCCAAGAACCCTCATCACCCAGAAACAAATCTACATTGTTGGGTCTAAACCCTCTTTTAAAAACAAAACTTAGATCTGCCCAATGAGTGCATGGGTACGAGTGAACATAGACCTACCTCTGCAACAAAGGTGTTAGTGTTGGAGCCGTCGACTGTGGCCGCTTTGCCGACCCCTCCGATGGCCGGGTCATTGGTCTGTGAGGTGACGGTCTGTTTTCTGTTGCCATTCAGCAGGAAGATGCGGTAACTCAACGGGTAGGCTGACTCGTCCGCCACACATTTCTCAATTGTGTACACCACCTGTACAAGGAATAGATATGGCCGGTTAATAGTATGTGAAAGACCGAACATTAAATGAATTTGTGATGCCACGTCCAGTATATGTGGATAAATCATCCAGTATATGTGGATAAATCATCCATGAAACATACAGCACCATTATTACTATTATTAATCATTTCTGGTAATGAAACCAAGGATTCTTCAAAAGCGCTCCAGGTACTGTGGCTCACAAGCCTGAAGAAACCTGCAGAGAGAAGACGATGAGAAGAAGTTCCAGTTTTAGAGGTGGGAGGAAAACCCCAGAAGAATATTCTAGGGAAAACCCACGGAATCAGGTAGGGGCTGTAAATCCAATCCACATATTGGCCCAGGCGGGATTCGAATCCGGGTCACAGAGGAGGAAGACACAAGGAAAGCACTGCTATGCCAACCTGACTCCACCGTTCCTTAAGAGAATGTAATTGTCTCCTTACCTCCTCCAACTCAGTGTATGAGCTCACACTGTTCAGGCTGAATACGCATGAAGTCACGCCAGCAACGACGGTAAACTGGACCTTGGCTATGCCGTACTGTCCATCGTCGGTGGTTGCCGTCAGCTGAATCTGGTATGTGGAGCCAGCTGTCAGTTTACCTGTGCATGAAAATAAACGGTAAATGGTGGTGCAATAACAAATATGCAATAAAGACTATGTCTATTGGACTTTCAGTTCCTACTACTTTAAGGCTCCCCTCCTCAACAATTTCTCCAATTTTACAGCCTTTTTCTAGAAAGCAAACCTTTTCAAAAACAGTTTGTTTGTCTGTCTATCAGGGGTGCTCGTTCAACTGTCCTTGTATTATTTCATCTGTCATTCTTTATAAGTTGTTTGAAACTTTGAGAGTGAACATATATGTATTGATAAAGGCAAGCCCCTTCAGACTAATTCAGCAAACCAAAATAGAAGCCATTTTGAAGGTGGAACCACATTTTCACGCATTTTTAAAGACATGGCGCGCACGGGGAATTTGTTAAATAGTGGTCTAAAGACCCCAAGGTGTGTGTATACTACCTGATTCTAGGAACATCTGATCCCTTAAATTTTCATTAAAAGTCCATTTCTCCGTGAAAAGAATGTTTAACAGATGTTTCACGGACATTTACATGGGGCTTATATAGGACTAATCCTGTAAGGGTATTTTCACGTTTTTTTAATGACCAGGCCACTGAGGATTATCATTGGTTATACATAACGGTACACTGGGTCTATCTCAATGGGTATAACAAAGGACTTTCTTAAGGGTGTTTTCATGGACTCCTAATCCCCCTTAATATGTTGAAAAATCCGTGAAAATTTAGTTAACTGTAATTTCAAGGGAAAATGGCTCTTTAACAAATTTTTAAGGGATGAAGATGTTCATGAGCGTGAGCATGGTTCTACTTCAAAAATTGCTTCTGGTTTTATGTTGCTGAATTAGAAGATTTTACTTCTCGTGATTAACTCTCTTCTGATGGAAATATATACTGAAGATAAATGCCATAAGTGCGTACATTGGAGAAGTATTCTAATCTTGATTATCAATGCTGATGATACTTTTCCAGCCAGGGTTCTTACCAGCTTTGATGGTCAGGAAAGAGATCGATCCGTTGGAGTTGCTGAAAGGAAACAGAGAGGCTGCGCTGTCCAAGTTGTTCGAATCACTCAGGTCTAGGAAGGCATAACCTGTGAACAACAAAAAGACAATTGTTGCAGGATAATAAAATCTTTCTAAACAACTTCAGGTTGGGAGAAAGGCAAAGGCATAGTTGATATAACACAAAGTGAGCTGACAAAAAGTGTTTCAAAATTAAAGTTTTAAGTTAGATGCACAACTGAAAAGAAAAAGTTCTAATTAATTCTGCAACGATGGAGAAAAATTAAGCTTGAAAAATGAGCGAAATATATCACATCCACAAAAGAAGATACGTTAACATTTCAGGTTTTTTTTAGCTTTCTGCAACAGAACTTAATATAAGTGCATACAAGTTGCACATCTCGGCCCTTCAAAAAGTAGATTTCATATCTCCTAACATGGGCGTCGCCAGGATTTTTTCCGGGGGGGGGGGCAAAACAAATTATTCACCAAAATTTGTCAACTTTTTCAACATATTCTCAATTTATCATTTTCCGAGCGTGGGCAGGGGAACATTTGCTCTCCCCCCCATCAAATTAACAGAAAAATGGCTTTGCATCTCTTTTTCCTTTTTTCCCTTCGTTTTCCGGGGGGGGGGGGGGGGGGGGGCAAGCACACTCCCCCCCCCTTGCCCCCTTCGCGACGCCCGTGTCTCCTAACCACTTTTCAATTTGTAAGTTTTATTTTAACGAAGAACTATTTATTCTGATTTTGGGTGTCTGCAATTACCCTCTGAAAAAGAACTTCATTTTTTGCACAAATAAACCCACCAATTATTGCGAGAATTTCCTGGCAGCTTATAATTTGAATATTGTGAAGAGCTAATTCAATAACTAAATGTTGGTGGATTTTTCATTCGATGTCTCATTGAAAAGATTGCTAGGAAAATAGAAAAAAAAAAATTACTGTGAAAAAAGTTTAATCATTGACAATTTTGTCTTACCTTCATCAGTGCCCACCATCTCCCACACATAGCAGGTAAGGGGCAGGTCATGGTTGATGTTTGCTCTCAGTGAGAGTGAATTCTCGGAGAGAACTCGCTCTTCAAATGTCGTGGTAATGTCCACCTGAAGAGAATTAAATTAAAGGATAAAAAGTGGGTACACTTTAATCAAATTCCAGTTAAAAATTCAATAAATGCTTATTCAGTGATATTGTACACAAGTTTATGATAAAGGAGAACTCGGGAACAGTTATAGCTATGAGCATAGTGGGTAGAGATGTTTTTGTTGCAGATGTGCGATAACCCACCGCCGTGATAACCCACTGCTGTGAGAGGGTGTTATCACGATAAATCGCCATCACCCTCGAACTGCTATTACAATGACATCTTGGGAATCTTGTAAAATCTCCCTCCGAAAAATGGGGGAAATTAGTGCGCTTGCGCTACTGCTCCAGGCAATTACGGTTCATTTTCAGTCCCACGTGTACTAAATATATGACAAAAAAGATGCCATGAAGTTGCACAAAAGTCTTGCTGCATCCAATATGCTACTGAAACAAATTGAAGAGTTTGGTTCGGAATAGATATGAAAACTTTGGAATGCACTGCATAATGTCGGGCAAAACAGGTGCGTGAGCATTACACAACCACTACAAGATTTCTGAGAGGTTGTTGCTGGTGGTTCGTGGGTGATTGCGTTTCGTCGTGATAACACCCTCTTGCAGCGGAAGGTTATCGTGTATCTACAGCAGCAACAGCGTCTTGCTCCAAGACCACTATACAGCATTAAAAAATGTTTCACTTAAATTTAAAAAATAAAGTTGATTTTCTCTTTGGAATTTATTTTGCAGTCAATAATTATACCACTCATCTAAAATGTGAAGAAATGTTCCACAGGGACTTGTAGGAGTAAATCAAAGAGAAACATCTAACAAAATTTATTAAAGAGAAATGTGAACTTTCGTCAGTTATTTATACAAACAGAATTTTCTGTGGAGGAATCAACTGATAACTCAAGTAGAATCATTGGAAAAAAGTATGAAAAACAGCTGCATTCCATCTCCGATAACTTTGTAATTTGTTGTATAAATACTTAAATGAGTGTACAGGGGGTCTACTCATAAGTCTGACGCCTCATAGGTCGGACGCCTCATAAGTCCGACAAAATCGCATCCCCTAACCAAATAAAGGCCCATAAGTCCGACGCCTCATAGGTCAGGCGCCTTATAAGTCCGTCGCCTCATAGGTCCAACGCCTCATAGCTCCGACGCCTCGTAAGTCTGACAAATTAAACACCTCATTTTTCCGATGTCAGACTTATGAGGCGTCGGACTTATGTGGCGTTGGACTTATGAGGTGGAATAAATAAATTTTATGCCTCATAAGTCCGACGCCTCATAAGTCAGAAATTTTGGACTTTTGAGGCGACGGACCTATGGGGCCTCGGACTTATGATATGGCCCCGTGTACAGTACCTTTGGAGGATTCCCGTTCAGTGCAGTCACACGGACGGACGTAGTAGCCGACCGCGTCAGCTTGGACACCTCCAAGGTGAACTCGTAGGTCTTATCTGCCTCCATGGAGCTAGCCGGGATAGACAGCACGCTCATGGCTGCGGCTGAGGCCGATGGGAACTGGGTGCCGGCCTCGCCTTCCTTGAAGGACCAGCAGGCTGTGCTGTCTGTTACCTGTGGTTAAGATGAATCCGTGAAAATGGAGTTTAGCGGGAGGAATAAAAGCACTAAACTAAACAGAACAAAAAACATTGTCAAAAAACATGTGTCTAGTCCCTACCGTGAGTGATCGGGATCTGATACACCGTGCCCTCTGGAGACATGCACACAATAGGGAACAAAAGATTGTGTACATCTCCACAGGGCAATTTCTATAGAGGAATACGTCTCCACAAGGTTTTCACGAAATAGAGATACGGATATTACTCAAAAACTAGGAATTGTCAAGATATGTTGATCCGTCGCAAATGGTACAGTTTTAGAAAAGGGATATTAAGTCCGAGTTTCAGCCAAGGAAATTAAAATAAGAGCATTTTGAAACTGTACTTTCAAACTCGAAAACTTTAGGACATGAAAACAAAGCAATGTCTCCACAAGGATACAAATTTGAGTATTAGCCCTAACAGTCCTGAATCCTCCAATTTTAATATGATTTTGCACACCCCTAGGGAGTTAGGGTTTTAAGGACAACACTGAGTATACGGTGTTTATAAAAACATGTCGGTGAATGGCATAACCCGATAGTGAATTAACATCACCCCGACAGAAATTCCATCTCATGAGTAGTTTGGTTGCGGTACCCGCTGCTATATCAGATTCGAACCAGCCAGCCGACCCTGACAAGCTTATGGTTGAGTGGTAAGATGTCTACACTAGCAAGCAGGTGGTCGTGGGTATGAATCCCAACCGAGTGATTTTTTTCTCACTCGTGGTTATGGACAACACTGAGTATGCAGTGTTTTTAAAAATATGTCGGGGAAGGTCAAAACCCAATGGTAAATGTGGCTTGATGTCATTTCATTCTGGTTCTGAATAATACGCGAGTCTTGTTTTTGTGTTTCTGTTTGTCACTGTCAAAGATTTTGTTAATCCATATTTGAAGGGTTTATCGCCAAAATGCGATATTTGAAATTGAAAAAAGTGCAAAAATTGCAACAACGTGAAAAAATTTCACTTTTATGAAACTTTGAAGAATAAACACAATAAATATATTCTAAACCTTAGTCATTGATTTATTGTATTCCTAAATTGTGTTTAACTATGTAACAGCCATCGAAAACTGACTCTGGGAGACCAGGCGAGGATGGGATTCTAAAAGGTAACACAATGGCGTTTATCAAGTTTTGGAAATAATTTGCCTTCATTTCTTTTCGTCAATCCATCTGTAAAATATTGACTGCATGTGTGCCTATAATTTGTCCTATTTTACTTGGTTCAATCTGACATAAACTATTTGTTCTTCATAAAACATTACATAAAATTATTACATCACGACATTTTGATCTGAGCAGAATCTTTCTCAACGGCTTAAGATATAAAAAGTAAAAACAAATACCAGCAAAATACAGATAAAAACCTAATTCTGAGCTTAATTTTTACCTGAGAGCACAGCCACTCATACTCCATGTCGACTGCCACCTGATCCAGATCGAAGGAGCCTGAACCATCCAGAGCCAAGAAGCCGCTATCACGGCCCACCGTCAGCTCACTGCCACCGTAGATGATGGGGATGAGGTCTGAGTAGCGGGTCCGGACTGAGAAGGACTGGGTCACGTTACTGTCGGAGTCATTGGACTTGTAGATGGTGACAGTGAATGTCACCGTGGTGTCTCCTAGAATAACGCAACAAAGATTGAACATTTAAACAAAAGTAGCAGTTGCTACGAAGAATCGTTAATTAACAACTTAATTTAAACATCCAAAATTGATTTCAAGTTTTAAGTTAAATATCACTCCACCATCAGAAGGATATTATCAAAGGTAGGGTAGATCATTCGTCATTTGTGTATTCTTTTCGTTTGAAGCAACAAAAGTGCTCAAAATCGAAAGACAGGTGCTTAACAACTAAACCTCGTGAGGTTTTAGCTAAGCGAATGCTGTATACTCCGAGAAAACCAGTCAACTGCAGCTACGTGATGTCAAGCACTGAACCAACAAATAAACACAACCGCGAGCACACGTGCAACGTGTCAAGCTTGTGCGCACCCATTCACAGATTCTCCGAATTACAAACCAACTAGGCCTACTACTGGAAATTTCCAAAAATGCGTCACTGATTGACACATCTTTGAAAATGACCTTCTTTTATTGTTTTCTTCAAAATGACAGCATGCCAGAAGGAATAATTTCACAGGGAGTTTAGTGCCACTTCTATCTTTAAACCCATTACGCTTTTCAACAATAAGTTTGTTAGTTACTTTTTGGATAGCTGCAAATTACTCTACCTTTAACAGCACAGTGTGGTCAAGTCAAGATAAATTCAACTAATTCATCCTCAAGTCTTTGACAAAGGCAATGGGTCTACTAGGTACTGGCAACAGTGGTAGAACATTTCTGAAATTAGGGGGGGGGCATCAATATAGGTTTCTGTATGGGGTGCAAATACTTCCCACACCTCCCCCACTTCCACTGCCTCTAGTGCCAATCTTTTTCAGAAATAAATGTCTACCTGGCAGTGTGTTAGGGTCTACATGCAGCGTGCGTCTGTTAATGGTCTTCAGGTTCAATGGGACATCTGCATCATCCACTTCCCAGGAAAACACAGTCTCACCGGGAGGGACACAATCTGAATAAAAGGTCACCTCGGCAGTCAAGTCAAAGCTGCAACGATCAAAGTGAAAAAATAACATGATAATAATAACAAGATAGCAATGGTTTGATCTACCCTGAACATTTGCCGCCAAATGCCTGGTTTAAAAAGTTCAACAATAGCCATTTACTTTTGGGTGGTTGTTTGAGTTGGCAACCGACTGTCATGACATCATAGGCGACATTGCCAGAGTTGTAATGACTTGAGTCAATGACTCGACTCAAGTCCGACTCGAGTCACAATTTTTGGTGACTCGACTCGACTTGAGTCCCTAAGGGTAAATGACTAGACTCGACTAGTCCCTCATCAGAAGACTTAACTCGAGCAAAGGCTATTAAGACTTGAGTCCCAAAAACAACAGCAAAACTTTGCGAAAAGTATTTGCAATGACTTGCGGTGCAAAATTTATGTTCACGTCACTTTGCGAATAGTAGCCCCTTGTCACGTACAAACATACAACTTGTCACAGACTCCCACCTCATGGTTCTAGAACGCACAAAATACTATCCAGGAACCGGATTTTAAACACATTTTCCAATTTCCTTTACATCATTTTCATCAACTTATGGCCTCCTTCTATAAATTTTGATATATAGTGTTCACATATTTTTACTGGAATTGACTCAAGCTAAATATTTGACTTGACCTTATGACCTAATGACTTGGCTCGACTCGAGTCACTTCTTTAAAATGACTCCACTCGACTCGACTCGAGTCACTTCCTTAAAATGACTCGACTCGACTCGAGTCACAAAAATCAGTGACTCGTTGCTACTCTGGACATTGTCTACACACACTAGAACCACACAAACGCCAATGATTTGCTGATAATTTACCTGTCAGAGAGGTACACATTATCAGGATCCACCCCCTTGACAGTGATTGCGACCTCTGGCACGGCCAAGGCAGAGCGGCTCACGTTCAGGGAGGCCGTGTGCGATTCGCCGAGGAAGTTCTGCGCCGTCAGGCTGTATGTGTAGATTGTCTCAGCCTCCATGAGACTGCCAGCGGCAATCAGCTGCACTCTATTTTCACCTTAAATAAACATAAAGATTTACAATTTATGAATACTACTTAGTCTTAATTGAGACCGTCCATCACACAATTAAAGTTTGAATAAAAAACATTTTCGTTTGAGTATCATCTTTCCAATACAAGGCATAAATCGAGTCCCAGTTCATTCTATTTTTCCAATTCAATTTATAGACACAAAATAGTAAATTTCTTCCTCCGTGGTTTGCTTGAGATAGTTTGCAACAAATATTCATTTTGCCAAAGTTATGTTTTACATTTTTGCTGTTATTTTGTGTATTGTTGTCTACAAGACAAAAAGCGGTTGTTTCATGACATAACTTGTGCCTCACTCACTTGTAGCAACAGTTACACCAGTGTGAATGCCGGATCCATGGTCAAAACGTCATCACAGAATTCTGGGTCCTTGCTCTGCTGTGCATTATGATGTGTGTCGCTATTGGTAACCACTGATGGAACCATGCCCATGCTTTGGGTCAAAATAGTCCACTAGAGTCAAGAACAGATCCAGAACACAATTTTTTTTTTATTGGGGGGGGGGGGGCCAAAAACAAATTTGGTCCCCCAAAAAGTGGATCCAAAAACTAACGGCGAGGAGGTCGGGTCCCGTTGGATTCTAGATGCTCTGTGGTATGATCGAGGCAATTTCTTACCACTTTAACCAATTTTTTTTTAGGAAAAGATGGTGGTGTATGCAGTGCCTGACTTTATTGCGAAGTCACTTTAAAAAATAAAAATTGGGTTCGTTTGGGGGGAAGGGGCATGACACCCCCCCCCCTGGATCTGCCCTTGACTAGAGTAGTTGAACTATCCTGTGTTCGAGTGAAATTAGTTGAACTGTGGTCAACCACAGTCCTTGCCTGAACTTGCTCTCTGCTGCAAAACCATGACAATTACCTGACAACACTGCTTCCAGGGCAGTCGTGTCTCCTTCACTGCTGACCTCCCAGGTGTATATCATGTCCCGTCCAGCCCCGCCCTTTGTCTGCCGTCCACTCATTGCGACCGTGCCGCAGCTGGTGATGCGCTCTTTGCCGTACAGCACAACTGTGGGGACTACGGGGTTGGCAGGCCCCGCAACAGATTGGCTGCCCGTCACATAGCGGGAGTAAGATTCACGGAAAGCCTTGACTGAGTCTGCTTTGATCACCAGTTCGTCACCTGTTTGATGTCACAGAGGTAAAGACTGGTTACAAAGGAGAGTGGGTAGTACTACTGCTAACATTATAATCAGCTATTGATAAAAACAGGATGAAGTTATGGTTTTACTTAAGGCTTACAGGGACCATAGTAACATGTTCCTAAAGTGCCAAGTGACAAAATTTGGAATTCAATCTGCATGTGAAAGAGAAAAATTGATTGCCATTTTATTTTGTTTGAGCAGTTTTCGTTTACTCCAAAGCTAATACTGGTACCCATCTAAGTTGTGGGTTTTATAGAAACAAGTTGGGGTAAAGTGGCTTGCCCAAAGACACGGCATAGGCCAGCAGCAGGATTGAGCCCCTGGCCCTCAGATTGTGATTGAACAATGGTCAAATCAAAACAGAGACTAACTCACCAACAGCCAGGAGGTTGTCACCAAAGCCTAAGATGATAAATAGTGTTCTGGAGCCCACCCATCTACAAGTGGCATAGCTGCCAAGCTTACTGGTGTCCTCAAACACATCGTCGCAGCCGCTGAACTCATCAAAGTTGACTCCAGAGCTAAACCTGGTCAACACCGCAGCACCTGTTCATGGAGACAAAAGCGGGCAATTAAGTACAAACTGAAAAAAGCAAGTTTGGCCCTTTTTTTCCTGCCTTTGAAAAAGATCTTGCCAGGCCTGAAATGACAGGCATTCTAACTTTCTTGGTTTGTATGTATCTTTCATATCAGTCCAGTCTGAGAGCAGTATGCAGCAGGTTGATATTTCTCTAATCAAACCTGGGATTGTTTATCTTCATTTTTTTTCCATGCAACCTAAAAATTTGTCAAGTCAAGTGTCGATCTCGAGTGTGAAACACAAAAACTAATGACAGGAATTCTGATCAGAGTTCTAATTTCCATTAGATGGAACAAATTTTTGCAAGAGCTTCTGCTACTCTCTGTGGGTAAGTATATTTAATTGAAGTAGCTGAACCCATTCCTTTACCTGATTTGTCACATACTTCTACATACATGCATTTAAAGTTCATTCTCCAACAAATCTAATACTGCAATCTTCTCTTTAAAAAGGAAACACAGCAAAGGATGCCTTCGATTAGCTCACCCAGGTCAACTTGAGTTAGCCCCGTGCCGTTTAATTATCTCTGAAGTCATTCTTGGGGCTCACCTGGGTTAGACACCACAGACCTTGCTCTACGAGCAGAGTCACTGGTGGAAATACATCACAAGCATGGGTCGGTCATTCCAAGAAACAGACAAATGCGGAGGCCGGATAGCGGAAAAGCTCAGGTGGACCCAAATATCAACTTTATTTGAAGTCTAAACATCATTTATCATTGAGCTCATTGCGACTTTAGAGGCTGTAATTCCAGGCAGACATTGTTACTTTTTGCAATTGACGGGAAAGCAGTAGGCCTAAATCTCAAAGTATCACTTGCAGTCTGAAAGTGCATTTTGTCAATTGCTACAACTGCGACAACGGACATCATGTGAGGATCGTGATGGCCCGTGTTTGAGCGTTCGATTAGCCCGCCTCACTTGGCTAACCCATCTGCCTTTACCCGACTCGATCCGGGTGAGCTAATCGAACACACCCTGCAACACACCTTTTTAAATTCTCTTTTTGATTCAAACAATCTTTTGTTATTTATGATTCAAGAATGGATTTATTCTGACATTCATCTGAAATTGAAAAGGTTTAAATTACTGCATGCTGATCTTATAATACCTAAAGAAACTTTAAACACAATCAGACCACCTACCTGTTGAAGCAAAGTAAGCTTCAGTGAACTCGGGTGCAGGGGTGTAGGCTGTCAACTCAAAGCCAGCACCGTCCGACGAAGTTAACTTCTCGACGCCGTTCAGCGAAGGCCAGGAAGTGACGCGCATAGACCTGCTTGGCATGGGGAAACTGAAGTACATGATGCTGTCCGAACTGTCATCAAATGAGCCAGGAACAACCGCGCTGATATCTGTAGGAGGGTGTAAGCAAGAAACAATTGTGAGGAGTTGTGTCAAAATGAGACAGAACTGGGCACAAGCCATACTGGAGAAAAATGCACAAAAACAAAATTAATGGGGTGATTTTTTTTTTGGATTTTCAGATTTATTGGTAATTGTAATCTCTTATATGTCTGCTACACATCTTTTAAAGAAATAGCATAAAAACTGTGGAATAACAGTGTTTTTAAGGGAAAAGAATTGGCATCTTTCTTTTTCACAAATTCAAAACGCGAAACTTTAAAGGCCATTTTCTCCATATTTTACTTATTGTCATGGACATGTCGACAAACGTGAACCTTAAACAGCCATAACTTGTCAACGGAATTTCCAAGTGAAGTGTAACAAACAGTATTGTAAGGAGAATTTGAATCTCTTTCCTAACACATGCAAACCCTCATTTTGACCTCTGCCCAGTTCTGTCTCATTTTGCCAGAACACCTCACAATTATCAAAATCATATGGATACAATAATTGTTTTTCTCTACATGAGCTTTTTCATGAAAAAATAATTTACCACTCCTAAAAAGGAGTAATATATTGGACATACACATAAATAATTTATGAGGCACGACGGCAATTACTGACCTCCTTCAACAATGAGGGACGGCACAATTCCGGCAGCTTTCACCGATGTAAAAGAACCCTCTGCAGCCGCCGTAACAGTGACTGCAATGGTTTCAACGGAGCTGTTGATAGTCACCTCAGATGGTGAAATCGTCAAGATTTCGATAGCTGCAGACAAAGATATGGACAGTAAATTAAAAAAAAGTTCAACATGTTTCAAACATTGACCTGCAATTTTAAAATGTGTCACAAATTTAAAAAAAAGTCATATGAGCCAGTAAATACAATGCATGATATGTTTTGATGCTTAAAACTCCTATTTTGATCTTTTGTTGCTATCTTGCATTTTCGTAACACTGGGAAAAGTAATTTTCATTAGAAACATTGGCTATAACTAACTATATAATTAATTATCTGCAAAAAAAACCCGCTCACAAGCAGGTTAAGCAAACCTCAAGGTGATGGCAATTTATTTCTGTCTGAACTCTGTTTGCACTTTAGGAATTGGGAATGGCCTCCCAGAAAGTCAGGCAACTTAGGATAGAGGCCTACCATTGTAACTTCGAAACAAAACCTCACATGTTTTGCAGTATAAAGTGGTTCTGAAGATCATTTCAATGATAACAAATATGAACTTACCAGCTTGGACAGTCAAGTCTCCATAAACGCCCTCCGAGGTCAACCCATCACGTTCAACTTTGACCTTGTAGTCACCTTTCGGACATGAAAATACAATGTATGCATGATCTCAATTGTACATATCTCTGCATCTCTTGAAATTTACAATGTACTTTTTATCAAGACCTCTAACTACAAACATGAATTTTGGTATAGTTGATTAGTTTCAGTTTTATACAAGAATGGTTGTGATATTCTAATTTTGAGGAATATCTCAACTATTCAATTCAAACTTCAATTCAAAATACTTTTTTTATCCTTAAAAAGGCAATTGCATTTGGTTGGACAGCTCATTAAAAACACTTTACAAGTGGAGAAAATATATAAAACTTAAAACAATCACAAACAACATGTACTTATCTGGATTAAAAATGGTGTAAAATCTTTTCTTATTTAAAAACATAATACCTTATACTATATATAAAAATAATTAGACGACGAATGTACACATGACATAAAATGTAAAATGGCAAGTTATAAAAAAAAAACACTATGAAAATTATGATGCAACAGACACTTCCGGAACCACGCGTTCCGGAAATAGGCTCTATAAACCTTTAAGTAGATTAAAATTTGTTTCCTTTTTGTTCAGTTATGTGGGGAGGGTTTGGCCAGAAAGTTGTTGAGTCTGTTGTAAGTTGTCTAGCAAGGGGGCAGACGAAAGACTGAGTTCAACAAGTGAGCATCAAGAAAAGTTGTTGTCACTGAAGCTTAATAAATCAGTGTGTTTCATTGCACAACATCTCAAAAGAAAATTGCCCTCATGCAAAAGCAGTTTTGTCCAACCCAATACACACAACTATCTTCTAGTTCCTGTTATAGGGTTTAAATACATGTGTACAGGAATATTTGTAACTTTTTGAAAGCTTGTTAGTCAATGTGTAATACATTGTATAGGCCATATACCTGCAGACAATCCTGGTACATTGCATGTCATTTTGACGTAACTCTCATACTCAGTATCACTCCGGGTTACGGTGCCATCGGTAGCTTCAAAGATGCAGACCAGCGAAGAGCCTTCCTCAAATCCAGCTCCGTACACCTCAAGCTGAAAGGATATGCAGAGAAACAAATTTAGGCTGAAGATGGAATAACATTTTCAACCCCTCCCCCAACTTTTTGATTTTGCGGCTGGGCAAAACATTTCCTGGCTAGCTTCCAGCTGAAAGGATATGCAGAGAAACAAATTTAGGCTGAAAATGGAATAACATTTTCAGTTTTAAGACAGACTGTCTTGGTAGTTGGCTGTGATTTGCAGATCACGTCTTATTTCATGACATTGAAATCAAGTGCCTTAACTTTAAATGTTATACTTTCTTGTTATATGATAGCATCTGTTGATAAATAACACAGCATATTATTTAAAGGCTTCAGTAAAGTAAACTGAAGAATTTGAAGGGATACCAGCAGGTCTGTAAACATTGGTTAATAGACAGTGGCAGCGCCAGACTCTAAAAGAGGGGGGGGGCAATTGGGGAAGGAAATATTTTTGGGGGGCAGTTAAAATAAAATCTGATAGAGTCCAATAACTAAATGGCACCTAAAAGCCTGTGTACGCGCGCCCATACCCATTATCAATTGTCCGGAAATAAGCCACTTGAGCAACTTAGAAGTGCAGTCGTTTTGATGAATGAGAAATGTATCAAACCAAGAATGGTGTATAACAAATGTATGACAATTGTACAAAGTCATTGGCTGCACACTATCTATGGCTGTGTAAATGCATGTGTGGCATGTTCTGTCTACCAAAGTACCAATGTTGACAATGCTTTCATTGGCCCAAAATGTGTCCACAGAACCAATGACTCGCTCTCTAACTTCAACTTGTTATGAATCTTAACAGCGAAGAAAATAAACAGAATTAATCTATTTGTAGATAAAGTGTTTGGGGGGGGGGGGGGGGGGGACAACTTGGGGGGGGGGGGGAGGGGCAAATGCCACCTATGCCCCCCCCCCCATAAGTAAAAGTTTTAAAACTTAGTGAATGTGTCCAGCCTTTCCTCAGCTAGAAGGTCATCAGAAATGAAACCGATTCAACTAAATGCTACACCAGCTGAAAAAACAACAATGTGGAATTATAAAAAAACTCACCTGAGTGTTAGAGTTTTCATTTACAAGGTTAGGGACGACCCATCCAATACCAAAACACGTTGTACCGGTCCCATCGCAGACATCACATGCATCAAAGACTTTACCACTGTTGCAAAAGAGTCCAGAATAAAAAAAAATCATGCTTGTCAGAGAACAGCACCAGAGAAAATGACAAAAAGTTTGTATAACTTGCATTTCATGCTTTAAAAAGTGTACGAAATTGACAAAACAAAAGCAATTTAGGCTTCAAGAGCTAATTAAGGCTAATTAAGGGGAGTCAGGTTGGCGTAGTGGTACTTTCCTCGCCTTCCACCGCTGTGACCTGGGTTCAAATCCCGCCCGGGCCAATTTGTGGATTGGGTTTTCAGTCCCTGCCTGATTCCGTGGGTTTCCCCAGAATATTCTTCTGGGCTTTTCCTCCCACCTCTAAAACTGTAACTTCTTCTCATTGTCTTCTCTCCACAAGTTTCTTCAGGCTTGCGAGCTACAGTGCCTAAGGCGCTTTTGAGGAATCCTTGGTTTCATTACCAGAAATGATTAATAATAATAATAATAATAATAAAGGCTGTGTCATCAATCCACAGGAACTGAATTTCACACTTTTACCTGTTGGGAACACCGTCACACCCAGCGCATGAGCTCTCATCAGCAAACGAGTCGGTCAAGCACTGTCCGCATGCATTTGTACCACTGGTCACATTCAGCATGGTGTTGCCTCCATAACATACGCCGCACTGGTTGAGCTCAGCTCTGTTGGATGCAGCTATAATTTTGAGAACAAAAAAAAATGATTAAAAAGTTGCTTTTCACTTTGGCAGAATTAGTTTCAGTTGATTACTCAGTTGCTATCAAGGACTATCAAGTTTTTACAATGCTATTTTATGCAAATGAGAATATGCAAATACTAAAACTTTGAACCAATAGAAAAGCTTAATTTAATTTGGTCTTTTTATGTCTTAAATGCTATGCTATGTTATGCAAATAAGAATATGCAAATACTAAAACTTTGAACCAATAAAAAAGCTTCATTTAAGTTGGTCTTCTATGGCCGAGACAAATTGTGTACGTACCTCTAACGCCCGTATTCATAGAATTAGGATCTATACCAGGATCCTTTGAGTTCCAACAGTGCAGTACTATTTGAAGCATTTATTTCCAAAACACGACATATCCATTTGAAAATTTGACTTTAAAGAATCAAAACAGTAAAACCCCTGCTTTCTAAACTTCACTTTTTGCTTTACTGTATTCTTAAGTTGTATAAAACAACCGTAGATATTACTTTTTGGCAGCCAGAAGAGAGCAGGATTCTAAAAGAGAACAAATTGGCGTAGGCCTATATCGCATTTTGGAAATGCCTCCATTTTTTTCACTCACCTCCGGGTGTGAAGCAGTCACCGTTGCAGTCCATGTACTTGTTGGCCACAAACCCAGAGGATGGATCGAAGGGCTCACAGAATCCGCAGTCATCCTGCAACCAGGTGCCATCACAGACGCCGCGGCAGTCGATTCGGACCTGGTTGTAGTTGGCTGGCCTTCCCGTTTCGCCGTCTTGGAAAAAAAACAAATCAAGAAAGGAAATTACCGAGATAGTTTCGGAATATAGAAGTCGGTGAAATAGAAAATAGCAAAGGGTGAAATTAGAGTTTGACGTTGAATATTTACCGACCATTAAGGATATTTTTTCAGAACAAATGTTGCACTGTAGACTACATGTATTAATTCTTATTGCTCAAAATTTTGCACAAGCAGTTTTGTTTCTTCTAATTTCACTTTCTGATTCTGATAGGGGATGCCAATTGCTATTGAAGAGCATGGTCAGAGATGGTGGTTTGCTAGTCCGAGTAACGTAGACCCTACAAATCGGCTTTTTTTTTTACATTTGGACAAGCCGTCATCTGGGGTATCGCCAGACCATGTCCAAATGTTAAAAAAGGTGATTTATAGGGTCCAAGCAGTGGCGTAGCCAGGAATTGTTCAGTGGGGGGGGGGGGGGGGGCTGGAACATTTCATTGGGGGGCGTCATGTAGATCAATGATAATTTTTTGTAGGAACTCAAAATCTCAGTGGGGGGGGGGGGGCACTGGGGGGGGGGGTGCTGCAAGGTTTCATGGGGGGCTGTCGCCCCCCCCCAACGCCCCCCCTGGCTACGCCACTGGGTCCAAGTTACTCAGACTAGTGGTTTGCAACAGTATCTTACAGGCTGAAGAAGAGTCGTTTTAATGTTTGTCGTGTTTTTTTTATCTTGTTTTGGAAAACAGGAAGGGTGAACATAAACATTCTCAAAGAACTTAATATTTGGTCTTGTTCAGTCATAAAGGTATCAGAATGTCCACGTGATGCAGTGCAGCGTTGTTGTTATGCAGAACTCACCAACACACTCTTTACAGTCGTCCACGAATGCCGAGCCGTTGCATGTGCCGTGGCAATCCCAGGTGATACGGTAATTGGGATCTGACCAGCAGGTGCCGCAGCGGTCCTTCCCAAAGTCTTGTCCGCGGTTCGTGAAGCCCCCGACGCACAGGTTGCAGCTGTTCATGGTGGCGTCACCGTTGCAGACGTTAGCGCAGTCCCGCACTGCGCTGCCACCGCATTCACCAGCGCAGTCGTATAAGGTGTCACCGTTGCAGACATTCGCACAATCCAAAATGCCCAAACAATCTTCTAGACATGACAATTAGAAATTGAAAAAATATTAGAATGCAATAACTTTAGTCTTGATGATTGCTTCTTTTCAGTTCATTTTAATTATAATCCTAGCTATTTTGGGTATTAGAAATAAAAAAACCCAATATTTCATGTTTAGTATTAAACTTTAGTTACTATATATTTAGTAACTGAGAAAATTGTTTGAATGGAAAAGATGTGGTTTGGGAACCCACAATTACGTGCAATATACTATCACGATTATTAATTTGCATTCCAAATATTTTGGGCACACAATTTTTTTATGTAAGAAAATCTTGAGCAGAATGAGCAAAAGTCAACGGTACCAAAAAAAGAGAGAGTAAACTTCATTAAATGATTGCAACTGCAGCATATCTTTATAAGAAATTGCAGGAGTCGAATTACAGAATAATAGTTTTGCAAAACTCTGATATTTCCATTTTCTTTGGGAAACACCATGCATCTATGTTAGGTTTTCTGTTGGCCTGTTTGTATATTGTTTGATCTATCTTTCTCTGAAATTTGGCACCTGTTAGTGAATCTTCCCTCAATATCAACCTTATGAAACAATCTGTTAAGTGGTTTAATAGTTCAGGCTGTTTTGTTAAAAAAAGAGCGAGTGCACTGATGGCCTAAGATTATTTTGGCCTTGGTCTGGTACTGGAATTAAATCTGACCACAATCAACTGTGAGTGATCAGACAAAGGGAACACCTCCTTCTATTTGCAGAACCACGCAACCCTACAAGTGCTTCTCCTCGCTTCTGCAGATGACTCTGCACAAAAAACTTGGATAAACAGCTTTGCCGAGAGTACGTTTTTCACATTGCGGGTCTTAAATTGGTTCTTCGGTGGCGAGCCCGCTGTATGCAAATTTGTGCAAACAGTGTGCACAAAAAGGACTTATTAGCTTAAATATACTTCAGGGTTGATAGCTCCACAGAGAAACTACTAGTGCTACTGGATAGGAATTGTACAAAATGAGCCCCTGGCTTGTTTGCTTCTCATTCACAGGCAAAGTCCCTTGCAAAGGTACTCGGCATCAGTGTCAACAAATAGAGGCGGTGTTTGAGATGCTGTATCTGGGCAACTAGAGGACAGGATGAAGCGAAACCTGACAAAGTCACTCCTACAACTAGGTCTTACATAAGCTGGGTATTGTGCCTTAAAAGAAAATGACTAGAGCCAAGTGTCTGATTCAAATGCTGTAGGAATTTCTCCTTGTGAATTCCAGACGGTGGCGTGGTTAGTTGTGAAAGATGTTTTAAGTGAATTGTGCAATTCTTGGTTACACGTCCAGCAAACTGTATGCCCCCTGGCAGATTAAGAATGTGTTTTTACGCAGGATCTATGTGGCAAAAGAGCGGCAACATCAGCTAAGCACTTGTCTTAGGTTACGTTCAACTCAGACAAGAGAAGAAGTCTTTGGAGTATAGCCCTCTTACTCTTAAAAAGAATCAATTCATTTCTTTACAAAATTGCAAGTTATTTGTTTCGTTTTTACAGAAAAGCTTTGCTCTATTTAGGGCATCTGCAAGCCTATTATACATGTATATAAAAAGACTTGCATGTAGCATTTGTGCCTCTATCGCAAAAAAGTTGTAAAGTAATTATTCTCCCCCAACAATGTGAATGTTAGGATTGTCTCAAGTTGAATTTATCATTTAAAAAGTGAATGACCTTTGTATTGCAACAAACAGAACTTCCAATAATAATTTTTAAAAAACAAGCTTAAGCAAAGAACTTCAATTTATCATACCTATATACCCCCTTGTCCTGTCACTCAGATTTGCTCAATTGAAATACATGTTTTTGTTTTAAACCCAAATTACAAATCAACATTTAAGTTCTGAATTTTGGAAAAACAACATCTTACTTTTGGAAGCGTTTGAAGAGCATAAAAAAGAAAGAATTTATTGCATTGTTGTGCAAATGAGGTCTGTAAATTCTTGCACATGTTTTTTCATAGCGGTATATATACATGTAGTTGTGGTTAAATTCTAAATTTCAAGTTGAAAAGGTTTTCGCGTGGCCACAATGATTTATTTTCTAATTTTGAGCATTATTTTCTCCTCATACTGAGGCCACTCTAGTGGTATTTTCTAGTTTTTGGTAATTATTTGGTCTTTTTACATCAAGAAATCTTTGGATTTCGGCATTTTCTTAATTTTAGAGAACTTTTTTTTTTTTTAGGCCCAATTTTTTTTTTTTGCCTAAAACTGATTAAATTACTTTTCAACAAATAACTTTTTTTCCTAATTTTTTTCAATTTTGATGCTTTACTTTGACCAGAACCCCCACCTTTTGTTTTACCTTCAGCATCTGCAAACCTCTGAAAAGGCTTTTATTTAATGTTGCCTATGAGTAGCTGCCTCACAAACTGATCCGCACTTAATAATTCGAAATTTGTAAAGTAATTTATTCCACAACAAAAATGTGGGCTGACTTTTGTTTTTCGTTTTAGGTAAAATTCGTTTATTTTGCCAGAGAATTGACAATCTAAAAGCAATTATCTAATTCGGGACAAACCGCTTTAGCAACTTTTAACAACGAATTTGATTTCACCATTCCTTACCTTCGGCAGCGATGGACTCTCCACGGAATGCAGCAGAGGTAGCTATGCAGAGGGCTCGGGGACTGTAGTAGCCGGTGACTTGATACAACAGGTTGCCAGATGCAGCTTCTGGAGATGCAATGTTGATGAACCTCATGACAGCTTCTACTGCTATCGCGCACTCATCCTCATTCGTGAGGTATGAGAATGCCTGCTCCCGAAGGAGGTCAACCAAATTGTCGAATGCAGTCTGATCCTGGACGGCATCAATAAGGGCAGTGCACATGAGTTCGTAGCTCTCAAAGCCGGCCAAAGTGCTGGCGAAGTCGAAAAATCCAAAGAAGTAGCGCTGATACTCCAATCTTGATTCCAGAAGCCACTGTGCAGTCTCTGCGTCGTAGTTGGGATTAGATGGGTCTCCATAAGGGCCCAAATCGGGAGAAAGGTAGTTCAACACTCCCTCGATGTCTTGGCATATACCAGCTCCATATTGGATTCCAGCCCTCAACAAGCCGTTTGCCACAATAGTGGCCAGTGCCTCTGGGCTAGTGTCAGAATTGAGGACAGTTTCAATGGCTGGGCAGATGACATCTTTTTCAAAACGGGGTTCGTAGTTGAAGGCAGGGAGGATGGTTTCCAGGAGTAATTCGCCAAAGTCAACATGACTCAGTGCGATTGGGTGATCAGCACCGTAAAATTGAGGTACCAACACCTGTTGACACTGTGATACCACACCTTGGATGTCACCTTGATTGATGGCATTACAGATAAGGCCAAAATGACCGAAGCCTGGGAAAACCCGGTCATCGAAAAGTGGGCCCAAACGGTCGCATGCCAGAGTCAAGGTCTCATTAAACTTGTTAGTGGTGAACAGAGCCCCCGCCAGAGATACTATATCTCGGATGGTAACGCCGGGAAGGAATTCTCCTGCTGATGGTGTGTAGGTGGTCATGTTGAAGTTTGCAGGTAGCTGTAAATTGAATTCGGTGGCATTAACTCTCTCATTAAAACTGTCATGCAGATAGACACAGAATGTTTCCACCTTTTCGAAACTTGATATTTGCCTGAATGGAGATAGGCCGTCGCGCCCAAGAAGAATATGGAGTGAGGAGTTACATAAACTGACATCATTCATGATATTAAAGGCACCTTCTACCGCCGCAGCAACAAGTGAAGCCCTCCTCTCCTCCTCATTAAAGCTCATGATGAAACTGCAGAAATCATTTCCATTTGTGAACTTTCCTGACAATTCTGAAATGAGCCTCTCTGTTTCATCAAAGACCGTAAATCCTGAAGGGCTAACATCTGAAGAGGACGCATTATTATAATATTGTACACACTTCGTAGACAACGATTCACCGGAAAAAAGTGATGCGAAGATAGACCTTGCCACAGACTTGCCAAATTCCAAAACATCTGCAGTATCTGCCTGCATGACGGAGCCAAACCTTTCACACACGGCGTAGGGATCGTCGCCCAGTTGCCTGTACACCGCTTCAGCGATTCTCTGAAATAAAAGTTGGCCTGTTTCGTGGGAGATTTCGTTGTCTGAATTTACAGATTCACCATCTCTATCATCATCAAATGGTAAATCGAATTGGGTTTGGAAAAGGAAGGTTACCCACCAACCGTCACTGCACTCTGGAGCTTCTGGAGTACGGTCCCATGGCAGATCAACAAACTCAATACAGAAATGGTAGAATTCCTCAAGATCAGAACCCCTTCGAGACCAGTCACAAACTTCGCCCAGCTCTGGTACCAAAGCGTCAATGTCAATATCGGCTTGATCAAGGAGGCCGCAGGTAGTGCCAATCGCCTCTGTGATTGTACCGGAATTGTAAAGTCGCCCAACAACCTTCAGTATCTCTCTAATAAAGTTTTGCCATTCTTGAGGGATTATCGGAGACTCTTCATCTGGCCGCTCTGTTGCTCCAGGCCGTTCTGTTGCTCCAGGCCGTGTTTCTGAATCGACAGAGTCTGAATAGATCAGCGTCCGGAATACAGACAAATCTATCTCTTCGTTGCTATTTGGGTCGAATGCGCGACTGATGGCCTCACATAGTCCCTGGTTGTCTCCAAAGCCAGTGATGTCGCCAATAGAGAAGGGAAGTTGAAGAGACTGTTGCATGAAGTCCACAAAAGATGTACAATAACCAGAATCCCTCATGATAGAGTACATAGCTTCCTTGAATGTGTTGACCATTCCGTCCAAGAGAACAGGGTCTGCTCCCTCGGCTACAGCTGCAAGTGAATCTCGACAGAGTTCGTCGCTGTTTGGATAGTTTCCAAGGAAACTGAATATATCTCCAAGTAATTTCAGAGGATCGATTTCTTCAGGCATGTCCATGGTGATATTTCGCAGGACGGATTCTGTCCATCGTGGCATTTCAGTATAGCCGAATGGTGGAATGGCCGTAGGGGCATCTTGTCCACTGTCTTCACAAAGCCAGGGAGTGGCATGTGCCAGTAATCGGAGGCCAACATCCATGACACTGTCAACAATGACAGGTATTGACATGTCCTCGTTAGAAATGATGTCTTTGGCATTATTGCACACCGACTCATCCGTTGAGATGTCAAAGCCAAACGTTTCCTCAACCCAGGCAACAAATTCACCATATGTGAGGTCCTCATCTCGTAAGATGAATTTCAAGAAATTCAAAAATTCGTCATCCTCAGGTCCATCATAGAAGTCGTCATCCGGAGTACGGTCCCATGGCAGATCTACAAACTCAATACAGAAATGGTAGAATTCCTCAAGATCAGAACCCCTTCGGGACCAGTCACAAACTTCGCCAAGCTCTGGTACCAAAGCGCCAATGTCAATATCGGCTTGATCAAGGAGGCCACAGGTAGTGCCAATCGCCTCCGTGATTGTACCGGAATTGTAAAGTCGCCCAACAACCTTCAGTATCTCTTTAATAAAGTTTTGCCATTCTTGAGGGATTATCGGAGACTCTTCATCTGGCCGCTCTGTTGCTCCAGGCCGTTCTGTTGCTCCAGGCCGCGTTTCTGAATCGACATAGTCTGGATAGATCAGCGTCCGGAATACAGACAAATCTATCTCTTCGTTGCTATTTGGGTCGAATGCGCGACTGATGGCCTCACATAGTCCCTGGTTGTCTCCAAAGCCAGTGATGTCGCCAATAGAGAAGGGAAGTTGAAGAGACTGTTGCATGAAGTCCACAAAAGATGTACAATAACCAGAATCCCTCATGATAGAGTACATAGCTTCCTTGAATGTGTTGACCATTCCGTCCAAGAGAACAGGGTCTGCTCCCTCGGCTACAGCTGCAAGTGAATCTCGACAGAGTTCGTCGCTGTTTGGATAATTTCCAAGGAAGCTGAATATATCTCCAAGTAATTTCAGAGGATCGATTTCTTCAGGCATGTCCATGGTGATATTTCGTAAGACGGATTCTGTCCATCGTGGCATTTCAGTAAAGCCGAATGGTGGAATGGCAGTAGGGGCATCTTGTCCACTGTCTTCACAAAGCCAGGGAGTGGAATGTGCCAGTAATCGGAGGCCAACATCCATGACACTGTCAACAATGACAGGAATTGACATGTCCTCGTTAAAAATGATGTCTTTGGCATTATTGCACACCGACTCATCCGTTGAGATGTCAAAGCCAAACGTTTCCTCAACCCAGGCAACAAATTCACCATACGTGAGGTCCTCATCTCGTAAGATGAATTTCAAGAAATTCAAAAATTCGTCATCCTCAGGTCCATCATAGAAGTCGTCATCCGGAGTACGGTCCCATGGCAGATCTACAAACTCAATACAGAAATGGTAGAATTCCTCAAGATCAGAACCCCTTCGAGACCAGTCACAAACTTCGCCAAGCTCTGGTACCAAAGCGCCAATGTCAATATCGGCTTGATCAAGGAGGCCACAGGTAGTGCCAATCGCCTCCGTGATTGTACCGGAATTGTAAAGTCGCCCAACAACCTTCAGTATTTCTCTAATAAAGTGTTGCCATTCTTGAGGGATTATGGGAGACTCTTCATCTGGCCGCTCTGTTGCTCCAGGCCGTGTTTCTGAATCGACATAGTCTGGATAGATCAGCGTCCGGAATACAGACAAATCTATCTCTTCGTTGCTATTTGGGTCGAATGCGCGACTGATGGCCTCACATAGTCCCTGGTTGTCTCCAAAGCCAGTGATGTCGCCAATAGAGAAGGGAAGTTGAAGAGACTGTTGCATGAAGTCCACAAAAGATGTACAATAACCAGAATCCCTCATGATAGAGTACATAGCTTCCTTGAATGTGTTGACCATTCCGTCCAAGAGAACAGGGTCTGCTCCCTCGGCTACAGCTGCAAGTGAATCTCGACAGAGTTCGTCGCTGTTTGGATAATTTCCAAGGAAGCTGAATATATCTCCAAGTAATTTCAGAGGATCGATTTCTTCAGGCATGTCCATGGTGATATTTCGTAAGACGGATTCTGTCCATTGTGGCATTTCAGTAAAGCCGAATGGTGGAATGGCCGTAGGGGCATCTTGTCCACTGTCTTCACAAAGCCAGGGAGTGGCATGTGCCAGTAATCGGATGCCAACATCCATGACACTGTCAACAATGACAGGAATTGACATGTCCTCGTTAGAAATGATGTCTTTGGCATTATTGCACACCGACTCATCCGTTGAGATGTCAAATCCAAACTTTTCCTCAACCCAGGCAACAAATTCACCATACGAGAGATCTTCATTGTGCAAGAACACTTTCAACCAACCGAGAAACCCATCTTCCTCGGGTTCATCGTCTTCGTACGGATTGTTACTCCATGGATATTCTACAACTGACAAACACATTCCAATGAAGTCTGAGCTGTCGTGTGGCTTTCTTGCCCAATCACAAAGTGGTTTGAAGTCATCACCCAAGAACACGCCTACCTTGCCAGTTTGGTTAAAGATTCTGCATGATTCCCCCACAACCTCCTTGAACGTCCCAGCATTGAGCAATCGCCCGGCCAGTTTCAGGATTTCTGGTTTAATAATACCCCAGCTTTCATCCTCCGCGTCATTGAAACTAAACTTCAGAAGCTTTTCTACCTCTGAAATGTCGATGTAAAGGTCGCTCGCAGGGTCGAACGATTCCTTAATGGCTGCACAGAAGTGACGATTGCTGCCAAAACCAGAAAAGTTCCCAAACGATAATGGAAGATCCAGAGACTCTTGCATGACGTCCATGAAGACCTCACACACATCAACATCTTCCATCAAACTGTAAACAGTTTCCTTCATGGTGAACACTATATCTTCAAATACTGTTTCGTCATTGACAGCTTCAATAGACTTACGGCACTGTTCGTCACTGTTGTCGAAATGTCCCAGGAAGGTGAACATTGTTCCGAAGAAATCAGACGAATCTCCGTCGACGGACATTTTTGGTCCGTCTGTGATGGATTTTGCCGAAGATGGCATCTCACTTGATGGAGTAGGTAGGGTTTGTGTTGGTTCAACAGATGGCTCGGGTCTACGGCCATAACATAGCTCAGGTGAGGCATGCACAAAGAAACGCAGCGTGGCATCTAGCACTTTATCAAACACCATACGCATAGTAAAGTTCTCATCTGTTGCGTACTTTTCAGCATTCAGGCAAACTTGCTCAGGTGAGGCTCTTGGACTGGACGCGAAGAGGTTGTAAAACAAAGCAGTGACATCGCCTCTAAACGCTGACATGCCATCAAACCAGTCGGTTATTGTAGGACCCCATGGTTGGTAGATGTAATCACCAAAGTTGGGCCACCAAGTCTCGATGTTGTAGATTTTGCGCAACCAGTTGCCGTCCTCGAAGAAGACTCTGCACTCTTCAATCAGCCCAGCTGGGTCTGGGTCGGACAGAAGACTGCACTCCCTTTGTAGCTCTTGGCTGTCCAAACGAGTACCTGTGAATGTGGTACATGGTAGCAGAGCAGCCTCTTTAATCGTAGTATTGAACACAAGGCCAGTTATTGAAATAAACCCAACTAGGTCAAGGTTTGGCCTGTCAGAATCATCACCTATGATATCTGAGAGCGATTCAGTGTTGTGACGGCTAAATGCATATTTTATTTGTCCGCACACACTTGCTGCATCCAGAAAGGTTCTACCCATGCCTCCAAACAGATCAATCTCAGAGCTCACAATGTCGAAAAAGTTATTGCAGACATTTTCATCCCACGTGATGGTGAGAAGCTTGTTTCTCATGTGACTAATCCGGTGTTTCAGGGAACCAAAATAATAATCCGTTTTTACTTCACGACACATTTCTTCTTTAGAGGAGAAGCCACCCAGGAACGCAAACAGTTTAGCGACAAGTCTTCCTGGAAGGGGTCCGAGATGACCCCTCTCCCACCTTGAGTCTGCGTCGTCAGGTTGAAACCAGTTTGGATGGCTCGGACCAGGGGACGACCCAGGAAAGTTGTCATAGGGACCGGGAGACCACATTGGTTTGTCGGTAACGCCATCTGGTGGAGATCTGCTTGGAATGTCACTTACTGTATCTGTGTGCGTCGGGGCCCAACTGAGATTGTCAGTAACTCCACCTGAAGGAGACTGCCATGGCTGATCAGTGACTGGAATGTCACTTACTGCATCTGTGGGCGTCGGGGCCCAACTGGGATTGTCACTTAAACCAGCCGAAGGAGACCACCACGGCCGATCAGTGACTCCTCCACTATATGGACCTTCTCCACACAGTTCTGGAGCTGACCATGCTAAAAATTCTAAGGTTTTGTCTAATATCTTGATAATCACATCACGAACGGTCATTTCGTTTTCATGGATTTTCCAACCAAATCGTTGGCAGATAGCTTCTGAGTCGGCATCATGAAGATCAAAAATGGCCTCCAGGAGCTGCTTCATGTCAGGGAGAGGTAACGAGTCTCTGCCCATGTCATCAAGGCCACTGCCGCCGTCGAAGAACTCGGAGAACCATGCCTTTAGAAGTTCCACTTCTGAAAAGTCATTCCAATGAGCAAATAAGTCGTGAGAGTACCACCAGGGATCACCATTTGTGTCGGAACCTGGTCCCTCTCGATCACCTGAGCCGCCTCGTTCTGGGTCGCGATTGTCACCAGAACCCTCTGCAGGACGACTTGGATTCCAGGGACCTTCTGTTGGATTACCATGACCACTCCCCTCTCCTGGATTGTGGGAAACACCCGAGCCCCCTTCTGGATCTCGAGGATCACCCGAACGCTCTGTCGGGTCCCTGGGAGAACGTGACCAGGGACCTTCTGTTGGATCAACACGACCATTCCCATCCCCTGGATCTCGAGGATCACCCGAACCTTCTGTTGGGTCGTTTGGATTATGTGACCCATCGTCGGGACTTAGTCCGCAGAGTGCAAGACATTGCCGGATTAGCTCATCTGGGGTCTCCATTTCCAGTGCTGCACACATCTTCTGATCGGAGCTACTTGCCACTCCACTAAATGATTGGCAAAGCCCAACAAAACCTTCACGAACTGTACCACTGTTCAAGAAGTTACCTGCGGCCCGAACCATTTTGATAACATTGAGTCCGGTTGTTGTCAAAGATGATTGATCCATTGAGAACTGCACGCTAGGATCGGAACTTCGTAATACTTCTTGAATGTTGCTGCACATGTCCGCTACCGTCTGATAACCAAATGCTGTGTGGTAACTCATCCACGAACCAGAATCCTGCAGCCGCCATATCAGTTCAACACACAGATTCGAGTCATCAATGAGAGCTCTCAGTAATGCGCTGGTTGTTTCATTGATAAGTTGGTTTGCTTCCGGCCCGTCGGATGAAATTAATCCCCTTGCTTGATCACAAAACTGTTGGTTATCGCCTAACCCAGACAACGCTGTGAAAATTTGGAGGAGAAGCTTGCCCAAATGAACCTCTCCGTTGTCTAAATCATCACAAGACAGTAGAGATAGGGGGATCAACCGCTTCACAGCCGTGAAAGTGATGTTTCGTATGAGAAGACGCCCAGTGAGAGACCGGTTGTAAACCACGCTTCCGAGTCTGCTACACGTTTCAGCATTGTTGTCTTCTGAGAAGCCAAGGATCTCCTTCAGAAATTGCATAGGGTAGAAGTAGCCGATTCCTGGTATGTCCCAGAAATCCCTTGTGCCATCGTCTGGAAAAGGGTCATCGTCGTCTGATTGGTTCGGGTAATCATAAGAAGGTACCATTGGATATTCGTCCTGGGAGTCTCCGTCTGAATCTTCCAACCCGCTCCAGATTTCTTGGCAGACATCGGACACACCTTGTACAGGTTGACCGGTTCTCAGAGATTCCAGAACCGGTTCGCAGACATCTCTAACTGTGCTTCCCAAGAACTGAGACGCAAGAGGTCCAACTGCCACGCAGACCTCGCCGACTGCCTCCTTCACCGTGCCAGAGTTCCACGACTGAGCAGCAACATTGATGAGAGATGAAACTTCAACACCAGGAATGATTAGACCCGCCACGGAGAAAATGTCACTATCTTCTGTTACGAGACTAGTCGTGTCATTCCACTGGACTTCCCAGTATGAGTTGGCATCGCCTGGTGAAGAAGTAGCTTGCTCTGCTGTCTGAGACCCGAGGTCTTCTTCAATGGAAGGTTGTGACCAAACACCGGTAGCCAACACAACCAGCAAAATGCACGAAACACGAGCAACTATGGAGACCATTTTGTGTCAGGATTCTTACCCGGTTACCGGCTTTCACGTTAGCCCAAAGCTGGCTGGAACGGGGTTGGGCGTCTTACCCTCGATGTAATTACTGAAGTTCTGTCAATCTTCAGCGATGAAAAAAAACCTACAGTGCAGAAAAAGTGAGAAACAAGACCAAAAATTAGTCTGGCCAGTGACTAAGCATGTCACTCCGGTCCCTTTTTAATTAGTTACATAATGCTTATTTGATCGAGAACAATCACTTCCAAGACAACACTGTTTGTCTGTTATAGTTGCTTTACCCCTTCTCGACAAATGACTATGTAAACACACTGCTAAGATATCGACCAACAAGGGTGCTGAATTCGTTTAAAATCCGACGGTATACCGCTTTTATGTCTTCATCAACAATTATTAACCGTTTATACTAAGAAGGTTGGATCGGTTTATTATTGTTGTCTTTTTCATGGCGGTGTACCTTCTATATACGTGATGATTAAATTCTGAACATATATATTTGTCAAAGACTTCTTCACTTTTAATATTTTAAATTAATGCCATCATCGAAGCAGCCGATATCAGCAAATCTGAGGCATTATTTTGACCCATAAAGATGCTAAGACATTCTCTCATTTGGAGATTAAGTCCTTCGTGTGACATGGGTAACATAGGAATTTTTTGAAAGGCAGATTTTCCACGTGTACAATAGAACTCTTCAACAGAACATAATGTGGACGACGAATTTGATGTAAAAAAAAAAATAGCTTAAACATCGCCTTGATATTTTTTGTTAGTTCCCTGACAAATTAAGCGAGCGGATTTGTTGAACGCACGTTAATTTTGAGGTTGCTGACTTCACATTAGTAAGCCTTCTACCACCATTAATGAAGTGGCTATCGCCTATGATAGCAATTGTACATTGCAGTTATTTTACATGGAATATTCTTTGTTTCAGTAGCAGTTTGATACTCACAACAGTTGTCATTCTAATTCCAGTCATAAAAATTCACTACATTTTGAAGCAACGGTATATATGCGCTTAACAGTCGGTGGTTCTGTTTAGCATGATGAGGGATTCTGAACACGCACTTTTCGTCAACTTTGCGTTCAAAGTCCGGGGTTTGGACGAAATATGCACTGGTGTTTCTGTAAAAATAGTCCACCGCAATTTGCCCGATTTCATTTGTATAACTTCTGAGGTAATTTGTACGAGCTAGTCGGATTGGCGTTATAAACGGACAATCTTCAAAGCCACGTTGGATCATTTGCAATTAGGCCTACCCGAAAAAGAGTATACCGGTACCTATCAATAAAGACAGAAACCTCGCTCACAGTGAAGATATGACTGGTATCAAATACCCTGTGAAATCATTCCTCCTGAAATGGTATCATTTGGAAAACAACTAACATTGAATGGGGTTTCGAAATATGATTGCCGCGGGCACACTTTTTTTTTGCGTGCATCAGCAACGGAATTCAGTTACGAGAACAACAACAAATTGCACAGGGCCCATACGTTTTCTTTGTTTTTTTTCTTCAAATTGTATAGTATTCACACTGTACTCAAAATTCTACAACTTAGTTGTTATGGACCCCACTTAAGATTTGAGCAATTTTGATGCTTCAAACGAAAAAAACAAAATGCACGAAAAGCAAATGTAAACGTACCTTTGAAATACCTTCTGATAAGTATTTCATACATTCAGGAGTGCGTCAGCCTCCGTTCAATAAAGCAGTATTACAGGCTGCGATATTTAGGAATGTTTCCAGGCTGGACGAAACCTTTCCTTGATAATTAGTGCCGTGCAAATCCAAATACATTAATTTTGCATCCAATTATAGCAACACCTGTCGAATTTCCTCCTACTAAAATAAAGTGTTAACTACTATAGAGATGAGACTTATCTCGCAACCTGTGTACACATGCTGTGTTCTTGGTGCCATGACAACCGCATCACACTTTGCGATGCACGAAAAGGTCTCTGCAGTGGTTGAAGCTAACTTGACTTTCGAGATGTAAATCAACAGACTGTGTGTTTTGTCGATCGTCGACGATGACTCTAAAGATATCACTCGATATTAACCGTAGTTTGATTTAAAACATTACTCCACACTTTTGAAAATTCCATTTGATTTTAATTTTGTTCGTGTGATCGTGTCAGCTTTATCATATTTTTTCGATGTTTTATTTTTATTTTGTCGGTTGTTTCTCAGTTTACCGGTCCCCCTAAAAAAAGGGGGGGGGGAAGCAAAAGAAAAAAAAGCTTCACTGATATCTGCCATAAAACCGTTGAAACCCTGTATGTTTCACGAAACACCACAAGATATATTGAACTTTCGCCTATAGCATGTTAAAGACGTGCATTCATACAAGCTGTTCGCCTAATTGCGGTTTGATGAAAAATTCTACCGAGTCATCGCAATCAATATCTTCCAATCGTGCTTTTAGTACACCCGCTATAGAAAAGATGCTAACGACGAAGGACTTTACATTTTTATAGTGCTCAAGCAATGGACAAACACCTCAGCTTTAATATCTAGGCTTTAAATGTAACGGACAGTCCACCATTAATTTTGCAAACACTCCAAAAGGAAACTGTCAAGTCATGAAACATCCTACTTGATAAATGAACATCCTGTGAAATCATTGCGCCTCGTATGCTGTCATTTTCAAGAAAAGAGGATTACCATCATTTCCTCGCGATGGTTAGGACCAAACCATCGCGCTTTGAAGTTGGAGATTAAGTCCTTCGTGTGACATGGGTAACATAGGAATTTTTTGAAAGGCAGATTTTCCACGTGTACAATAGAACTCTTCAACAGAACACAATGTGGACGACGAATTTGATGTAAAAAAAAAGAATAGCTTAAACATCGCCTTGATATTTTTTGTTAGTTCCCTGACAAATTAAGCGAGCGGATTTGTTGAACGCACGTTAATTTTGAGGTTGCTGACTTCACATTAGTAAGCCTTCTACCACCATAAATGAAGTGGCTATCGCCTATGATAGCAATTGTACATTGCAGTTATTTTACATGGAATATTCTTTGTTTCAGTAGCAGTTTGATACTCACAACAGTCGTCATTCTAATTCCAGTCATAAAAATTCACTACATTTTGAAGCAATGGTATATATGCGCTTAACAGTCTGTGGTTTTGTTTAGCATGATGAGGGATTCTGAACACGCACTTTTCGTCAACTTCGCGTTCAAAGTCCGAGGTGTGGACGAAATATGCACTGGTGTTTCTGTAAAAATAGTCCACCGCAATTTGCCCGATTTCATGTGTATAACTTCTGAGGTAATTTGTACGAGCTAGTCGGATTGGCGTTATAAACGGACAATCTTCAAAGCCACGTTGGACCATTTGCTATTAGGCCTACCCGAAAAAAGTATACCGGTACCTATCAATAAAGACAGAAACCTCGCTCACAGTGAAGATATGACTGGTATCAAATACCCTGTAATATTATTCCTCCTGAAATGGTATCATTTGGAAAACAACTAACATTGAATGGGGTTTCGAAATATGATTGCCGCCGGCACACATTTTTTTTGCGTGCATCAGCAACGGAATTCAGTTAAGAGACCAAAACAAAAAAAATTGCACAGGGCCCATACATTTTTTTTTTTTTTTTTTTCAAATTGTATAGTATTCACACTAAACTGAAAATTCAACAACTTAGTTGTTATGGACCCCACTTAAGATTTGAGCAATTTTGATGCTTCCAAACGAAAAAACAAAATGCACGAAAAGCAAATGTAAACGTACCTTTGAAATACCATGTAGTAGGCTTCTGATAAGTATGTCATGCATTGAGGAGTGCGTCAGCCTCCGTTCAATAAAGCAGTATTACAGGTTGTGATATTTAGGAATGTTTCCGTGGACGAAACCTTTCCTTGATAATTAGTGCCGTGCAAATCCAAATACATTAATTTTGCATCCAATTATAGCAACACCTGTCGAATTTCCTCCTACTAAAATAAAGTGTTAACTGCTATAGAGATGAGACTTATCTCGCAACCTGTGTACACATGCTGTGTTCTTGGTGCCATGACAACCGCATCACACTTTGCGATGCACGAAAAGGTCTCTGCAGTGGTTGAAGCTAACTTGACTTTCGAGATGTAAATCAACAGACTGTGTGTTTTGTCGATCGTCGACGATGACTCTAAAGATATCACTCGATATTAACCGTAGTTTAATTTAAAACATTACTCCACACTTTTGAAAATTCCATTTGATTTTATTTTTGTTCGTGTGATCGTGTCAGCTTTATCATATTTTTTCGATGTTTTATTTTTATTTTGTCGGTTGTTTCTCAGTTTACCGGTCCCCCTAAAAAAAAAGGGGGGAAAAAAGCAAAAGAAACAAAAAATCTTCACTGATATCTGCCATAAAACCGTTGAAACCCTGTATGTTTCACGAAACACCACAAGATATATTGAACTTTCGCCATCATAGTATGTCAAAGACGTGCATTCATACAAGCTGTTCGCCTAATTGCGGTTTGATGAAAAATTCTACCGAGTCATCGCAGTCAATATCTTCCAATCGTGCTTTTAGTACTCCCGCTATAGTAAAGATGCTAACGACGAAGGACTTTTTTAAGGCCCAAAAAAAAGTCTCCGATTTCTGGTATGGAGCTCGCCCAAAAAGTGGTGCGGCGACGCGGCTTTTTTTTTTTTTTACCTGTTTTTTTTGCTTCAAATGTCGGCTGAGGACTGCAATTGGTGCCCGACTAAACTTAGTGAAAATATATGGGAGTCCAGAGAGACCACATAAAGCTTATTCTCGATCATAACCCCATCTAAAAACACGTTAAAATTGTACAGCAGCAGGATTCCAGTCAAACCAGTGAGTTTGGCAGTTTTGAGACATCACCTTTTATTGAAAAAAAAAAGTTTTCATTTTGCCGACACGCATGGCTACGGCGACGCGCGCGCATACCAGAAACCGGAGACTTATTTTTTTTGGCCTAAGCAATGGACAAACACCTCAGCTTTAATATCTAGGCTTTAAATGTAACAGACAGTCGGACACCATTAATTTTGCAAACACTCCAAAAGGAAACTGTCAAGTCATGAAACATCCTACTTGATTGTAAGTATAAATGATAGGAAAGAGCATCCTGTGAAATCATT